AGATATTTAAGTATTTCTAGTCTTAATTCATAGTAGAAAAGAATTTAAAATGATTTCAATGATCATTAAGTATTTTATAATACATTATCCAATTAAGTAATTTACTTATCAAGTAAAATATTTCAATAATTCAGATTTAAAAATTTAACATAATTTATGTATTTAATTATTATTAATATTATTTGTCTTAAAAATTATTAAATCTGTTATTAGATTAACTCAATATGTAAAATAAATATTGTAATAATATCTTATATTTCTTATTCTTGTAGCTAGAACAAAATTAGCATTGAACTTTTAAAAGTAATTTTAATAATGATACAAACTATGAAAGTAAAATATCAACAGTTTAGTACAATATTTACTGCATTTATTTCACACAAATCTGAAATTATTGTAAATTGAAAGTTATTACTTCAATATGTGTTAATACTACAAAGAAAAAGTTTTCAAAATGAAGATAACTGAGAATATTTACAAGGTATTTATTTATTTATTTATTTAATTGTATAAATTATTGTTCTATTCATAATGATTTTTTTTTTTTAGCAAATAATTATGTATGATAAGAAAACATTTATTTGTTAATTTACCTCATCAAATTTGTAGTTATTTTATTATTAATTAAAAATTTAAATATTTTGATCATATACATGAAAGTACTATTATTTAACTGATAAATTATAGTAATTTAATCATTACAATATATTTAAATTTAAAAATAAAGGCTCTGTTAACTATTAAGAACAATGTACTTGTACCTACACTATGTAAATAAGTGTAACAGTGCCTGTACAATTTGTGAAAATTATCCAATATTTTACTAAATTATGCTATTCTCTTATGTATTGAAAGAGATTTCTCTCAAAGTTTTTCTAATGGTGAATGTATAGTAGAATGTGAGTTATTATTTTATTAATATTTATTAGAACAAAACGGTATTTTTTAAATAGAATATTTCACACTTCATCGCAACTATTATTTAAGAACATATATTTGAGAAATAATAACGTGTAAATAATGCAACCACACATTCTTGAAGCCCCCTTCCCCCTCTATTGACAGTATTTCGATATTTTCTCGTTTTACATTTTTATGCATTAGTTAATTTACAAAATAGTATAGATAAATAATAATATGATAGTATAGTGTCTATTAGTAGATACCAATAAATGCCAAAAATACCTACCTACTTAATAATATGTGCTTAGTATGCATTTATTGTTCAGCGATATAAAATATATAGATACCTTACACGTTTTGTAGGTATCGTTTCTTATTTTTATTTTAGGTATTCTATGTAAAAAAAATAAAATGTATTATTTGTATTTTCAATAATAAAATTGTAAATATTTTTAGACTTCAATAGGGATATGTATTTAGTTTGTGCTACTAATTACTATTATAAACAGCTAATTAATGTAATCAATGTCAAATATAAATAATAGGTATGACTGTTTTTTATTAAATATAAATTCATTATTAAGGTTTAAAATAGTTATACAATATGTATAAGGCACTGGTCAAATATCTTCTATATCACTTCATGTTCAGCGGTAGAAATTATAAAATAATAAACAACTATAACAACATTAGAAACAACTTTTAGTGGTCAATGTATAAATATTAAAAATCATAAATATAATAGAGATAGAACAGTGTGGTGACAAAAAAAAAAAAAAAATTACTGTTCCCTAGTCAGGAGAAAAAATTAAAAAAGTGCATCGATAAATACGTTTGTTGGTATCGGTTGACATTTAAGTTTTTACTAAATATACCTGAAATACTTTATATTCTATGTGGGGCGATAATTTTTTTTATTACGTGTATATGATATTAACTTTGACGATTTTTTTCTAGATTACTACTAAATTATTCTAAAAAAAGTTGTCGAATAGTCACTATAGTTGTTTATAAGCGTAGATATATATACCTTATTTAAAATTTTACCACATTGAAGATTTCTCCGTAAAATGACTATTTTCTCTTAGACTATTTTTGATATTTTAATGTAATTTAAAAACTAAAATAACCACGAGTACTTAAAATTTTCTCTAAGTTTATATTATTGTTTTCTATAAATAACAACATTTTCAAAATATTTTGATTTTTTTTGAGCTCTTTATTACAGGCTTGAGAAATATCATATTTTTTTATTATTGTATTAATTTTTCATTTGGTCAAAAATTATGAACATTTAATACAAGATTATTTATAAGTTATTATAATTATTAATTATTATATACTTAGTTATTAAAAAAAAATTAAAGATGTATAAATTTATGGTTATTTTTATAGGCAATTTAAATTACACAAATTGTTTTGTTGTCAACAGTTTAGAAAATATTCAATTAATATAGCTTAGGATTGAAAATTTAATACAATGTTTGTCTATAATTAGTAGTTTAAACTGATCAAACAATTTAAAGTTTTTTTTTTTCTATTAACATTTAAAATTTAAAAAAAAATTAATTATTTAAACGAAGAATAACAATTTTAGTTACCTATTTTGTTATAATTTAAAAATATTCGTGTGTAATTAAAAAAATTAACGTGTAATATCACTATATTTTATACGTACAACAATATTTTCAAAATGTAATTTTTCAAAATAAATATACTTATTAATTCAACTTACCACATATTTTTGATGTAGTAAAATAAATTTCTTAAATAGGTACAAAGTATGTAATACAAGCTCACCATCTTGTCTTTACTCAAAATCGTTTTTATTATGCATTGATGATTTTTTTTATTTATTTATTTATTTATTTACAAAATAAATTCACTTACATGTGTTATATATAATGTTGCAGTATAACAAATATTTTAATGAATAGATACGTATTATTTATAACATATATATGATAAAGTACAAGAATATTTAACAAAATATTAAATAAAATTATAATTTAACTGAATTAACGGTAAACAATTAAAGAGTTTATTCAAATAAAATACCATATAATAGCTTATATTAATATAATATTTTAGTAGTATATTTACAAATATACGTAGTATATAAGAAAGAGAAAAAAGAAAATAATTTGTAGAAGTATAATTTAAATAATTATCAAATAAATGTTGACTTAATATAATTTATATTGCAAAAAAACAAATCATATTTTACTCAATTTACATTGGGCATCAATGAATTTATCGAGTAGGAAAAATAATAATTAGTAGATACCTACGTATATTTTTTAAAGTAAATAAATCATTATTTCTTGTAAAGTTAGTTTTGTGCTTTAAAATTTAGTTTTTATAATATTTCTTAACATTTAATTTTATTACCTATTTAATAATTTAATATATTTTTCTACAATTTTTAAAGTAGGGGTATTAAAAAATCCAGACATTCCTTCGTAATCAGAATGGGAAGGGCGTTTAAAATTGCATTTAAAGAACAAAAAGCATAAAAAAAGGTTTTAAATGGAATTAAGAGTTTAATTTAAAATTAAGGAACTAAGAGACCAAATAAAAGCAGCATATTCCAACTGAGAACGTACCGTAGAAAAATAGATGTTTTTTATGGCAAAATGATTATTTAAAATTAGAACAACTTCATTTTAAGAGACATAACTTTGAGGACGCTTCATTTTTTATCTTAATGATATGTTCTTTAAAATTCATTTTTTTATTAAAAAATACGCCAAAATCATTTATTAAATTTACACGTTGGATTTTAAACTTCAATAATTTGTAATTAAAATCAAAAATAATTTGTTTTTTTATTGAGAGAGAATAAGATAATTGAACATTTGTCAATTTGTTAATTAGTTCCATGTCGTTATCTATTAATGCACCAATCGCTAAATACATCTAAATCTGATTGTAATTCTAAAGCTTCAGAAACGGAAATCGTTGAATTATGATTTAATTCATCCATTACAGTGACCTACCCAAATACCTAACATCACTCGACACCTACTGTATCTAAAGCAAAGTGATTATCTACTTCATTAATTTTATTATTACGCTTATATCCTAATATTAAATTTTGTGAAATAATTAGTAGGTTGATAATATAATAGATAGATAGGTACTTATTTAGTCATATAGGCATCATATTTACGTGTTTGGCTTCTCCAGCATTGACCAAACTTGCGAATTTTAAAATATTTAAAACTAATTTTCAGAATTATTTTTGCTAGATCGTGAATTTGTTCCAAACACGCCTAGCTATGCGTATAAGGTCACATGAAAACCGTACCTACTCGGGCTACTTCTATCCATTTGTTATGTCGATTCAAAAGGGTTATGTTTTTTCTTTAGCATTGACATTTTAATGGGTTTTTTTAAATTTATATTATTTATTAGTAGTTACTAATAAACCTATTGCATGACATACAATTTATACTTTATAAGTACCTATGTTCTGTGTGCGTAAAATATATTCCTCATATTCACATATATCGTATGGCAATATAGATATTTATTATATGGTTATATATATGTGTGTGTGTATAATGTGTACGTGACGCGTTTCCGAGTATACAATAGTTTATGTATACCTACCTAATGCCTTCCTACTTACCTATTTTACGAATTGATGAATTAATCACCAACGGTCAGAAATACACTGAGGTATAGATAATATATGTGTGTGTGTGTGTGTGTGTGTGTGTGTGTAGATGTCGTGTGGTATCCATCGTATACTATATATAGACGTGCATAGTGATATATTGAATTATTTATCAGCGATCTATATTATGATTACGCACGAGGCGGTAGCGTGATGGTATAAACATAATGATGCGCGTGTGTGTGACGCAGCGAAAGAGGGGTTGATAAAGGGTTGTGGTGGGTGGCAATCGAGGTATATAGTGTATCGTGGCCATGCTACCTATACATGGCATAGTATTAAAAAACGATGCAACCACGTCGTGGTCGCTATTCCGAACAAGGGTTTTGCTCGTCGATCGCACCGCAGTTACTCCAACAGCAATAGTGGCTCCGATCAGGATGCGTGTACGTTGGACATGATAATAGACCATAATATACATTGCCATTACCATTGTAATATTTTTCCATCTCTACGACGACTGAAAAATGCCATCGGATGACGACGAGAGCAGCGCTCGGATCACACAGGATCATCAACACCGATCGCCACCGACTCCTCCGTCGCCGCCGACGTCTCAGGAAACGCCTACCGTATCGTTCGAGCTACAGTTGAAGCAAGCGGCGTTAAGACTCGGCGCGCGTGTCGTCGGCCAACTGAAGACGAACTATGGGGACCGTGATCCATCTTCGTTGACCGCCGTAATCGGCACAGCAAACGCCAACAGAGACCACACCAGTGCCGACATCGCCTTACCAATATCATCACCACCATCACCACCACCACCACCACCATTATCACCACCACTACTATCTCCGTCACTGTCGCCTTCTGAACAAACCGAGGTGAAAATAATAAATTACTATTGATTGCATGTGAACCTTTTCACCTCCGATAAACAGGTCTCATTGGCAATAACAAGAGATACTGGGCTTGGCGTCAACAAAAGTCTTTTACACCCCCCTAAAAACCAAATAAAAAATTATTGAAACACGATTTTAGAATATTTTTTTGGTAAAATAATAATAAATATTTTGACTGAAAAAATCTTTATTTTTCCTAAAGTATGCTAATAAACAGAAACCAACAATTATTATTATAAAATTAAATTATTAATACCGATGAGCATGCTTCTGCTGTATATATTCGGTTTGAATTTAATAAATTTATCAAATTACTGTAAATTGTAAATACACAAAAACAATTCTGAGAAAAAACAATGACTATTTTAACGCTTATCAAATTTTACGAAAACCGCGGTATCATCAATTTACCCGAGCCAAAAATCATACATCGCTTGCACATTAATATATTAAATAATACAAAGGTATAAATATATTTAAAATTATATAAGTAATAAGTATGCCACATACATATCATTTTAAAGTTAAAAGAACTTTTGATAGGAAATTCTGGTTGAACTTTAAAATTCAATAATTAACTGTTATTGTTCACTGTATAATTTATAAATAGATATATTATAAATAAAATCAAATATAATATTATTTTAAATAATAGCCATAATTAACCACACATTGTAATTTATAATCTTGTCGAAATAAATATTAAAATTTTTTAACTGAAATATATATTTAATTTAAATCAAAGGCTGCATTATTAAATTTAAATTCTATTTAATTGAGTACCTAATTCTATAGTCGATTTGAGTCAGGCTAAGTAGTAGTAGTAAATATATTCTTGTTTTTATAAATAATATTATCGTTTTTTATTCATGGCAGTGTAATCTAACCAGTTTAATTGTTATTTGAAACTGGTATTTTATCATATTCTTTAGAACAAATATTCTATAATTCAATTAATTTTATTTCAAATGTTCAAAATCGAAGTCACTGAAATGTTAAATGAAAAATAAAAAGTTTTTTATAGAATTATAAAATATTGTTATCATAAAAAAATAATAAAACCTAGGATTCAACTGTCAATAGCATTACCACCATTTTGAAAATTAAATAATATGAGTATTAAATTTTAAATTTTAGGTGTTACTCATCTCTTTCAATTATAACATTAAATATATTAATGCAAAAATGACATATGATAATTTGACATAAGTTAAACAAGCAATACGCAAATGCTTTACAAAAAGTTTGAATGAACAATGGTGATGCATAAACAATATACGGTAATAAAATGGTGCATATGTTTTTACAATATTTTAAAATTGCTGTAAAATATCGTATCACATTTTCAAACTTTAGATGTTTAAATTGAAAATATTATAAAGTTTTAATTATAAAATTATTTGTGAGTACCTATCAAAAGAATTTTTTTCTTTATTGTATTTAAATAACTAGGCACTCCAAAAATGGTACCTGATTTCCGGCTATGATAGGTCTTGGAACTTTATAGAATATAGAGCACACGTTATAACCATAAAATCGTTTCTGTAATAGTATTTGAATTTTTTAAAAGGCACAGTTTAAAAATATGACAAACTTTTAGTTTTTAATTTTGATCTTTTTAAACACTTTTTAAACTTCATGTTCACGCGTTTCATATATTTTATCGTATACAAATGATATTTTATTGACTGTATCTATATACTCAGTAATACCGTTTAAGCATTTTAGTTCCTTTTTTTAAAGTTTTAACTGTTGGTGATCTATTTTAAAGACCTGATCCCCTCATTCAGAATCGTTAGTTGAAACTTGAAATAATAAAAAAATACAGCAATTAGGTATGGCCAGGAGTCCGAAATTACTAATCCTATCGGTTGCTATAGTAAATAAGCGTAGGTTCTAGAGCGTACAAAACGTTACACAATTTCTTGTAGAATTTTAGTACCTAAATAGTGTGTAGAAAACATATATTCTAAAAAAACTTTTTTTATCAAATTTTAAACTATAATAATACGTTTAATATTATTATTGAGTGGTTTTCAAACTTTTTTTACAACAAAGTCTAAACTTAAATTGTTTGCCAGCACACTTAAATCATTAAGACCAAATAGTATTTTAATAACATTAAAATTCAAAAAATTGTTGACAAATTTTTTGAATGACACAACGCGACACATTAGTTGAGAATCACAATGCTATAGGTATCTATATCAATAATTTAACTCTGATCCAATATTATAATAAAAAAAAACAAATTGGTTGTATCTTTGAAAGTTAAAATAAATTTATTTGACTTTATATTATGCGTTATAATCGTTATATTATGAAAACGTAATATAATGCTATTAAAATAGTTAAATATATTTTGCAATCTGAAATCATAATAAAATAATTTATTCAAATTATGATAGGTAGATAGGTATTGATTTTTTAAAACTCATACAGGGAATAATAGAGTTATAATTTTAATTCATTTTAATGTATTATAGAATATTATATTATTTTCAATCTTATTTTAAAACATTTTGAAAACTTTAATTTTTTACTAAACTTATAAAATATGACTTTCTAGTTTCTACTTCACTATTTGTTTTTGGTTTATTTTTTGCAAACTTTAGTTAAACAATTTATATACTATTGGAAATGTAGAATAGTTCACCTATAATTATTTATGTTAATAGATATTTCGTGAGTAGATTTTATATACTTTATATATACACACTTCCTCACGTGATTGAAACTATCAATTGTTTTCCATTAAAAATAAAATGTAGTAGATATTTAGTTAATAATATACACATTTATAAATGTTTTGTATATAAAGCAGCGGGATTCTTCAATCAAAATGCATGTTGAACGTAGAACACTCAATACTGTTGATTTTGTGTTAGCCTATAAAAGACAACGAAAGGTTGCTGAAAACAAAAGTAAACTAGACAACGAGACTGAAAGGCGAAAGTTTTATCATGAATTACAAGCACATGGGATTTTGGTAAACATTGACGACGACCCAACGGTCAGTATTCATTAAAATGCAATTTTTTTTTTTAATTGCCTATACAATAATATACTAAACTAATATTTCCCAACATTTGGAACATAAAATGTAGTGTGTGAGCCACCATAACAAAATTATTGTGAAACCCTCTAAAATTGATATTATACAATTACGCATAATACGTAGATTGTAAGATACTTGATGTTGAGCTTGATTATATTTTTTAATAAATTTGATAAAATTTATTATGGTTTTTTATAACTTTGATGAAGTACATTATTTAAAAAATTTTAAATTAAAATTGTTTGATGCTTGATTTAAGGTAAATCTAAAATACATTTGTTTAATATTTAAAATGTTGTTATAATTAATTTTTATTATATTTAAGTGTTCACTAGATGCAGGCCGGACGTGCTTTGCTTTGCTACAACTATCACAGCGGCTCTTAGGATGTAGTTGCCGGTGTCATACAACAAATAATAATAATAGCGGTAAAAGTGAAGATAAACCAACAGTTTTCAAATCAAAAGATGTTAATTATCAACAGGTATCTAACATATCTCAAATAATTTAATTTAAATGAAATTTAGCACATAAATTACTTGTTACAGTCCGTTACAATTATACCAAAATCAAATATGAAAGAATATTATAGGCTAAAATACTTTATTGTAGCCAACATGGTACCTATTACTAGCGAACAAAATAAACCTAAAAGACCACAAACCAAATATTTTTAAAACATTATCATTATAAAAATATGGTATTAAAAATGTCTATTTAGAATATATTACGAACCATCAACTACAGAATATGTTTACCACATTTGTAAGAAAATTAATCATATTATCGTATACAGTATACTAATACAGAACTACGGGGTATTTAAATAAAAAAAAAATTATGCTGACATTGGTCGAATGATGGGTATACCTACCATTAGAGATAACATAGGATCATTAATGCCATAATTTATAAAATTGTAATTTATTAATCATTATACAAAACAATCTTAAGGAAGCTCGATAATTAAATCTTAAATAGAATATTTTTCTTTTAAAATAAATTGTATTATTTGTACTAAGAAGGTAATATCATATTCAATTATTAATCCCAAAACAAAACAAATAGCTGCAAAATATTACAGCTCTCTCATAACTTAACAACTGTATAAAACCCTGTATATTTTGTTAAAATAAAATTAACTTTTTAATTGTGTAGTCTACTAAGTAATACTAAATACCTACTAATATTAGTGTACTTACTGACTATTTTACTATTTTAGTCCAACTAAATTAAATATGATTTTATTCTAAAAACGATACCTACGCTATTGCGAACTGTATCTATAGTTTTATTGACATATGAAGTAGATATTGAATTAAATCTCAATTATATTTAACAACGTATTCAAAATTTACTTATAATAATTAATATCCAATAGAATAAAATGGTTTAAACAAAGAATATTGTAATATAGATACCTACTTAATATAATTATGTTCATCATGCACATTAATAATAATTATTTTACACCGAAAACTAAGTATGAACGAACAACAATTTTACATGAAAAAATTTCTATAAGCAATTTGTTGTTTGTTATTATTATGACGTGAATTCCTAATTTTTATACAGAGTGATACAAAAAGTATAAAAATATTTTGAAAATTTTATCATATTATAAAAATATTTATCATATTAGGTGAGCATTTCAAGGAACTATAGCTATTTGTTTTTTTAACCACAACAACATTTTAAAAATTGTTTGAAGAGAAATAATTATTTTACGATTACGAGTTAATATGCTAATATAAAAAATTTAAGTAAAAATGCTTATAAAAATTTATTTGACTTTTAGTTAGAATTTTTCTTTTTTAATATATGTTAAACAACTTATTATAAAGAATTTTAATTATAATTCTTAAATTTCAGATAAGTTAATAAAAAAAATTATAAATTTTTAGCTACGAAATAATTTATAAGTTTTTAAGAGTTTACGAATTTTGTCAAAATTTTAAATTTAATCATTTATAAAAAAATATTGAAAATATATAGTCACAATATTTTTTAATTAAAAAATGAATAAATTACAAGGCACCTACTTGTATCAAATATTCAATCATTTAACAAAAGATTATAATCTCACAACCATAATACAATTTTATGTTATTCAAATATTGCAATAATAAATGGCTATTTATCAAGCTATACTTATTTTAAATATCTATTTTTAACTATTTGATTTATTAGAATAATATCTTTTGTAATGGTAAATTCAGGCACTATAGAAACATGCATATTTTATGAGTACTACAAGGCTTGCGTGACTTTTAAAGATAGTTTTTGAAAATGTATATATAAAAAAATATATATACTTTTATAGCTAAATAACTTATGAAAAATATTTTTTGATAATTTCCATCTAATAAAATTTGTTATAATTTGTCCGAACCGTTATCGTTGCAGCATTCAAATGGCAGTATTAATCATGAAAAAAATAATGAAATATTAACATCTGCTCAACGGGCACAGATCGTGTGGCACATCTTACTCCGAATAGGTTCTGGTAATCAACAGGACGCGAATGTTATGAGTCTTGAACAAATGCTTGAGACCGATATAATTTCTGCCGCCTATCCAATACACGACGGCAGTATTAAATTCGAAAAGGGAGAAGACGTGACCAACATCAATGATAGACGAGTGAGTCGACACTTCTAATAGTTTTTACATAAGATTGTAAATAACTACCTATTAATAAAATAATGTTTAACTGTATAATAAATAATAGGTAAGTAAAACTATATAAAAATTACGCATATAATTTTCTGAAAATTTTTCACGTTATCTTGAAAAAACCACGGTGTACATCTAATATAAATTTTTATTTTCTAATAGTACTCGTACTTCATAGTACAAACTTACATAATAAAATAGAACGGATTAAACAAATATAATAAATACATTAAAATAATTAATTTAATTTATGTCTTTTTGCAATTATTTTTTTTTTCAATAATAATAACATCAAATTATTATTTTATTAATAGGTATATCTATTAAATTGTCTGTTTAGAAACCCTATATCATACTTTAAACTATTTAAGTTTTGCATATGGAGAATACTTTACAATGACTTAGGAAACATATAATATACGCATAATATAATAATTTATACATAATTGTGTCTAGAAAACTTAATTGGTAGGTATATTAATAGATTTTTCTTTCATCTCAAACGCAATATTTAAACTTGAACCAATGAGCTGGAATAAAATGAAATCTTATAATCGCATAATCATTATTTTTCTTATAAGGTAGTAATTAAATACTTTGAATACCTACCTTAAATTTAATATAATATCGTAATATTTTTTTAGTTAAAACATTTTAATATTAATTAAGTTATTCAAATCATATAAATATTGTATTTTGTTCAAAATATAGTAGCTAAATTTAATAAGAATTGGACAAAATGTTTAACATAAAATCAAAACAAAAATAATGAAAATATAATAACCTTTCCTACCCTCGAAGAAAATATATTTTTATAAGTATTATTTATATTGTCCTTTTCAAGTGCATATACGAAAATTTATTATATGCAGGTATCAGGTGGTACTAGTGACATAGTCTAAAATTTTAAGTGTAATAATGAAAACTTTAGCGTATCATATGTTGAATACATGCTTAAATTTTATTATATTTTTCTTTTATACATAAGTATTATAAAGTGAATTTATATAATATCCCTCTATTTAAAATCCGGAATGACCTTTTATTCTTTAAAAAAATCCTGACAATCCTGTATGAAAGTTTTTGAATACTTACCTACTATTTCATACTTATTAATCATTCTTTACGATAAACACATAGTTTTTCAAAAAAAATCTTGTGATATATTAGTTTTATATATTTTAAAATAAATACTTGAATAAGAAAAATAATTTAATGATTATACTACAGTATATAAAATATATAGGTACCTATAATTAAGTGCTTATATTTGAATAATTAATTTAATACAAACCACTTTTAAAGTTTCAAGGACTGCCTAAAGTAACTGGGACAGGTGCTAGCTGTCGACTCTTAAGTAGTTTAATTGTTTGTTAAATTAAAATGCTGCAGGTTCTTTACGAAAAATGGGCTAGGCCAGGTCTAATCATACCCCGACAATGGAAATCCGATAAAAACATTACTGCTCTGATTCGAAAGTATTATGGCATTCCTGTAGCTGTTTATTTTTGTTGGCTCCGGTACTATACGATATGGTTAGTAGGTCCTGCCATAGCTGGACTAGTATGGTTTCTGTACGGATTGATAACGACTCGTAGCGATATACCAACGTAAGAAACATTTCAAATACAAAATCAACAATATTTACGAACATATTTTACTATGCTCAGAAATAACATTATTTTGTCAACTTGTTTAGCCATGACATTTGTAATCCAAAATCACAAGTAGCCGATTGGATCCTATGTCCAACTAGAAGGTGCAATGTGAGTTTTTGTGGCTTCACAAGGGTACTGGACACTTGTGGGCTATACAGATGGACGTCAGCTGCGACTTTCGATAGACCAGGCGCAGTCGTGTTCGCGATTTTCATGTCATTTTGGGGTAAGTAGTGAGCTGATTCCATTATTTTTATGTCAACAGTTGTATAGTTTTTCGTTATAGATTAATTTTTTTAATTTTTTACTAGTAAAATTGTACTTTTTAGTAATTTTAAAATAAGTAGTAGGTACCTATAGTACCTAGTATCTGGTATTCATAGTACCCATACACAATTCTAAAAAAATTTAAAAATTTCCAGTCATTTATTTCAACTAAGTAGATATATGTAAATTTTTAATTTTTAAAATACAATGTTCATTTTAATTACAGGAATTGAAAAAATTTTTTTTAAAAGAATTTGAGCGCTTTTAACTTTTTTTAATGTATTATAAAAACTTAAAAACTATATTATATAATCTTTAAATTATCTAGTAAACCAAAAATATAGTCTAAACGGTTAAATGTAAACAAGTAATAAAATTATGAAATAAAAATAACCTTTTTTAACAATCCAAAGGTACAATAAAAATATCTATTTGATCTCCGAGTAAGAATGGATGGTAGAACTGTTGAACAGATTATGTTATACAAATCACAAATTAATATTGGTTTCTCAAATATTATTCTCAATTTGAATAGAAAATTGAAATTTATAAATTTATTTATAATGGAAGAATTGTATTAATATATTCTCACGCGAACGCCCATAAGTAACATTTTAAGAGGGAGAGACAAAATAAAAAAATCTCAAATTTAAACTAAATAAAGATGTAATGTTATTTTAACATAAAAATATTGTATTGATACCAATATTAAAGTTAATTAAAATATATTTTAGTAAGAACAAGAAAATAATAGAAAATAAGAAAGAAAAATATAATCAAATTTATTATTCAGTATAGGTAAATAAAAATAGCACATTTCTTCGTTTTATGAGATCATCAGATAATACTATAATAATATAATATAACAGATTATAAATTAGTATTATTTGTTGAGACAGCCAACAGGCTAATCCCCTGTCTTAGCTTCCCTCCACCAATGGGCGCCCGTGTATTTTCTTAGTAGTAACCACTAAGAAATATGCATTGACTTGGAGCAATTAAAAATAGTTGCAAAGTTTTAAACTCAATAATTGAATATAATTTTAAACTGCTAATATTTTTATGAAGATGTCGTACATATTGTGTTTTCTTTTTATTACCGTAAATTTTTGGGTTCAGAATAATCTATTTTTCTCTGTTATTTTAAATATTACAGCAAATTGAACTATTATCAAATTTAGAAAAATTCATAAACGAGGAACTTCCTCAGGAATTTAAATTGTTTTTATTGATAATAACGGAATTCCTTTTCCCCACGAATTTTTTTTTGATATTCTTGTTTTAATAAAAGCAATGAGTAGTACTTTTAAAATTATAAAGAAACAAGCTGATCCTGTACACTTCATTGTCTATTAAAAGTGCCAATTATAATATTAGGTATGTTTAATTTGATATAATGAATTACTCGAAGTTGCTCGCCGACCGGCGACCAGTAATGAAACATTCCTTCGTAATTCGTATGCGTATTGAAATTATTATCTATGTTAAACAATAAATTCTCACTTATATTTATCACCGAATAAAAAGAAACAGTTTTTTTTAAAAGTTTTTGAATCAATATATTAGAATTTTTAATTATTTTAATCATTACATGGATAAATTAATAAAAACAATTCGTAAATTATATTATTATCTTCCATTATATAATAAGTATAGCTGTTGCCCGCGACTTCGCGTCAATTTCTGTTATTATGATCGCGATTAAAAAGTTTTTAAAAGAATATATTTTAAAGCACTTCTACGTAAATGATATTTTTAGTTTTATTTTCTTGTGGCAGAAGAACATACTGATTTTCTCCGCAATCTGATATTAACAATGCGACATATAGTGGACTGTGTGATAAGCATTCTTGACGTAAATCGATTCCTAGTTCCTATGTGTTTAAATTTTTGCCCCTATGATTTATTAATTGTTACGGAAAAATATAAAATAAAGATTAAAATAAAATGAAATAAAGATAAAATCGTTTTGACCGATCTAATAACCCACGGGATTAAGAATAGAACATAGTCTGCAATGAATGAGTAAATTACAAAGTTCTTTGTAGATAACACTAGCGAGTTTTAATTATTTTTGGACGAATGACGACGACAGTGACGGCGATGCCGATTATTCGGCTGTGCTATTTTCAATAATATATTATTATCATATTATTTTCATTGTTATTGTCACTATAATATTCTGTCGAAATATTATTAGTTTATTTTAATAATGTACAGGTGTATCTTGCTCGAATGTATATTATGTAATAACAACAAATGTATATTTATGTTGGCAGATTATGGTACACTCTATATTTATAATTTTACATACCGTTTAATATATATTTAATTTGATATCCATTTGTCTACGACAAAATGATTAAAATTTGGTACTACCGATTATTATTATTTATTTTTCCCGTTTTCGCAATATTTTTCACTGATGCTCCGCTTCTATTGGTCGCGTCGTAATGTTATATTATAAAATGTTAAGCCTTCCTCGGTAAATGGACTATCCAACACAAAAAGAAATTTTTTAATTCGAACCAGTAGTTCCTGAGATTAGCGCGTTCAAACAAACAAACTATTCATCTTTATAATATTAATAAAAATAAATATAATACGAGATTTATATATATAGTATATATAAATACGATTTTAAAGTCAAAACAAAAAAAACTTAAAAGCCCGAAATAATATTCGGGAGTGACTGCCCCATTATTTGCCACACGATATTCTCTCATAGATGCCCCAGATCCACAGTCGCCAGTCAGTATGCCGATTAATTTATTGATATTGTGCAGCCACGGCGTTTCAACAACTGTGGGCCACGTACGCTGGACGGATGAACGAACGGCGCGACGGCGAAACGCGTACGACGTTCGAATGTTGCGCCAACTGTCGTTGGTCCGGTGGCGAAAAAGTGCCACTGCAGCTACCACCCACTTGGCAGCCGCCGCCGCCGCCGTCGTCGCACGGGCCGCGTTGTGGCCGTCACGCGCGACAACCGTCGCCCGCCGTCCGCGGGTCCGTCGTCCACCACCAGACGGTGGTTTCGCGACCGAACAACGCCGACCGCGGTCGATCGCCGGCGCTCTCGGTGGACGCGATCCGCCAGTGGTGGACGGCCAAACTGTCGGACGCGCTACGGGCCATGGCGTTTTTCGCGACACTGGCCACCGTGGCCGCGGTGCCCATACTGATCGTCGTGTACCGCGGCCGGGTCATCGGGTGGCTCATGCTGGCCGTGTTCCACCAGGACGACCGCGGCGGACGGCCACCGCAACCGGCGACAGCGGCTGGCCGCTACGGCGACCACCACAGACAGCACAATTTCTTCCTGTTGAACTACGCCAACAGCGGCGAGCTGAGCAACTGGAAGACGGCCGTGGCCGCAGCGTGCGCCACTTTCGTCCAGCTCACTGCCATCGTGACCGTCCACCGCGGGTACAGCGGCGTGGCCAAGTGGCTCACCAAGTACTCGTATCGTTCGGCGTACAACCCTCGGTACCAGAGCCTTTACACCGCCTACATGTCTTGTTTCGATTCCGCCAATTACTATTCCAGTTTGGTTTACATCGCTTTTTTCAAGGTGCGTGCGAAACGATCCAAGTGAGTAGCGTCTTTACCTGCTACTCCGTAGTTGGAACCGTGTCCCCCGGTACTGGTCGGAATTAAAGCGTATATACTTACGTGGCTAAAAATAATATTGAATATTGTAATATTATATTATATTACGTCTACAAGATGTGAGCCGCGCAAAAAAAACTTAGCAAAAAATAACTATACTCGCATATTGCACGTGCCCAATTCTTTTTAAACAGTAATAATTATATTTATTTATTTAGTTTTAATTAAATTTCAAGAAAAATTAAATTAATTGTTCACAAAATGGTTGTTTATTGTTATCACTTGATTGTCCAATGATCCTGATGGTATTGACGAATGAAAAAAAATTTACGAGAACCAGGCGTTTGACCTGACTGAAAATAATCACGAGATTTTTTTCGTGAATCTACTCAAAAACAAAAATACTCACATTACACAATGACGACGTCAGGTTATAATTATTAGGGCTCGGAAGTTGAGTTGTTTAATATTGTTCTTTGTGTTCTCGATTTATAACAGACTATGCTATAAATTTAAACTAAACGATAGTAAGTTTAAAAATCAAAAATTTTAAATGTAATTTTATTGATTTTAGGGAAAACTGCATATTTCATTGATTTTCATTTAAATATTAAAGCATACTCAATATTTTCTCCCAAAAGAGGGGATTTACTATACTACTATATTACGTAGGTACAGTACTACTACAGTGGGTGCCGCTTAAAAGACTCACTTTGAGACCAGCACAAAGTGAGTCTTATAACCTAATAAATCTTATAGGTGAAGTGGAAAAAAAACAAAATACTTATGAATTTTATTTCATTATCTTGCTTTTATTTTAATTTACTTTTATACGAATACATATTAAATATTAGGGGAGACCGGGGACAAAAGTAATATGGGTCAATTGTAACATACTGAAGATTTTCTTCTATGATATTATACAATAATAATTAATATTATTGGTTATACGTGCGTCATTTGTCCCCCAATTGTTGTCATCTTATTCTGTTATTAGTTTGGCTTTATCGTGTTTTGTTGATCAAATAATCAGTAAAAACCTATTTTTAAATAATTCAAAAGTGAATTTTTTTTTTACGCCGTCGTATATACCTATGCTGTTTAATTTATTATTTAAAGTAACTTCGAGTAAAACCTCTGGAGATTACAATTTTATAATAATAAATTAACTTCTCAAGTAAGTTCATCATTTGTTTTCGCATTGATTAAAAAAACTCTGTATGGGGCCAATTGTAACAAACAGACTGGAGTCAATACTCAATTGTACCTATAATATTATCCATGAAAATCGATTAAATTATTTCCAATTTTAACATTTTTATTAACATTTCGTATTAATTATTAAACTTAATTTAGTTTACAAAATTACATGAAAACAGAAAAAACTTTTAATTAGTTAAATATTAAAAATAAATTAATACATTACTTATCATATTTTATTTTAATTAAGATTTTTTTGATATTGGATAGGTAGATAATAATTATATATCATGATTTGAGTCTTGTCTAGTTTGGTTACATCTACCTATATGTCATGGTTATCAGGTTTGATTTTTAATAATAAAACACAAATAATATTTTTGTGATTTTTCTTATACTTTGTAGCATTTGTTATGGCATACCTAAATTTAAGAATTCTATCTTTAGACTTTAATTGTTTGTCTTATATTTTCTGAAATATTTAAGCCTCTAATTGTTCTTTTTTTGGCAAAAATATCTTTAAACTTATTTATGTAATTGCGCTATAAATAGTTGAAACATTCAATATTTTTTATTAATTAATCATTCCGGTATGGTTTAACTAGGTGTTAGTCATTTCATTATGCTACTATCTCTGTCATCTAGAAATTAAAATGTGTGGTGAAAATCGATCAGTTTTTTAACGCTTAACGCTTATTTTACAATATACATTTTTGATTTCTTTATTTTCATATAATTTACTGACACCAAATATAATTTATAAGTAAAAATACTAAATACATTTTTTATTATTTCTAGTTTTAAATAAGGACATTTTCTGATGTAAATAGTGTTAAAATATAAACCAATTTAAATAATAACCTTCTTGAAAGTACATATTATATCAAATTATGTATATCAATATTTCTTTTAAAACCTTCAACAATGATATCTGCTTCCATAGCGATCGAAGACAAATTTCAATTTTTAAAGAAAAGATGTTTTTTATAGGATCCATTATTTTTGATGCTTTCTGACAAATACAACAATACTTATTTCTTACGTCAATCAACAAGACTTTTTTTGTTTTAGCTCCAAATATACAAGTCTATAAATATTAAAATAAAAATAATTTAATTGATAGTATAATTTTTTAACTAATCAACAAAATGAAGTCAAATTTTATTTAGATTATAAATTATAACATTTATGTTTATTTAATTGTTGTGAATAGAAAAAAAAACTAATCAATAAACATTTCCTATATCGCTAAAAAAGTGGTTTTTTTTTTTATCGACTATGTTAACCTATGTAAGATGTATATTAAAATTATTAAATAATATTGAATTTAAAACTCAATATTATTTTACGTAGGTATTTGTGTCATCGTCGCAATCTAATATTAATTTAACAACGGTGCGATGTGCATTCAATATGCCGAAATATTATCATTGAAAAGTTATCGTCTTAACTATCTATTTATTGTTTATCAGTTGGTAAATTTTTTGTGTACGATTGAAATTTTTCAATATTTTTTCAATTAAAAAGATGTTTTTCGGGAAATTTAAATTTTTTTTTCTTTTTTTTAACATTTGTTCGTGCATATTTGGCATGTTTTAGCTCATATAACTTCCGAGTACTAATAATTATGTTACATTATGCATAATTTACTAAAGATAATATGCGTACAATGTACACTATAATGCCCCCTACATTAATGCAAAACACAATTCATTATTCACTAATTTAAATAAAATAATAAAAGTTACAACATATAATTAATTATCATAAAAAAATATGTTCGTTCTTTTCTTAATATAATAGTTTAACTGGCCATTTATTTCAATACAATTTATATTAAGTATATTAAAAATTAAAACGTAGTATGAATGTTTAATTTTGTGATTCAGACAAAAATTCAACTTGACCAAGCTTTACAATAACATAATAATAACTAGGGCTAGGATAGTATAGGATTTTGCATTTTTTTTTTAGGATTTACAGGATATAGCTTTTCAAGCACAAAATGTGATTTGGTCATCTACGAGTTCAAATATATAGTTTTTATTTTGCATATTTTTGCATTATTTGTACTTTTTAAATTTAGGGTCATTTTTTCAATTTTACGATCATTTTTTTATACTTTATTGAAATCTGGTTATATTTAAACTTGAAGGAGTCACTAATTGTCCAGTGCAACAGTAAATAATTTAAAAGTATTTTTCAGTTTACAAATATTAAGTATCTATAATAATTTTAGTTTTACAATATTATTTTAGGTATCTTAAAATATATTAATTTCAGAACAAATGACGCTGGCAATTATACCAGAAGATGAATTTATTTTTATATTTATAAATATTAATTATTATTTATTAATTTATTAATATAATTATATATTTATCAATCATTTTATGAGGTCATTTTTTCTTATTGAGTCATTTTTTAATTTTTATTAGGTCATTAAAATCCTAGCCCTAATAATAACATTATACCTATTTATCTTTATGTAGGTATCGTAGGTATACATAATAAAGTTAAAACGGTTAATATTATTCATGGTATTTACATAGGGTCGCTTCGTGACTGAAGACAGACAACATGTGGATAGTTCGTCCAGATTCATGCATTTTTGGCCCATTTCTATGTTTTGGAATGTAATACATGATATTAGAGAAGACGTTTGCGATCCCGCGGCTGCTGGAACGGGATGCGTACCAGAGTTGTGTACCCAATTGGCCATTATAATGGTGGGCAAACAGCTGATAGACAACGCGATTGAGTTGACAACACCGTTAGTCATATAAACCAATTAGTATAAAAATCAATATAGGTCATTTACGATTTAATAGTTGTTGAATTAATAACTCGCAGGCTAACTTTAAATGTATGGCGCCGATGGCGGGCAAAAGAGAGTCGCCGTCGAAATAAATTGCATGGAAAATTACCGGACACTATTGTTGAAACACTCAGACACCCAAAACAATGGCAACTCGACTATCAGCTAGAAGATACTGGATCGTTGGGCCTTTACCAGGAATATTCGGAGATGGGTACAAAACAAACCATAGAGTAAAATGAATTTAAAAAAAAACGCACATAATTTAATACATTGAATCGGGGCACCGGGGCTTAGGTACTAATTAAATTAGTAGCCAACTTAGTGCGGTTAAAGTTATAATATCAACTATCATCTTTGGAGATTTTACTTTTTTACGCCTTCGGCGGATAGTGGTTAGATTTTCAATGTAATATAATTATAAATTTTACACTTTTCGAAAAAAAAAAATGAACAATCAAAACAATTGCGTAACTAACTTTAAAATCGGGTATCTTAAATTTTATTAAAATATTTGTGAAGGTATTCAAAGCTTAACAAATTAATTTTTTTATCTTAATAAAAATGGGTTCTTAACCATTGCACCCGCATCCTCAACTTATTTAACCATTTGGAATTAATATAATAGGTTACATGAGTTTGTACTAGTTTTATTTTGGCGAGACACAATTTAATTCTTGTGGATTTAACAAAACCAACCGAGTTATCGCCTTATGGCTATACTTAAAATATCGTTTACCATTTGTCGTTGACAATATACTATTACCTATGCACTGCACGGTTTGGATGATGCACTATTAAAATGCATTGATTGCTACGTTTATAAATATTTACATATATTTAAGTCATTCAGTACGGATTTGTGGTCATGTTCACAACGGCATTTCCACTGGCTCCGTTGTGTGCTCTATTAAATAATATATTGGAGCAACGTCTTGATGCGTACAAAATGGTAGCGGCTCAGCGACGTCCAGTTCCTTCCTACTTCTGTACTAATAAAAATTATCACGATAATATCATCCGAGGAAACATGAAGTGTTGCGATAACTGCAACAAATTGTGCACATGGACACAAGTTTTGAAGATTATGTCAGTAATCTCGGTCTTGTATAACGTAAGTAGTATAATATACTAATAAATTATATTCGTACCACGTATTTTAGTTCGGCAGAAAAAAAATTTTTATCAGAATTTAAATAAGAGTTATGACCAAAAGTTATTAAAAAAAAAAAAATGTATTAATATTAAATTCAAGCATTTTTGAAAATAGGTAACCAAACTTAATGTCAACTTAATTAATTCACTTATGATTAGTCATCCGTATATTTATCTGCATTAGGCATTTATGATTGCATTTACCAGCGACCTGTTACCTCGGTATGTGTACTCTCAAATCTCAACCGAAGCGTCGTCTTCGTTGGACGGCTACGTTGCTTGGTCTTTATCCTCGAGTACGTTAAACGTCACGTTATCGATTGAGTCGTGTGCTATTTATAACTTAAATTTGATCTCAATGTCTAGAAAGAAATGTGACTGAATACTATTATGGACAATTAGGAAACATAGATGCACCTGAAACATGCCGATACAGGGGATATGGTGCTGATGCTGATTCGGAGCACAATGACTATAGGAATTGGCAAGTGTTGGCTGCCCGATTAGCATTTGTCGTAATATTTGAGGTACGCATAAATATGCTATTAACTGAAAACGTGTGCGCACACGAATTGTGTATAATATATGTCAGATAAATGTAACTTTTTGAATTCGTGTAGTTATTTTTTCACCTACAATAAATATTTTTTATCATTATGAATTATAAATTATTATCATCACATTTTCTATAAAATATTTACTTACCTTACAATTTAATGAACCAAAAATTAACAATTTATTATCTATAATAGTAGTATAGGTATTTTACAATAGCTGCATACCGTAAGTAATACATAACTACTCATCAAAAAGAAAAGTTATATTAGTTAAGTGATTATATATTTGATATAGTATGGCTGTTAAAATATAACTATAATCAATTAATAAATAAAAATAATAGAAGAAAAAAAAAATCTTTTTTTAATATCTTTAGTTTATACGTCACATTTTAGCTTTATATGCTGTAATATTTTTAATTATTATTTCATTATATGATATTAAAGTATTTTTATTAAAATAAAACCAATGTTATAAACTATACAAAATATAATATTTGATAAATTTATAAAACTTTTTAATTTTAATTTATTATTATTTTGTTAAGTATTTAAATAACACCAACACACCATACGAGAAAACGAGAAAAAAATTATAATGATTCAGCTTGAGACACAAACAAAAAGGATTAGTATACAATTCGTGTGCACGAAAAACTTAATTATTAGAGTAGGTGCTATAGAAATAATAGATACTTAATCAGATTTAAATCAGATTTGAGTTACAAAAATAATTAACTACAATAGACCGAATTAGTAGTATTTATTTAAATTGTTCATGTATATTTAATTATATATACATACTATTTAAGTTGATGATTTAAATTCGTAATACGTATACCTAAATAATTATAGCATAAGTATTTAACGTATTAAATGGATGCACCTATCGATTGTGAACGGTGGAGACTTAAAACGCTAACGAAATTGAAAAAAAACATTATGTAGGTACCTATGTGTAAAATGTAGGATACACGAAATGTTGAAGATAATTAGATTACCTACTTAGTACCTATCTATATAGTATATACTACTTACTATAGCTGATCCTGCATGTCGTTATTAGTGATAACTTAAATAATGACGATGGCTTTACGCCTTTACCCTATCTTAACTCCGTTAAAAATGTAAGCTACAGATATTTTTAACACGTTCATTTGGGTGGTTTTGACCAGACATAAAATACAGTACTAAAATCATAAATATTTTATTTTCTGTAACCACTAACCAATGGTAACGCTATACAAGTAAACAAATATTCGTTTTCGTGTGCCATAACAATTCTCTACCAATTATCAGAACCATGAGTGTGATAGACTTGACATTTGGATCGCTAACACACACACATACACATATTGCTTTTTATTAACACAGATACCTACCACCCACCTACTATGCAATAAATATAGGCACATGGTTTTTTCCAATCAAATTTATTTCCACATGTCTTATAGAGAGTAGTTTTTCTTGTGCAGGTCTCTTCCATCCCGAAAACTGAGCTTTATAGACCAGTAATTCAATGCAATTTCTTACCCGTGCAGTTTCAGTATAGGTCCTTTTATTATAATACGTTTTCGATGTGCGTATATGTACCAAATACATCACACGCGTGTGTCTCGACAGCATTGCGTAATAGCATCCATCGCGGCCCTGGTGTATTTCATCCGGAAAACGTCCTCCAAGTACAAAATTCACACGGATTCGAACGTCAAAAGTCCGTCCAGCGACAAATTGGCCGCAGGTACGTCGGCCGTTAACAGCCCCAATGCAGGCTCTGCGGCCGTCATCTATGCAACAGACAGCTCTTTGGCCGCTGCAAACGACGAGATGGAGGAAGGACGGCCTCGGGCGTTCAACGGAAACCCGGTGGCTGTACTGTCAACCATGGAAGTAGTCGATATGGAAAATGATGACCAAGATAAGTAAATGAATCACGAAGTCTCGCCGCCTTCCAGGAGGCGCTGGCTTGAAGAGATAACAGGATTCGCTACGTTTTGCCGTGACTTAATCCACTATCATACAATGTATAGTAAATTTTTCTGTAAATGAAACAGTGAAAGCTAAAATTGTTTGCGACTAATAATTAATGTATCATTAATAAAAAAATTTAAAAAAAGTGTATAACCCGATTCACCTCAAAGGCGCTAGTAGTCGCTGTTTTACGGTACCTCGAAATATATTTGCATGTGCGTGATTTCCTAGCAGCTACTAAGAGCTTTTAAATAAATCTGATTTCAGCTTTTTCTACGGTTCATTTTTTAATTCATAACTGTTCGTGTAAATCAACATGTATATTATAATTTATAAGTTTATAACTCATCTCTGCAAATTAATATATATTTTTTTATATCAAGAATTTTTTAATATTTTTGTTTTTAGAAAAACGATGCCGGTCTTTATAAATACGTGAAATAATTTCGTAAACTTTTCCGTTTAAGTAATTATTGATTATTGAACCTACAGCAGATACTTATAAATGTAACCTATAAATTATATTGTGGGTAGTAAATAGGTATTATTTGTAAATTCTATCCTTGTTTTTTAGTTACGAAAAGATTCTATGAGTCTAAATATCTTAACATTGTTTGATAGAATCACTAGAATATAACCAATATAGCATCGAAAAAATTTTATATTTTCTATTATAATTTTATTATCCATTGATATTTTATTTATAAAGTATACTAAGCAAGTTCACAAACTTCCATACTTAAAACAACATATTTAATAGATAATACATGTATCATATTCAAATAAATTGTCTTATTTTTAAGAATATTATTTTAATTTTGATGTCAATTTTTACAAAAATATTGTTTTAAAGTTGTCTTACTGCTTTAGTCAAAGAAACTTAATGAATTTTAATAATTTAATTTTTATTAATTTTAATTTCTGATGCGATTGTTATGAAATTGTAAATTAATTGATCCAGATTTCACATTTATTTTATAACGAAAATTATCAGTATTCATTTGCTTGTGACATCAAGATATTTGATTTAATGAGTATATTTAACAATAAATGAAGTTCTTAAGTATATTTATTTTACATTAAAATTACTTTACAATTTAAATTATTACATGATTTATTAATTTATAGATTTATAAATTATATAAATTGTATATAAATATTTATTCATTTATTGAGATTATAAATTATGTATTATCATAAATTGACATAATTTTATTTTATATTGAAAATATTTATATGTTTAGGTACACATATTAAAATTTTTTAATTGTATACCTAAGTTTACATCAAGGTCATTAATTAATTATTTTACTAATTGGTTGTAGGTTTTGAGTGAAGTTCATAACAAAAACATCTCTCGATGCCAATAGCGACGCCTAAGGGTGCAATATTATTTTTGTATTAGAGTAATTGACTTATAATCAAATTTAAAATTAAGAGTATTAAATATAGCCCCCACGCCCCTAAGATTTTAGATTTTAAACGAAGTGATAAATTTGTTGTAAAACAATGTGAATTTTTTTGTATATGACACAATATGAAATCAATAAAATGCTTTGATTTTTAAAACTGTTGTATTCTATTTGATAGCAAATTGTATCTATAGTTTGTACTTTAGAGAAATTAAAAATGTATAATCGAAAAAAACCAAAAAGAAAATTAAGGTAAAAATTGTTTTGTGTGTATGTGTGTAATTTGAGAACAAATAACCATAGATACTTGAATTTTTTAAAAAAATTTTAAATTATTTAATATTCAATACAAAGCTTATTTAAGTTGTTGATTTCTCAGTTAAAATGTATCAAAAATCTATAAATATTTTTTAAAAGCATTTAAAGTTAAAATTTTGAAAAAAAAAATGTATTCAAAACGCAAAAATTAGTAAACCATTTTGTAATTCATTCTATGAGTATAGGTACCTATTATTTGTATTATTATTAGAATACACCACTAATTATTTGCTAAAAAAGAATTAATACAAAAATAACCATAAACATCAATAAAAATATACAAATATTTAGAAAAAATAATTATATTGTATCTAATTATTATTTTATTTTGAAATGTTTTAGTTTATAAAAACATTTGTATTTTATTGTTCTTCAATTTAATCATAATCCGCAACTTAAATCTTTGCTATTACAAGATAACCAGACATTCTAAATAATTTTGTCTACAGAATATGATATATTGAAAATTTAAACTTTGAACAGATATTAAAAGAATTAAGTTCGTAAAAAACACGGAAAAAAAACTTTTAAATAAAAAATACTTAATTTAAATTACTTATTTATTAATTCTTATAGTATTATAATAATAATAAATAGTATATGTTAACTATTTTTGTTATATTATTACATTATAAAAAATTAATTATAATTTATTTCATGTTTATAGTGACTATTAATATTTTTTGATTTTTATCTTGCGTATAAAATTTCAATAATTTTCTTAGATTAGGTAGGTAAATGAAAATGATTTTATCAATTTAATTGATATTATGTGTAATATATTATTTTAATTAACAGTTATATTATTTCTTAACAGTAAATAATTATAAATGTATATTTACCAACAGTGATTATATATTTTAAAGTATTTAAACAAAAATAAGTAGAGCAACGTATTTTTTTTTACATTAATAATAGGAGCCACACCATCAAATATCAGCTCCTGGGCCCCTAAAGGTATAAATTCGTCTTAAGTATATCTTATATGCAACTTCTTTTACGCTCGATTTCTAACCAATACATATGGAATATCAAAAAATATTAAAAATATTGAATTTGAATATACATTGTAGAACAATTGTTCGGATTGTACCAATTATTTTTATTACAAATGTTATATTCAAATAAATGTGATATTAATGGTGAATCTTTGACAGCCTTGAAGAAACAAATTTCACATATGTGTACATACGATTGGAATAAATAATGTTTTGAGCAAACAATTTAATTACAACATTAAATATAACTAAATAAAAAATATTTATTATTATTTATCAATAATATAAAAACAGTAAAAATAATAACTGTTGAAATTTTTAAAAGAAATGTAAATAGCATTTTCAAAAAACAATAAATAATTTTTAATTACTCAGTAACATACTAACATGGAGTTACAGTGCCCTATCTTACATCTTGAGAAACTAAAAATATTTGTACCTACAGTTCATAATATTTAATCATTATTTTCTAGGTACGTTATATTAACACTACCAAGTTAAATAAAAAGTTAAGTAAAATAAATGTCAAATTATAAGCTACCCATAGAATAGAATCAAGTTACTTCGATTTATTTTAATATGGATATTTCAAGGTAAAATAAATTATGTAGATATAGCTTGCGTGATTGGGTTTGTAACATCGCTATCAATAATTGTACAAGGTCGAGGACTTTCAGAGCCTCTATTACTAGGATACGTTTCATGGCTGTAACAAAAGCTAATAGAATAGAGATTTCTCAATAAAATTATTTACAAGTAATGTAACAAAAATTAAAAATTAAAAAATGTAATTACAATATAACTTAAAGTAATTTAATCAATTCTACCAACAAAAATCTAACTTCGGCCTTAGGGACATGCGATATTTGACCTTTGTTAACTTCATCTCTATAGACTATATAGCCTATAATATACAATAATGGAAGTAAGAATTGTTCCATTTTTAGTCCTGTACTTGGCCTATGAATCTAAAACAAAATAAAATAAACATTTTTTAAATCTTTTAATCATAGCGAAATGTAAACAAATCGATTAGCTGACTAACTATCTATTCTTATATGTTCTATGTTCTTATTAGACTAAAGAGGTCTCGATAATTGAGGATCGAGTTATGGTTGACTGATATATTAATACGATTTTCTAAATAATATTTTATTATCATAGAAAACTGCGCGACTAATTCAACCTAACACGATCAACACATAAGTATGTATTCAATATCTGAATTAGTTTTAACATAATAGTCACCATAGTAAGAATTGTATCAGAAAATTCACATTATTTATAAAAATCAATTAGAAATGTAGTTTGTTGTATAAATTATTCCTATATCTCTAGTAAATTAATTTGACTGATTCAGTATAGGTATAAATACTTAAACTAGAATTTCCTTTATCCTACTTCTATCTAGCACATCTGCTGAGCAAAACGTATGACTGACTATACGTAGCTAATATTTATTAAATTGTTATAATTGTTATTGATAAATAAAATTTAATTTTAAGTTTTTATAACATTTTAGTTATGATATAACCTATCATACTAATTTTTAAATTAAAGAAACTAAACGTGAACTTCTAAGCTATCATAATTTGCTATTATGTTGTTACGCACACGTGTAAGACAGAGATAACAAATGCAAGTATAACGTCCTCTTAATACATACAAAAATGTAAAATATTGATTTAAACTTACTTTCCATCAAAATATATTAGAGTTAACAGAGTAACAAAATTCACGCTTGAAAAATTCACAATTACATACTATGACTTATGCCGATAGCAAAATTAACAGAAAATCCCTCATTAGCTTCCACAAAACTGAAGTAGGTACCTAACTTCTATAAACACCATTCATGGTTAATAAATCTCCGAGTAATATACTTTCAGTTGACTGTCATGACACATTGACACGCATCAATATCAACGATCTATCATCCCTTACACAATTCTTAAGTAATTGCAATTGAATTTGTATACTCAATAAAATTAAACAGTTAGGTACTTTTTAAGGAATAGTAACTAGTCAAGGAGCCTCTTTAAGTTTGCAATAAAATTGATTTGAATTGCAATTTTTATGAAAACATATAAATTGTTGTTTTGGATATTTTTCAACAGTACTGCTTGTGATGGAAATGAAAAAAAAATGTTTATGAAAAATACAATAAACTTAATCAAATCAATAATATCTTATACGTAGATTAGAAATATACAATTTAAAATAGGTACTGTTATATCAACACATAGATTTTGTTTAAACAAAGATACTACTCGCATAAATATCATCACGTGGAATTGGAAGAACATATAAAATTAATGATGGATTCGATTTATTAATTCAAAAATCTTTTTCCAGATCGTTTAAAAATGTAAATTTAATCTTCCATCAACCGTGGAAAAACTAAAAATTATACTCATTAGCTTTCAAAAAAATAATTTTGTAATAAATATTTAGATATTATACCTAACAAGCTTTAATAGTGTACATTTTATTCCTCTTCTGTCCTTATAAGACTTTAAGCTTTAAGCAAATAATAAATTACAAACTTGACGATTCTTTAAAAAAATTTGAAATGTAGAAATTCGTTAGAAAATATAATACAAAATAAAATAAATTTTTTTTTACTTATAAAGTTATTTTTTATTATTTTAAATCTATTCCAATCCAGTTGAGTTGCGGAAATTCGAAAATCTTCAAAACTTTTTTTCGTGCCTTTGAAGCAACGGAATCAAAAAAATAAGATATTATTATTTTCATTATTAGGCATTTGTTAAATTTTAATTATAGACTTACCTTACACCTACATGTAAATGTTTTCAAGACAAAAGCACCTCCCAAAAAAAAAAAAAAAAATTTAAACTCAAATTGTGCCTAAGGATTGATTGAAGAAAATCACCCGGATGAGAATTTAAGGAGTGGAAAGAGGTTATGTATTCACCTAGTAATCAAAATATATTAGTAGTGGTCAGGTAAATATTATTTTTGAAGAGGCAACTTATATTAATTATGACTCATAATTTATGAGTACCGTCTACACTCTACTCAATACTCATTATAGGTATACTTCGTCAATCAGCATAGAGCTGATCACATTAGCATTAAATTTTAATACAATAATAATTAAAATTATCATTTATAACATAAATAAAAAACTGTACAAAGTGGAGACTATCTTTCTGAATTCTGATAACCTTTTATAACTGAAATTCAAGTTTTTATTTGTAATAATATCAAATACGGCAAATTGTATTATGTCATATTATAATTTTGATATGAAAAAATATTTTTCAACACTGAAAGGAAAGATATACCTATTATAAAATAATGTTAATAGGTTCGTGTTACCTTTAATAAATATCTTTTAGTTAGTCAAAATATTTTGGAAATTTTACTATACATAGAAAATAGTAACAAATCACAAAGTATTTACAACAAGTATATTTATAAATTATATGAATTATAGAATCATAAAAAATCTAACATAAACAAAATGTGAAATTTTAAAGTATCTACGGTTATTTGTCTATGAATTAGATACAACTTTAAAAGAAAGTAAATCGTTGATGAGAATTCGTTATTTTACGAATGAATTTATCTAATTTCGTCAAAATTTAAACTTTTGACGCTCATGAAAAATACTCGAGTGATTAAGCTCAATTTTTATTTCAGTCCTAGCATAGAAAACTAACTTTTGAAGAATCTTGTATTCAATTTTCAAATCTTGGGTACTTCCGTATATTATAAAGACGACTACAAACAGTATACTATAAATTAGCCTTTAAATGTAACATTATTTGTAACTTTGTAAGCCACATTCTCCTTACTAATCAGTAGACAGTAACCATTATTAAATTTGTTTCACATTGTTGGTTTACCAGAAAGAAAAAAAAATGAATCATTTAACGTTTTTATATAAACTTGTAAATTATATTGTACTAATTGTCCAAAGTTTTCTTAATTTTAACGTCCCTCGGCATAGAACTAGATCTACTACCATTTTTTGCATTTGTTTACAAAGAACAAACTATGCTTTTGCTGCACCTATCAATAGAATTATGTCATTAACTAATGATCAAAAAATTTATTTATTTAACTTTACTTTCCTTACAATCTTTTAATAATTGTATGAATAGATTTTTATATTTTTAAATGATTTTTATTTGTATTACCTATTATTGTTTTACTGTGGTTATTATTATTATTTTTATTTGTCATTTACGTTATTAATATCATTGTCAATATTGTATTATTATACTGTAACTCGGATCTTATGATATGTCAAAATTTAGATAAATAAAAAATATTTATGTAATATTGGGGCACAATATTAAAATATCAATGTTCTGTTACAATCTTCCATAATCTTCTGACTTGTCTTAATTTTTTATGTACATGAACAACATTTGTCTAAATAATATTCTTCGAGAAAACTGAAAAGTATATTAATCTTTCGTTTAATCATTTTAAAATCCTAATGAAACAGATAATTTATACTATTCAAAAATAATTTGGCAACTGATTTATTTTTTCATACACATTTTTAGTTTATGCGCTATATTCTAGTCTATAAGAAAAGTATCTTAGTTAAAACTCGTTTGAGTTGACGCATTCCTCGCTCATAAAATATATTGACAATTAAAGGGCATTTACATTAATATCAGTTGCTATGGTTGGTCTTCATATGCAAAATAGTTTTACTTTTCTTATGGGCTAGACTGCTAGAGTATACATGTAAAATAGTAAGCATGACAGAGTGTATGATATAATAAATTTCATTCAGGTAAAATATTTATATTATGCCTAAAAAACTTGGACAAAGAACTAAATAGAAGAAGCTATTAATCAGCTTTTCTAAATATAGCACATGTAAAAAGGAAAAATAAAAAAGTAAAAGAAACATTTTAAAACCTTAAAATATAAGAATAAGTAATATTCTACGCTTAACAATCAAGATTTTCATAAATATAAAATGAAAATATAACATTTTAATCAATCATTATTCTTTATTTTAAATGTTCATAATAATATAATAAATATAATAGTAATTAATTTTAAAACTTATAATTTAAGGGCTTATTTTCAAAGTAAAATGTTTCTATTTTCTTAACTTTAATTGATTTCTAATTGACTTCCAACTTGATGGAAACTTTCGAACATCACACTCATATAAACGTTTTTTCGTAAAGAGAGCTTTAATGTCAATTACATAAGAAGATTCTTCAATTTTGCCATGCATTAAATAATTCTGAAACATAAATCACATTTAAACATTATAAACACCAGAAATACAAATATTAAATTTTTCAAATTCAATAATTCATTATTGTTTTCATGATTAGATAAATTTGGCTCAGTAACTCAACCAATTTTAGTAGAGAAAGATACAAAAATATTTTTATAATAATTATTATTTTATTTTTTATTAAAATAATAGTTTTTTTTTTTTTTAAATTTTCTAAAACAAATTTTATAACTATTTGTATTTATCAATCTATAATAACATAGTTTAATTCTTTAAGAAAATATATCACTGTTATAATTTACTTATTATTTTGTAATCAATGTATAATTAAATGAATCATAAAAATCTAAATATAATTTCAATAATAATAATAAACAATAAACATACCTTAACAACATTCATTTCAAAAGAATTTTTCTGTCGTGTTATTAACTGTTTTATATGTTTCATAGCTCTGTTTGAAAACCATCTCCGGTGTACAGTTTTTAATATCATTGGCATCAAGTCAGATAAACTCTTTTTTTTATATTTCGCTCGAGTATTAGCACTCTCTTTCAGCTTCTTATAAATATAATCTATTTTTAATACCAAAAGTCTATAAAAAAAAAATTTAATAATATTTTAAAATAAGATTTAAATTTAAGAAAATATATATTATAATTACATCAATATTTTTTTAATTATGTCTCTCGTATTTAAAACAAATTTGTATTTATTAGTTACAAAGTTTTTGTGAAAATATAATTATATTTTAGCATACGTATACTTTATATTACTTTTTCAAGACATCAGTACAACTTCAAGAAATTCAAATAAATAAATTTTTTTAAACTTTTAGATAATGCCTTACATTTTTTATTTAAGTATTAAAATTGCTTTATTTGAATTTGTTTTAGAATTTTCAAGTATGAATTTACTTTGATATACATTAAAAAAATAAATCGAAAAAATATTGATGTAATGTCTTTCCAATTAAAAAGAATATAGAAGGTAATACTTCTCTTCTGAAGGTCCAATAGGACAATGTACAATTTCATGATGGTAAGTTCTTGTTGGTAACAACTGAGGATAGATAAACACAGGTTTATCATAATATAGCATAAACTCTTTCACATTTAATGGTAATACAACATAGTCGCTAAAAATAATAATAAAATACTTAGTGATAATAATTATTAATTTAAAAATGAATGATAAATCAAATAACAATTCCAATAGTTATTTCAACAGATACATAAAAATAATTAAAGTGAGATACAATTTAACCAATTTTATGTGTTTAGCTTAAATGTAAAATGACCTATTATTATCAAACTTAAAAGTAATAATATTATCTGTGTTCTCTCATCAATTAGTTTGTGTAATTAAATTTACAAACAAGTTATGAGTATGTTAAATATTTACACATTGTCTATAATATATTTTAAAATGTTGGATAATAGGTCATTTCATTAAAATATTTAAGTTCAACACACAAAATTGGTTTTACTGAACAAAAAATTGTCATGTTGTACGTTTGTAAAACATCAACACATGCAGATATAACATTCTATTAAGATTATAATAATTTTTAAGGTACTAAAAATATTACCTATTAATATCCTTTTCTCTGGTTACAACTTCAGTCCAATCTCGAATAAATTTTAAAGAAGGATGTATATTAATTGGTATATACTTTTTATCTTTACAAAAATTTTTGATTTGCTCCTAAAATCAGTAAGTATTAAATTAATCATAATAATATCTAAAATAAATTAAATGACTTACCAACATAGCTTTATACTTTCTGCAATTATTTTGATACTTTTTTGACATTGTACTTAACAAGTAATTTTGAGTTATTAATTGGACATGTTGTGTGAGTTGTTGTTTGAATAAAATAATTTGTTTTTGTGTCATTATGTTTACTTGGTTAATATTTACATATTGAGGAACTATATTTGTTATCACAGACATTTCTTCATTAAAATTGTTCTGTTCAATGCCCAACTGAAAATTGTCTTTAAATGTTGGTAAAGGAAGTATACAGCTACGCTTTTCAAGATTTTCATTGATACTAAGTAGACTATTATTAAACTCTGAAACATTAAACTGTTTATCTATTTGTGTGTTATATCTGGCCACTTCTACAGGTTCTGCATAATAATTTGTAAAATTGGTGGTTGATTTTGGATTAGAATAATTTAACATAAAAACTGGATTTAATTGACAACAACTTGTACGTTTAACAGCATTCTATAAATAATAATCATACACAATTATGATAATAAAAATTTAATTTAATGAATAAATCAAAAAAAATATATAAAATTACTTTATTGTTTAAAGCACTAGTAGTATTTGATTTCCAATCATGATAATTATTTTGAATACTGGCATGAACAGGAATAGATTGATCATCATTTTTAAGTTTAACATCGTTCTATAAAAAAATTAATTGTAAAAATAATATAAACATATAAAAAGTTATAGATTGAATACCTCATCATTATCAATTTCTTTAATATCAGTAGGAATTTCTAATGCTTCTTGACCGTTGAATTTAAGGAAGCTTTCAGTAAATTCATTCAATTCATTCATTAAATCATTATACTCTTTACGTGTGACTTTCACTGATTTATCAATACGAAATTCTTCTTTATCAACTATTAGAAATCACAATTATTTAATCATTAAAAATTATAAGAACACTGATATAATACAATAGTATTATACTCTATTTATTTTAGTAGTTACCATTAGTAAAATCATCATCACCAAGAACATTATATTCTGGATCATCTTCACCATCATCATTCTGAACCGACTCTAAAACAAAATAATAAAAATTAATAATACATAATTGCATAAATATATATAATGTACAAATACATAAAAATACATAATTATATAATTAAATCTAAAAGAACTTGATCTATAAAAATAAATTATAAAAATAAATAAGATAATAATCAATATTTTAATACATTCTAAATTACTAATAATAAACTACAATTTAATTTTAGCTTATACCATCAAATTTGTTTATTTATATTTGTATTAAGTTATGTGAATACTAAAAAACTACAACTAAATATATACTTTAAATTCTAAATGTAATTATGTTTATCATAAAAGATAATTTTGTTTTTCAAAAGCTAATAACCATATCAACTATAATTGTATCAATAAATTAAACACACCTAAAGGCTTTGTAAATTCACTAAGAAACTCCAACCATTCATCATTTTCACAAGCTGAATCATACATATCCTCGGTGATATCTGGTGGTATAAAAGCTTGTTCAATTATTTCTAACGGAGTATCATTTAAAGATAACTTTGACCTTGTACGCATTCCAATTGTTTCCTTAACAAATCAAATATATTTGAAATCCAGTTAAATTGCTGCATATAACAAACACATTCATTATTTTGTACCTTTTCATTTACATCAACTATAGTTTTATTATCACTAATATCAGGATCATTTTCTGTATCAAATGATTTATTAACTTCTCTTGATTTAAAGTCATCATCGTCATCTTCATCTTCTTCCTCCTCAAACATTTTATCTGGATGATACTCTTCATCTTCAGAATCATCAGGAAATTCTTTTTCAATTAATGATTTGCATTCTGATAAGATTGATTGTTCCTGGTTTGTAGACAACTGATGAGTAGAAGTTGGATAATTATTTAACATTTCTCTGAAATAATCAAAGTATATTTTTTATGTAATATTGTTTTATTTTTTTCATGTCTTTGAAAGACATAAAAATAACAAATAATTTTATAATATACAGTAAAAAAAAATTAAAGTAATAAAAACATGACAATTTAAAATAATCACCAATGAACCTATAGCAAGGATCCTTAAATAAAATTAATTAATTTTACCTTATTTTTGCTCTTGTAAATTTTGGTTCATATAAGCAATTGGCGTCTATATTTTCATCTAAAGTTTGTCGTAACATTGTAGCTACATCAGCATTTGTAATTACATTCTGGAAAAAAAATACTAGTAAATTTTTAATATAGCTAAGTAATATTAAAATTAATTTATAGTTAATTAAAAAACAAATTTCCATTCAATATAAGGATAAAATAATTGTGTAAGTACTAAAAACTTTGTATTTTTAAAAATTTGATATTTGAAAATTGTTGTTTTAATAATCATGTATTATATATTATATTAATGACCACAAAAAGATAAATCCTGTTACTACAAATTTAATACTTAATTTAATATATTTTATAGAAAGAAATTATCAATTAGATTTAACTATACCTTGATAAGATTCTTGACATTTGTTTTAGTAAATTTTCTTTTCTTTGCTTTATCATTCAGTATTTTATCTATATCAAAATTTGACTCCATTTGACTAGCAACTATTAATGCATCTAATTCCTTTTCAGCTCTGAAAATCAAATCAACAGTAAATTTTGTATTAGTATTAAAACATGATTAATTGACATATATCTAGGCAGATAACATTACATCATGCATTTATGATTTATAACTTTATCAGCTTTATTATACACAGCAAAAAAAAAAAATAAAATATAATATAATCAGTATATATGAATAATAAATATGTATAACTTTTGTATTATAACAGATTATAATATATAATCTATATATTCTAAACCTAAAGTATACATAATATAACTTATTGTACAAAATCATCTTTGTACATTAATTAGATTTTAAAATTCCTATATTACAATATTATAAGCAATTTAAACAGCTTCACAAGTAAGAAAATAGTAGTCATAACCAGCATAATGTTTTAAAGTTAGTGTATTTTTATACAATCCTCATAATTCACTCATTTAAACTACTTATCTTGATAAACAACTCATAATTTGTCTAATTATATTGTTATTTTTAATTTTTTGCAGACAATATTTAAACTATAATTCATATTATAGTAGCAAATTACACACTTTTTAATACAAAGTGTGATCATAACTTTAGATGATTTTCTCGAATCAATGAAATAATTTTTTTATTTTTTTTATTGAACTTAAGCTTTGGCGACTAGGGCCATTAGCTGTTATAGGGGTTATGAACTGTGGTAGGGGTAAGATTGGTACAGTAGGTTTTTTTTTTTTATGATTGTTATGGTTGATAGAAAACACGTGTATGTGTGGCAAGGTTTTTAACCACTATGATCCCGGATGGTCACCCATCCGGGAGCTAGTAGCTGTAGCCGTTACTTACTCTCAGTCACATTCCGCGACTGGTAGCAACCAACGCGCCATGCCAAGCCACCAATGATGTAATATGTAAGGTTATTTATTTAAAACTCTTTTTATAAATAACATAAGATAAAATATACAGTGCACAGAGGCAATGTCAATTTAATCATTTATTGCTCATTATTTTAATTTAGGTTCAAATTAATAGTGGTATATAATAATAAAATCAAATGAGAAATATCTACTCGTCTCCTGTCATCATATTTCTTTAGTGAGTTAAACCCAGATCAAAATAATGAGCAATAAATAATTGCATTGACATTATGCCTCTATTATGTCATTTAAATCTATGATAATAAATATTAAATACCATTATATTATAAAAAAATAATATATTTATTATAATAAATTATATTATTGAATTCAAATAATGAGAATTTATATTTTTTAATGTCAGTGGCAGTGTGTTTACACAACTAGTAAACGTTTGTTTACTGTATATGCATATGCATAGAAATAAACTTATATAAGTTAGTAATTTTTTCTTACACATTGAATAGAATAATTTATTGTATTATTTTGTGGTACCAAAAACAAATAGATGAAAACTATTGAAGTATAAGATGTGATTTTTGTTTACATTATTACAAAATTTAATAAACAGGGACCTATAACTTGAAAATTCATAATATAGCTAGCATAGACAGCACAACTATTAATATTCAATAACATCTATTGAACTAGTAAAATATAATTTTATGTGTTTAATATATCATGCATATAGAGGAAAAATATACAATATAGCCGATAGTTATCAATATGTATAAATAAATAGGAATAAATAATTAACAAAACATAGAATGTCCATGTATTCATGTTATGTGTATGTAATTCAATATAACATAAAGCATACATTATTGGCTAACAACATATAATCACGGATAATAATGTGTTAATTAGATTTAATATTTGAAAATAAAATTGAAGTGGTAAGAGTGTACTGACAATGTTAAACAAATACACTGTATTAAGACTTACACTTGATTATTACTTTTTTTATATAAATTATTTCATATTTTATTTACTCAGTTTTTTTATTTCTTGTAAGTAGTAACAAAATTTTACTAATTAGGGTATAAACTAATTGGTATTTGTTACATGATGATTATTACATTGAAATCGGTTTTAAGTTTCAAAAATATTAATTAAATCATAAGGAAACACTACCAATTATAAATGTAACTAAATATGGTTTATGTACGGTATCATTTTAAGCCATGGTCAAAGTCATAATTTTTTAGTTTTTTTCAATAAATGTATACAATATGTCTAACAACAAATAAAGATTTGTTTTGGAATTAAAATACAATAATATTTGTAAATACATACGTCATTTCCATTTCGTCATACAATTGATTGTCCATTTCGAAAAAAAAAAACCAAAATCTTCGTAATCTCGTAAAATAAATCTAAAGGCACAATATAGATTTTATTACAAAAAACGTTTTTAAACACTGTGTATGTAAAACTCGCATCAGAAAACCGTTCACAACAATAATGATAAAAACAAAAGAATTGAGGTGGTTCTAAAAGGCTATCTAACAAAGCTAAACAACTATGAATATAACATTAAACAAAAAAAAAATATATATATAGTGTTAGTAAATGGTTCACAAATTGTATTAAACTCGCTAATTTAATTCCTGACTAGAATCCAAACATTTGGCCCACTAATTTTCTGTGAAGTAGTTAACTGAAAGTGATAAGCATTTATTCGAATAATGATAAGAGTTCGAGATTCGAAAACAAAAAAGTACCAACCAAGTACAACTCACTACCGTCAGTTGTTATCGAAATACTGTGTTTATCACTTTGTTTATCATGCACCGATCGTTTACTGTTACGAATTACAACTATATAGTACGATAATAAATTGTTACTTCGTAGTCCGTATCAACCTTACCGCTCTGTTAAACATACAGATATATTATATACAATACATTTATATATCTGTGGTTAAATATAAATTTTTTATTATTCTGTGGTAAAATATAACTCGGGTCTCGGAAAATAATATTAATAATATGATAATTAAATAATTAATGAGTATAACAATTAATATTATGTTCATATTGTATTATCTGTTTTTTATGATTGTACTATTTTAGCATTTTATAATATTATCTACAAGCCTTGGGTTACTGTAATATTGGATATTATATTGTATTTATGTGACTATGTGTCCGTTTTTTGTACATTATGCAAAATAATTCAATAATTTAAATTATAGGTATGCTGAAATATAAATGTATATATATATCGAATAAATAAACACCTAAGTAAATTATTAAATAGATGTACTGATGTACATAGTAATATATTATATAGTAGATATATTAGTACTGCAATATAATATTAGTTTCATATTTCAGTATCATCATTTGAAAACTACTACAAATAAGAGAGAAAATACATATTTATTTTTCTATAATTAGGTCAATAATACTTTATTTATGATTAGGGCTCGGAACTTGAAGACCTAAAAATCTTTAAAAAAAAATGCATACAAAAAAGCATTAAAATGACATAAATTTCAAAAAAATGACCCTAAAATACCGAAAAATAACATAAAATTTTCAAAAATTACGTTTTTTAATAATAGGTCATAAAAAATCATCATTTTTAAATTTAATATTTTTAATCAATTTTTGTATATTAAATGGATTACATTTAAGTAAAATGAATTATGTAAAGTAGTTTAAAACTCATGATCTATAACAAAAACAAATGGTATAAGTTTAAAATTGTTCAAAACAAAAAAGAATGTTTTAAAAGATTTCAAAAATGTATACATTTGAAACCGTAATTTACATATTATCAGTGTCGATCTGGCCCACCCGGCTACCCCGCGATTGCCGGGGGCCCCTGGACATTTTTATGTATTAGGAGCCCATTCATAAACATTTTATAGTATGATATAATGGAATAAAGGTTTTTAGTTTATTTAATGTATTGTATTATTAAATTGATGTACATTATAAACAATTTAAAATAGTAAATGATTCATAACAAATCTAATGGTAATGGTTTCAAAGTTGTTAAAACTGATTGAAGTTATAATTTGTAATTTACAATTTACATGAGGACTGAAGTTATTGATGATAGTAAGTATTATCATAATTTTCTTTGATATTGTTGAACTGAATAATGAGTAATAAATGTCATCGATTTGCTGTCTCAATAAAACAAACCAAATTTTATCTTTTGACACCAGATACCATATGCCAGTACTATTTTTTGAAACATTGAACTTAATAATATTGTTAGGTATACAATATTATACTAACTTTTTGAAAATACTATTATGTAATACATAGAAGTTATAAATTTATATTTTATCATTAAAACTAATGCATAGCATATTGAGGTACCAGTTAATAATAAATAATAAAACACATAAAAATATATTCTTTTGTTTAAAGTTTTATTAATTTCAATAATCATACATAAGAATAGTTATTATATTTTCAAAAACAAGGTTGCATAGTGCATACTATTCTTATTATAAATAAACACAACTTAAAAGTTGATAGGTATAATATAAAAATAAATAATGAAGAATATAAATTCAAAGTTGTGAATTAAAAACTGATTATTTTATAAACATTTAAGTACCTATTTCAATTTTACATAGGTACATCACATAATTATGATATAAAATAATGAATTTCTAGATTAAATTAAATTTCTAATAAACTTATTGGACAAAACAGTATATGATTTTAAATTTAAATTTCATTCTGAATCTATTGGTTATAGTTTCAAAGTTATGAATTGAAAACTGATTATTTTAAAAATATTTGGAAATTTGAATTTTACATATCTCTCACGGTTATGAAATTAAATAATCATTTTAAAAATTATCAAATATAGTATATAAATTTAATTATATTATATTTTATTTGCCCTTATACTTATGTTGTTGAACTTGCAAATATGTAATCATTTTATATAATTAAGTGTCTTATACGTTTACACTAAACAAAGTTTTTATTCTTTCTAGTTGGTGTATCGTGGTTATAAGATACCTATCTAATAATCCTTGTAATATATATTCATGAATTGTTTGAACAACAGCACAAACGTGCGACAACCTATTATGTAAATGATGTATATGCACTACTTTCAAATTGCAATAATCTATAGATACAAGTCATGGACAACTTAAAACTAAACATCAGTATGTACTAGTCAAATTAAAATTATTTTGTGGGCTTAATTCCTGATCTACCAATAGAAATTCAACATAAAGAAAATAATACCTGCCAGCACTTTGCAACATATTCAAATAATAACAGTTAACAAAAAATAATTTTCGTTTTATCACATAGGTCATCTGCGAGTATGTGGATGTGTAATGTATATTGAGTATAGTAAAATATGACAATGGCAATAAATCATAGAAGACTATTGACAATAATTTATAAATAGACTGGTTGCGTCACAGCGAAAACCAATGGAGAAAAATAAAAGGACGAGCTAATTTAAGCAATACAGTGAAATTCGTGGTACGTAGGAAAAAATAGATTACACAGCCGTACCGAACCGACACTCACTCAAAATGAATCTTATTACCATTATCAAACGGCGGTAGACTGATAATCATAATTGCCCATGGTTTCAGTAATTGAACCTGATAAATTGAAAAGAGACATATGTACAGACTACACTCTACAGACACTGAGATACACACATCGACATGTACAAAAATACTGCTTAAAATTAAGAGGGCGTCACAGTAAAAGTGAAACGTATACAACGCTCAAGAGATGGCGTTGAATTTCATATCGCCGCCGTCGCGGTAGGCCGTAACCACGCCTATCGTGTACGCGACGGGGTCCGCGTGTTGTTATTGCGGGAGAGGTACATTATTATTTCACAGACTGTCGTTTAGAACGTTTCGCGTCAAACGTCATTACAGGCCGTTACGTAAATTGTCGCCCGTGAATTCTATACGGTGTGCTGACTCGCTACTGGCTAGCAAGTCGCAAACCTATTTTTTAATTAAAGCTCCTGTTTGCTTAAAAATATTAACCAATAAATTAAGCATACAAATTATTATACACCAGAACTCGATTTATATTTCTAACCCAATTACTTTTTAAAATACATATAAAATAATAATTTCACTACGATTAAATAGATTTTTTAGTAAAAGTGTTACGTATTTTACGTTGTAACTTATAAATGACATGAAGCAATTTTTTGTTCGATAATTTAATTTTTTATTTATTAATAACATTTTAAATAGTTCTGATTAGTAAATATTGATGTATTTACTTATTTTAATTTTAAACATAATACCTACATAAAATATGAAGTTGATTGTTGTACATAATATTTATTAAATAAATACCTACTGTAATAATATAATTATTTATATTATTGCAATTGCAGTACCTATATGTAAAAAAAACAATATGTATAAACTAAACATTTTTATTGTTCATATAATATATATAAATTAAAATTAAATTATGTAGGTACTTACAAATGTACAGAACACATTTATTTACACATAATAATTAATTAAAACACAACATTTGGATCAATGACAATTTATAATAATTGATAACTTAAATTAATGCTAGCGGTCATATAGATAATGGATAACTGACTTACTATAATATAATATTACACCTATACTTTAATTTTAAAAATGTCATAATATGTACGTGAAATTATCTATATAAAATTTGCATAGTTATGTGTACAATAATAAAATGAAATATAATACATAACATTATGCAATTAACATTTTATGTATTTATTTTGCGTTGTAATAAAAAAAAAATCATCTGTAACAATATTTATAGTTCCATATAAAATTAATTTTTATACAAACTAAATAATTTAATATATTAATAAATACTTATGATACAAATATTTTTAAATAAAAATGGGTACAAATATTTTTTAATTTTTTAATTTTGACGGTTTTAAACCATTTCAAACGGAAGATTTGGATAAATATTGGTTTTATTATTATAATGCCGAACATTTTTTCTTTCCAAAGAGAAATCATCAAACTCTTAATTTTTTTTGTATTTTTGTTTATGAGACTGGAGTATTAAGTTATGGGTAATACTAGAAAAAAATCCTGCTAAAAGCTTTGTACTCCACCCAAAGGTTTGATATAAAAAAGTTATATTAATAACTGTGTCAACAATAGTTAATACTAATTTTGCAACAAAGAATATTCCCATTAGCCCAGATACAAAAGTTCCAATTGTTGTAAACCAACCCCATATTTTAAATAGCTTATCTTCTACCATTTTTCCAAGCGTGTTTTCATCTATCAAATATTTGAATTGCAGACCTTGGTTAGTGGTATCATATCCCATAGATTGTCTGATTATATTATTCGTAGCAGCTTTCACTTCTTGCGGGAACAATATATGCTGTTGGAAAGCTTTCATTGTATCCTGCGTATATATACCGGCATTCATAAGAAATTCCGGACTTTTATACGACCATGTCCAGGACATGGCCAGTTTAAGCTTTTGTGGTTTTTTAATTTCTTGAATATTTGGTAGAACGGCAAACCATTCACCGCCCAATTCGAACGCAGGTGGTAAAAGCACATTGCAGTCCACCTGTGTTCCAAATTACTGTAAAATATGGGTTTTGGGCGCCATAAATAATGTTTTGTTGTTATATAATACTGGCAGTTCATTAAAACAATCTTTTTTGTGAAATTTCTACGTTGAATTTTTTACATTTTATTAAGTAGATAATTTCACTGCCTTTTATTGCGGTAAACCCTGGTCCACCACCTATTAAATATGCCAATTCTGAAAGACTAGAAGATGCTAATGTGAGTCGTTGCTCAAGTAATTTTCTGTCTAGCTCACATTGTTTAAGTAGTATATCGTTATACAACGATGTAATAGTTGATTTGAAGAAATTTTCGACATAAACAAATTTTGTGTTTATGTAAGCTAATAAATTAGTATTTTGAGCAATTATGGTTTTTCGTGTGAAATAATTAAAAAATGTAGGTTCTGTTAAAATTAATAACTGCATATGTTCAGTTCTGAATAACTGGGATTCCTGTGCAAGCGAACGTTTTTTTGACTTTTTTTTAAAACAAAGACTATTTTGTCAGTCTCCACAATATAAGTATATGTATTTGAACTTTCATCAATAGTATTTGACGTAATTAATGACGCTGGTCCATTATATAGGACACTGATATCGTGTTCTTCACAGTTTATGTTATTGTTTGACCAGATAGTTTCACCTTTAAAAGCATCAATGCCGTAATTGTCTGATAACTTAAGTTTTGTACCTGTTGGAAGTATATCCACTATTCGTCTTCCCGAACTTTCATTTACATCGCATGGTCTGTTATAACATTTAAATAATAATATTTAATTTTTAAAACTGTTATAACCAATATTCGAAACGGATGAAATACGCTGATTTTTCAAAAATAATAACAAATTCGCGAATTAGTAGACTCATATATTCAATCAAATTTTAAATTAAAAATCATACTTGGATTCTTGATTACTACATATAAATTTATCAAATGTCAAGTTATGTAAAACTTTTTCAGTACCCCAATCATTAGTTTCATTATCCCTCAAATCCACCATTTTGCTAAAAAAATTTAATAAAACATATGTATTATAAATAAAAAATAAAAAATAATTATAGTTTTAGTTTTCATACAATAAAACTTAGATGGCTACAAATAATTAAAATTTACCTAATTGTTTCCCTCGATGAGCATGGTGGTTGATTGCCAGCACCTAAGAAAAAAGATTCCACAACAGGTTCTACGACATCTGGGTTGGAACTTTGTTCACACAAATTTAGTCAAATTAATAACCATATTTGATAATAATATAATAAATAGTTATACTTAGTTTTGGCACGAATTCCTAGAATATTCATCACTCGAGAACTCAGCGATTTTTTAACTGATAATTTTTTTGATGGGAAGCGATGAGTTGTTTTTTTAGGTTGATCCATTTTCACGTTAAAAAAATTTAAAAAAATATAAAACCGTAATAAAATTCCAATGAAAATCTAAGTTATTACTGATGTTAACAGTTGGACAAAATGACAATATTTGATATTTACTGTCATCAATAATTGAATAATTAAATAATTATTATTTAGATACTCACCCTCTTTCATGTTACCGACGGGCGACGACGTGAATACGATAAGTGTTGATAACAAATAAAAATATAAAATTTATACCGATCAAGCGAATGATTGACCTTTGCCATATAATAGACTATATGGATTATTTATCATATCATGCATTTATTCAAATCGTATTACAAAAAAAAACTCATGATTAGGATACTATATACATCTAGCTATCTATGAATGAGTATAGGACATGGATAGTTTAGACTAAAAGACGCGAGTATATCTTCAAATACTATATAAATTAATAAATTACATGATACGTAATATTGGTAAAATATATTTGTAAATAATATATAAATTATTGTTTTATGTATTAGGCATTAGCAAATTGTGTTTGATAGAAAATAACAAAATTTCTGTGTATTATCACAGAATAGAAAATACGTAAAAATAAAGAAAATGTGCAAATTATTTTGTTAGAAATTCATAACAATTTTTATTTTTAAATCTAAAATCTAAAATTTAAAAATTTAGTACAAGATTCTTCATAAATTTGTCTAATTTTATGAAAAAAATATCTACCGGAAATACAAATTTAATTTTTATGAGTGTTTGAAATTCAGATTTTTACAACATTGGATATTCACTCTATTTATCATTTAGCGATTTTCTTATGTTGTAATTAAAAAAATGAATAACTGTAGATACTTTTAATAATTTATACTATATATCTATTGTATCAATTCCTATACTTGATACTATTTTCAAAAAATTTTCACTTTTTCTGAGCTGTTTACGAACATTTTCAATTTTTTTTTTATAGTTGTTGATAAATTATTAATTATAAATTTGTTGGGTCAAGAAGCGCGAAAATTTAATTCAAGGCTCCTGCACATGTTATTGTTACAATAGCAGTTGAAAAATATTAAAAATCAACGTGCACAAGTTTTTCTTATAAGTTTTTTATGTTTGAATTTTGAAAAAAAATTGTCAAATTTTAAATTATTTTCTAGTTACAAATATATATTATTATAATATATCATAGGCTGATTCTTCGTCTTCGTTAGGATTCGTTTTTCTTATACAATATTATATCACTAAATTCAAATTTAACACAATCCAGTAGGTATGTAGTGACTCACTTGTAATCTACTGTAAAGCAGAGCGACACCCACTTGGCTACCTTTTTTTACTTATACAGTTCAACTAATTTAAATTTTAAAAAATTCGTCTTGAATATCAATACGCTAATTTTATGGAACAATTGTCTATAATTAAAAAAAAAAATTGTTTAAATCGTATGTTTTCTAGCTGATGTGTGACAATTTTACAATATAATATGATGTAGTTCCATTTTGCGCAAAATACGATTTATAACATCGAAAAATAAAATAATATTATTCTTTGACAAAATTATTATTTTCGTATTGACGTATTTGGCTATTTATAAACCGTGCGCGGCTACGATAAATAACCAGTTTTGACCTTAGATGCGGTACGGCTGCTTATGTAAGCGGGGTGGTGGAAGAAGTATTATTTCAGAACGCTGCCGCTATAATCGTTTTAGCAGCACATGACGACGGCAAATTCATAATTTTTTTGCCAAAACATGCTTTCGTACTTCCAATAGTACTCAGGCCTCGTTGATCGTAGAAACATGATTTTGGTATCAAAATAATCACGAGAAGTTGTACTAAATATTCTTGGAACAGATTTTTGATATCTAAATTTGCCGATTTTATATAATTTTTTAAAAAAATGAAAATTTTACAAATTTCAAACACAAATAAAATTGGTTAGAAAAAATATTTTAAAATTCTGTTCCAAGAATATTTAGTACAACTTCTCGTGATTATTTTGATACCAAAATCATGTTTCTACGATCAACGAGGCCAGAGAACTATTGGAAGTACGAAAGCATGTTTTACGGTCGATTTTTTTCTACTGTGACGCCCTCTTAACTTATTTTGATAATAATTTCCAGGCGCATCGGTGCATCAGTGGCGATTATCATGACAAATTGACAAATAATTATTTTGTCGTGGCCATAATGACAGCACACACGCAAACCCTCTCAGATTCCATTCTAGCCGCGGGCGGGCACACGGAAAAACATTACGTTACGTATTATTGCTGGATCATTCCTGAAAAAAGTCAAAAAACACGCAAATAATAGTTGTTCTTTCTAAAATACATTTTTCCCAACGTGGCTGGTATTCTCATAGGAAACTTATTATATTAACTCCAGTGGATAATTTCGTAAACATAAGTACCTACTTGTATGTTTACCCGATGTGACCCCGAGTATCAACCTAAGCTAACAGAACTTTTTCTTAAATATAATAGTAACGATAAATACAATTAGGTATTCATTACATATATGACATAACGAAAGTAAAGAAAATGTAATAAATTTAATTGGATAAGCTGTTGACGAGAAAGCTCAGACAGGCGTAAAACTTGATTTGAAATAAATGAAAACGAAAATTATTAGACGACGAGACGATAACTAACCGTTTCGTAAATTAAACATTTAAATATAATTCATAAACATAATTTTCGCACACAAGACCCTAACGGTTTCTTCAGACGGTTACCGGGTAATATTATGATAATAATAATAATAATAATAATAATAATAATAATTAATAATTAATAATGTATAATTTTTTACTAACAGATATCCACACAACTGACGGCCCTTTAGGACACGTATGATAACAATATGATATAAATGTACAAAAAGAATACCAGCCACTGGCCATGGTGATTTTTTATAAATTATGATACAAAGAAAATACGTTACTAATAGTACGTCATGCATGTGACGTGTTCCCATAGACACATGCCATTAGAGAGTGCAACGGCAGATCTATGTTTTCATTCTCCCTTGGTGTTAAAACAGCGTACAAAAAAAAAAGGATGTAACAGCCGGAGTTTCTTATTCGTTGATTCGACAAGGCTTCGGATGGCCCTAACCAAACCTAGGACACCATTAAGTGTTGCGTCGTCGAGCTCTTATGAAATGGTAGTAGTTGATCTCAACGACTAATGAAGACGTGTTAGATAGGACATAGGTAATAATTTCCAAATAATAAATGCATGACATCTCACGTAAAATGCACAAATATGTAATAAATAATTATAAATACTTTATTGACGGAGACGTCTCTCAGTAGACGACGAAAAAAAACACAGTAAACTTGCGATGTAACGAGTCTCGGTATAATTTATTATTACAATCTAGATAAAACAAATGGAACTGTCATTCCCTTGAAAGCACTGTTACATCATACGAATATCAATGTAATGAATTCTTTATATTATAACAAGCGTTTTGCCCTGTCCCATGAAATTCGTTATGCCACGATTTGGCTACAACATTTAATAAATAAGAGCTGTTTCAAAATGATTTTGATAATAAATACCTACCGCACGATTATTACTTATTAGTTATTACATTAAAACCAAGTAGGTACGGTTTATGATTACCTACACAGGTTTGCTATTAAAGATAAATCTAAAAATTGCATTGATAACTGCGGTCAGAATGCATTACGCCGTTATTATTTACTGCTATAGTAATCTTTCTCGTCATAACTAAAGAGCACTAATAATAGGAGTGTTAAATTTTTATTGACTTGAATAACCTACATAGTCGATTGAGAGTATATCACTAGATTTAGCTGTATGAATCTATTATACCTATAGGTACTAAATTGTATTAAAAATTTAGATTTAAAATATAAATATAAATAAATCTACAAAATTTTTTTTTTACATTTATGTTTACAGAAAACTGCGAATCTCTAGACGAACCTGTTGTAATATATTAATTAATACATTTTTGTAATAGATTTGAGGAAACTTAATGTAATTGTAAATATTGATAACAATTAAAGATAATTCATAATTGGTCTGGCGGGTAATTTGTGGAATTGTTGAGTGGTACTCAGGGGAGTTGGAAGATTGATAATAAATTGGCAAAAAATTATAACCTTTACAGTGACACTTACAAATTAATTGATTTACAAACAAAGAATTCTTTAGATATGAGATGTATACTACAGAGTAATAAAACTTTCACTAATGTATAAAAATCATGTAAGATGAAAAATGAAGAAAATAATTTGCAATGATATAATTGAACATTTGAACATAAAAGAGAAATATGTATAATGGACAATGGTATATGTATCAACTGCTCATAATAAAAAAAATTATAAGTCGGCATTTATATGAGGATTGAAGTTTATTGATGATAGTAATATCACAATATCGAATTTTTCTTTGATATTGTTTAATTGAATAATATATAAAATCAACAATTTGCAGTTTCAATAAAACAAACTCAAGTTTATCTTTTGACACCAGGTATATATTTTTTTTTTTATCATAAGACAGTACTCTTTTTTAAAGCATAGAACTTAATAATGGAGTTAATTACATGAAATTGTACTAACTTTTCGAAAAGACTATCATGAAATAGATAACTGTGATTTTTTACAATATTGTAATTAGTTTATATTTTATGGTTCGTCATAATGCAAATTAATAGGTACTTGATACAATGAAATATTATTGATATTAAATACATAAGAAACATAATTAACAATTCTTGTGTTTAAAATGTTATTATTTTCAATAAACATAAATCAGAATATTTAGTACCTACGCTCGTTTTTTATTTTTACATAACTTTCATGAAAATGTCAAATATATCTATATTTTTTTTACTTTCTACAATATTATTATTGTCAAAAATAAGTTAAATCGTAATAAATAGATGATTGATAAAATAACCATTGAAGTTATCGGAATAAAATTGTAGTTTTATCAAAATTACCGTAATAAAAGTCTCTTTACAAATTAGGACTCAAAGAAAGGAAAAATTATCTGTCATGTTATATTGTTGTAAATATAGTGTAGGTATCTTTCTAGCGTGTCGGTAAATGTCAATCAGTTGTTATAAATGTTCTATACAATTTGATTTCAAATTTAAAATAGACACAAAAATACCAAAAGTTAAATCTTTTTCAGTATACAAAAATATATTAGTACCTAACAGGATAAATATTAGCGAGAATATCTTGATCAAATATGTACATGACTATAAATTCATTTTTTTAATGTATTATTTAAATTTATTTATTTTTAGATATAAATGAAATAAATGCTTTTTTAATGATTTATTTTGTAACAAAATTTGATTTCTAATAAGTAATAATTATTAATTTATATTCATAGTAAATACTGCAGTCTGAAATTGTAATTACAATTCTATGACTTAATCACGAATTAAAATACTTATATTATACAAGTTATATACATACTATACGTCTATACCTATATATATATATATATATATATATATATAAATCTTACTAATCTTAGTTTGAGATTTAAACACATTAAGCTCTATATTATGATAGACGATAACATAATAGTTATCATAAAGTTCAATAGAGATACACACCGTCTGTTACTCATCCATCATTCACTATATCCATAGTATAGATTTATAATTTGAAAAACACTAGTAAAAGTAAAAGCACAGATATATACCTATATAAATAAAAATTATTATCTGTCTGCGAGTGAAAGTAAATTACTTAATCTATGGTTATATCTAGATTTTAGAGAATCTATAATATACATTTCTAAATAAATATTATAAATAGGGAGAAAGAGATAGGTTCATTAAAGATGGTCTTGATATATACACAAAGTTTATACGTTAAGATTTTCTACTCTCTGATGACATCTATGCATTACTGCGCGTTCGTTGTAAAATAGTATGGAAGTGAAAAAATTGTATAATAGTGTCCATCGTATTATTATTATGTCGTAATTTCCAATAATTATATTATTACATATGGGTGAATTAACAACAGTGACCGGTTAAACGATTGGGTATCGGCTCACCAGTCATTACGCTATTCCATGTCTGCAGCGGCTGACTACCCATCGGCCCTAGCGGCGAACGCTATCCAGTCTATATTTATACACTCGCACTACAACTTATAAGTTATAACTTACAAGTCATTCCGTTTGTTCGTTATTTCCTATGGCCGCCGTAAGTTATATTCGTACAATATTACAATAAATACTTTACATGTCTCGTACAGGTCTACCGGTTCTGAGTACAACGTTGCCGCTCGCCAATCGCCACCACTAGACCACTGCCCGTCGTCTGACCACAGGTACGACACACGCGCACTCTCGTTTTCGTTTCTATTGTCTCAGTCCGTCATGTCCGACATTTTCGCCGTTTTCGGTTAACCGTTACATTTTACTTTCGTCATCGTGCGCGTTCCGCGTGCACATCAATTTTGGTTTTATTAAATTTGACGCAAACACTGTTGGTTTAATTCGATTCGACACCCAAGACTTCAGGTATGATTGTTTTATTTATTTTAACATTAGCAATGTTAATTTTGCGTCATTTAGTTTTATCGTTCAAATAAAGGGTCTTAATTAAAGCTGACGTTCACAAAACACGTTCGATGAAAACGTGGTTTTACATTATTTTGCCAAACGGTCCGTGCGTGTTACACGTTTAATGCGCTTACCGTGTATTCGGCATAAATAAATAATAAACCTGACTATAATATAATGATGCCGTGTTTTTGTGGCTTCATCGCGTGTTAATTTTTTTTTTTTTTTTTTTTTTACTGAAAATTGGTATGACTTTGATAGACATCGACGAAATTCAATCAGACTATAGTATCTTAATTTCGTTAGTTAAGCGTTTTGATAATCAGAAGTTATTTATTTCACAAATTTATATAGAAATATACCAACTTGAATATTAAATACTTATTAGAAATTAAGGCTACTGTATGTTTATTAGAGTTTAGTGCAGTATTATTTTTATCAACAACCATACAAAATAATATTGGTAACTCAATCAATTTAAAACTAATTAAATTTATTGCAACAGCACACTGCAATAAGTTGTTGGTAGTTAGTTCCTGTATAGATTTTTAAATTTACTTTTAATTATAAAATATTTTATAGTATATAATTGAATAATGCAACTTCATAAATAAATACTTATCAATTATTTAAATACAATATCTATAGCAAAAATTCTACCTTTAATTTAAAAAAAAAAAATTAATTTACTTATTTTTTATTTTTTAAATATTTTATCTACTTATGTATGTTATCTTAATAAAGTAAAATTAATTAATGCATTTATTGTAGTATACTTAAACTATAAATATACTTTATCAAAGTTTGATTCACAACTGTAAATTAACCTTACCAATCAGACAAATGAAGGTAAAAACAAGATTTTGGTATTATTAAATGTTATTTTATTTTATCTATGTAAATTATGGCTTTTTTTCCATACTGATAAAGTTTTTTATAATATTATGAATAAAACGTAAATAGTACATTGGCGGCAATGAGAGGTGTAATACATTTTGACGTAATAGTACGTTGAGCAGTTAAATATTAGGTTAATACTGAAAACTGGATAAGTAAACACCACAGTCATATGCATCTACTGACGAATTAATGAGATTTATCTAGTAGTAGTGTCGAGAATTATGATATAGTCTTGGATATAATACTTTGTATTTTTACTCTTATTAATTATTTTATTTTCAAATTCAAATTTTGAATTTAATTTATTCATTTTTTTGTTTTTAAGGTCCCTTATAATGATAATGAATTTTTTGATTTTTCTTAAATGTTCACAATTAAATTGTCAAATGATATATTTTCAATAATCCTAAGAAATTAATGTTTTGTTCACTTTAAGTAGTATAATTATTTTCTTGGAGTATTAAGACAATTATTCGCACTGTCATGATAAATTTATTTCCACATTTTGCTGCATAGTTATAATATCCTTTTTAGTTTCATGAGATTATATTTTATCGTACAAATGTTTTCAATTATTAATATCATCCATATAAGTATTCGTCATTACAGTTATAATCGTTTATGCACTCTGTCGTAAATACTAAATAAATACTTGCCGACATTTTAGACTACAAATTAATATAATGTTTTTAATAATAGTTTTAATATTAGGAAAATACCGACTAGCTCAACAACATAAATTGCGTTATCGAAAAATAATAATACTTTTATGGAAACGACACTCAAACGTGTTACGATCCGCCCGACATTTAACGCGCGCCAATCGTCAGTTTATTATTAATATTATTATGATTATTTTTGTTTTATTTATAATTCAGCTACTACTATTTAGCACTTGATAAAATTAAGTAAAATACATTTTTTTCTTCTTTAAAACATTTAAGCATTTTATTTTGAGGAAGCACAAACTAAACACGGACGAAGACTTTTTCAGTTGATAACAATATAAACAATACATAATAAGAAATACTTAGTAATTTAGACTGACTATTAAAATCATTTTTTTGTATGCAATGATTTATCGTAGAAATTAAATTTTACATGTATATTGTAGATGATGTTGGTACATTTCTATGTAGGAAAGTATCTTTACATAATTATGATTAATGTTAATAAAATCTCAATTTGTGTAAATTATTAACTTTATTTAAGTAAACTATTAAAGTTACCAACATTTTAGTAGAACAGTATAGTTTTAAGGAATAGAACACGATTGCGTACGTTTGTCCTTTTTGGCAACACGAATGCGTATTTTTATAGATGGGTTATCAAATGATGTCAAATTTATTAATTTTACCATATACTTAATAAATATCTTGTAAAATATGTACATTTCTATAACAATTAATTTAAAATAACAAAATATATTATCTAATGAGTAGGGCTCGGATTTTGTAGCAAATGCTTCTTTTGAGGGGAGTGTAATAGAAAGACAATTATTATATATATAAATACGTTTCTGATTTCAATGAAGTAAACTTTATTTTGTTTTTTTCCACAAAACCTGCTTTTAATTCCTATTTCTTCTATTTGCTTCTTTTTTTCTTAATTCTTACTAATTTTACTTGAAAATTTAACTTATTTACAAATTATAGTCTAAAAATACCATAATTATTATTATTGTCAGAAATTATAAAGTCGGCGAAAAAACCAGTAATAAATGAATGATTGATATTATAACTATCGTTATTGTGCCGAAATTTTATAGTTTCAAAATAATCTGAATTATATCTGCGTATTTTTAAAACACATACTAATACTTTAGTTGACCGGTAAATATCAATCAGTGAGGTATAGTGTTCTAAATAATTTCTCTATAATCGTTATTAGCACTCAATAAGATGTTAGATGAGTTTTAATCAAAGTAACTTGACTAAATACATGGTCGTAAATTCCTTTTTTAATATTTAATTTTATGCGTAATTTAAATTTATTTTTTTAGAATTAAATTTAATAAATGCTTTTTTTTTGCTTTTTTAAGGATTTATTTTGCTACAAAATTCGAGCCCTACTAATGAGAATAACTAAATAATAGTAAAATAATAAATAAATAAAAAAAATCATTCATAAATTATTAATAAAGCCTAATATTTTGTACATAACAATGTAAAAAAAAATTATGTAAAATTGTACGCAATCGTGTACCTTAATAAGATATTACCAATAACGAACGTATGAAATCGTGTTTTACCGGTATTAAGAAGTAGCATTATATTATGTATATAAAATCACATTTAGTTTATTACATTCTCAAATGGCATCAGTGGCGGTTTTGGTTCTATTGTTTTAGTGGGTGAGACAACTCATGTATCACTCTCCCCCTTCCATAGCAAAAATTAAACTTAACAGTAATGGAATTTAAAAACATAAAAATAATTTAATTTTATAAATTATATAACAACTGATAATGTATGTTTAATTGTTAATCATGCCGCAACCGTGGCTGACCAAAATATCTCTATTCTATTTTTAGTACACAGCGGCGATGAAAATCAAGCCTCAGAATGATTATTGCGTATGATAATTCTACTTATTTAACTGTCGTGTACATAACGTGCGTGTGTATAATTCATGTACACAAGTACAAACTTAGAGGCGACGTTAAATGATGCCTCTCTGACGTCATCGAACATTACCGCCGACTAAAATACTGGCGTTTGTTAATGTAATAATTATTTCATGCATTCCTTATCGGTGTAACGCTATTTTTGATAATTTACATATATTGTTAATATACAATATAATAATAATTCATACTATTAGACTTCGCTAAGAATTTTTTCTCAAATAAAATTATAAGTACGTTTGAAGTTATTAGTGAAATATGTACTATTGGTGAGCCAAGAAATATATTTTATTGAGTACTATTTACTACGAAATTTTAGATGAGGTACTGCTTCACTTGCCACACTCAAAACTGCCACTGAAAGGCATAGTTGCCTCTGCTTGGTTACTAGTTGAATCCAGTGGCATAATTATGGAGGGGAAAGGTCCCTTAGAGCTTTTTTTTTAATGTGATTTATACTTAATATAAAATTATTTGATTTAAAATAAATCCATATTATATGTTATAATCACGATATAATATGCAATATAGGGTTATAAGGGCAAGGTGTGGCGTGGTGTTTGGACTTTATGTTTATCCAATAAATTATAATATCACCCCTTTACAAGAACAAAATCATAACTAGGCCACTGTGGTTGGAACCTACCAGTCTGTAGTTTTAACAAATGTAATTATAATGCTATTTTCAATTTTATTCACATTAATCTTAACTTAGAAAATATTCCCTCCAAAGACTTAACAAGAAAATTATATGAAATAATAAATTATTCTTTCACAATTTTATTATCTAAAATCTCTATGATGAAAATTATTTTCCTTTATGGGCTGATAAAAATCTTTAAAATTTAATAATTAACAAAAAAAGTACAATATTAGTGGTCTTCATTCTGACTTCTTAATTTTTTCAAATCTTCATAAGCAATGTAAATAATTAATATCCTCAATTTATTCAAAATGTATGGCTAATATTGATGATAATATTCAAATTGATATAAAGGTTTTTTGGAAATATGTAAATTCTCTAAGAAAAAAAAAAATAGTAATAATTACAGCTGGAATTGTAATACAGTGGATTCCGCTTAATGTGGCCACCGGTTAATATGGGCATCCGCTTATTGTGGGCAAACATGTCTGGTCCCAATACAAATGTATATTAACAATGTTAAATAAAACCGCGTAATATGGACACTCGATTCGGTTTATGTGGGCAATTTTTTTTTTTTTTTTTATCATAGCGTTAGAATATACACATAAGTATTTAAAAACGACTAATTTAATAGGATTTTGTCGTATTTATGAGATTGTGTTTATCGAAAGTAATAAAAATCATTAACATTCAAACAAACAAATTTCACCAAAGAGAGGCGAAAAAGTGCATTGATTTCTTGCAGAAGTTCTTCATGCAAGAGGGAAACGAAAATAGTCCGTCTGATAAACTTGAAGCGTGTGACTATTTTGTCAACCAGATTCATACTAAACAGCTTAGACAACGAAAAATTACAACGTTTTGTATACCTTCTACAACCAAAGATTAATTTTATTTAATATATTATAGGTATTTAGTTTTATTTATATACCTAGTAATTATTTAACATTTTTTTCAATTATATGATAATACAAATATATTTTTTTATAAAAATTATTTTTTTTTTACTAATTTCAGTTTTTATGGGCAACCGCTTAATGTGGGCAAACAGAGCTGGTCTCAACGTGCCCACATTAAGCGGAATCCACTGTACCCTAAAAAATCTCAAAAAATGCACTGTAAAAATGGATTTAAATTTATTTGTTAAAGTATAAAAATTCGAAAAAAAATACTACTGTAGTATATATATATTTTTTTAAATATTATTGTACGTTGTTATTTATTTAGTTGAATAGTCTTCTGTTTTTTTTTAATAATTAGCAGAAAAGTCTTTCTATGATAAAATGTTTGTTGTTGACAATAACTTGTCGTATTAAATAATTTATTATTCATAGTGTCGACAGTTTGTCTTAAGTTTTTTGTTAATCTCAACAATTTTTGTTCATTTTATGAATAAATTGTGAAAAATGTTCTACAAACTAAGAAGATGCTCTAAAATCGTCAAAAAATGACCTTTAAATGCATTTAAGGTTGATTTAGTCAAAAAATGTCCTAAAATATTACTTTTAAATCAGTATCACTCATAACACAATTTATATTTACAAACCAAAATTTTGAAACACCAGAAAAAAAGATACCCTTCCATAAAAATCCCACCCCTAGTGATATTGTTTCATATTAAGGTTTATCTTCATATGACAAAAAAAGTTCTGTTTTTCGCCAGTTATTTTTCTTTTGTATATGTTGAACTTTTTATCAAACAATAGTCTTAATTTATACAAATGGTCGATTGGTGAATGTGAGATTTATATGCACTTAAATTCATTAGATGTTTGTTCTAGATTGGGTTTAATGGAGTGCCACTTGTGTTTTGAATAACTGTAAAAATGTTCTTATTAAACCACCATATATTATTTTTAATAAATCTTTAAGTGTGTACCTATTTCCAAATTCAGCTATTCCTAAAATATTCGAAGCCATTATCACTAAAAAAAAATTTATTATTGATGTCTCGATAATTAGTTATATTAAACATGGTTTTGACAAAATAAATCCATACTTATAAGTTCAAAATTTTGTCATTTACCAAACTTAAATTATTTCATTATTTAATGACAGGTAGCAAAGTGATTCAATATATACAGGTTTTCAAAAAGCTTACAACTTTTATCTGCCTCTATTCATTGGCGTGCACACATGGTGTGCTTTAGGCATGCTCTGTGAATTTCTTGGGCCGGAGTGCCCAATGTCTCAGTCAAATTTCTCATGTATTGATAATAATTTTATTGTAATAAATATATCTTGTTCACCAAAATAAATTTTTGATAAGTTTTATAATAAAAATGAAAACGGGATAATTTACTGTGGTATACTTTGTTATTGAAAGTCTGTATTTAGTTTAACGTATTGAAGTGTAGTGACTAGTATCATATATTAAAAATTATTATGAGTTAATTGTAATTGTGTACTGAGAAACCAATTGTTCAGTTAACAAAGTAAAACTTGTGATCATCTATTATCAATAATAAAATTACTCATTTATTTTCTTTTTTTTATTGTATTTTAACTCAAATGTTAACCTGCCATGACTACTCTCTTAAAAATGGTGTGCGATAATGTGCAACTTGTATTTTTCTATAATATGTATATTATAAGCACATTCAATTAAAAAAAAAAGTCTAATAGTATTGATATAGATGGCTGATAATAATATATGGGCACTACCTACTTTTTGAGTCTGCGCACGCCTATGCCTCTATTAATCTATTAGGAAATCTCTGTTTCAAATTAAGTATTGATCTATCTAAGGATTCATATATTCTGCACTCTGCTTAGTTAGGTATTACATCTTGTAACATATAAGAAAAGTTAGTGATCTAATTTTTTTTTATAATTTGTTTAATAGTTTCATAGATTTCCCTGAGTTATTATTAATGGTTGGCTTTCATATGAGTTAGATTAACTTCAGGTCAAATAAATCGTTTTTTATTTCTAGTTATAGCTCAACATCATATTTTCCTTGAGTATTAATGTTAGAAAACTTTGTTGATACCTTCTTTATAATAATTATCCTATGAAGTTTTTAAATCAAATATTTACTATGCCTTAACAAATTGTAATAAGTAATTAATTTTTTTACTGTTATATATACTTATTGTAATTTGTTCTAGTATTTTTTTGTTTTTGTTTATGTTATTTTTGAAAATTTGAATTGTATTATGTTTGTTGTAAACGGTCAGATTTAACTTGTATCTATTTATGATGTCTCTATCTTTTGTTTAAGGGTTCACATTCGTTTACAATTAATAAATAAATAAAAACATTCATCACTGCCACATTGTTTAATGTTAGTTGATTTGTATTAAATGGTGTGATAGTATTTTATTTCTTTAACAAATATTTATTTTATATTTTTTGGTTGTAGCATATTAATTAAAACTTTTATTTTAGTAAAATTATTCTAAATGGATCCCATAAGACCTTCAAGGGGCAAGGCTCGTGGACGTCCTCAAGTTCCAGCAAATCAACCCGGTGTATCAGGGTTAACAGGCTTACTTCCACCTCGTGGACCTAGACCAACTACATCACAGCCAACACATTCCTCACAACCATTGCAAATACCAGCTACAGGTGTAGGTATGCAACGTCCGCCTCGTTTAATGCCACCACGGCCTGCTGCACCTCAACAAAGAGCACCAAGGCCACTTGGACCAAGACCTGGAGTAGCTACTGATAATACAGTTAAAAAAGACCCAATGGAAGGAGTAAGAATCCTTTTCCAATTGTTTATACTAACATTTATGTATGATATTTTTTTAAGGTGCAACAAATTACAGAAGGACTTAAAACTTTTAGTACAGCCAGTACAGGTAATATGTTTTCAGTTTTTGTTTTTTGTTAAATATGTATATTGTAAATGACATAATCTATTAATGTCTTATAAATTTAAGTTCTTATTTTTAATTTTTATGTAACAACTATACTTCGACTCGCAGAAGAATGCTTCCAATAATATGCATTTACATACCTATAATATTAGCGTTAGTAAATGTCTCCTAATTTAATTGTTAGTCTACATGCAAAAAAAAGGTGCATTCTCTCATGGGTCAGAGTATAAGTTGTTTATTTTAATATAGACCTAGTTAATTATTTAACAAATTTTATTAATTTAATTATTTTATTTTTATCTCAAAACACGTTACTTAGTAGTATTTTATATTAATTTGTTTATAAAAATTTAGGAGATACACTACTGCCATTAGGACGTGGAGCAGTACGAGGACGAAGACAAATTGATCTTGAACATTTTAGGACACCAAGACCTCAATCTTCATTAGGAGATATTGGAAAGCAAGGTGAAGTGTAATTTGAATTATCTTATTTTATAATATCTAAAACATATATTACATACTCTATCTTTTATAATTTATTAACAAAATGATTTTAAAATTAAATGATTCTTTATTGGGATAATACTAAAAATCATTCGCAATTAAAAACAGAAATCTTAATTCATTTCTAGTTATTTTTAAATTAATTTAATTAAAATATCAGTGCTAGAATTAAAATTTCTATTGAGCATAAAAAATAAAAACTTATGATCTAACCAAAGTTTCTTTTTGAACTATAAATTTACTATTTTAATTTAAAAAAACAAGTTATTTATAAAATTTTGCCAAAACAATATGTACCATTATGTTCGACTTGATGATTTTTTTTTGATTGCTTTATCTATAAAACCAAAAAGAAACTAGAAGTTTTAAATGTCCCCCATATGTATTATAATTTAAGTTTTAGTAACAATCTATATTATAATATCAAGTTTTTAGAAAATTATCTAATGGAATAATTCACTAAAATTATTGTTAGATTTGTAAAAACATAACAGTAAAATTTAAAACAATAATAACTATCTCTAAATTGATGATATTCATATTTTAAAAATGTATTATATGCATTAGGAACTACTGGGCAACCAGTAAAACTGTTAGCAAATTACTTTCCCATAACTTCATATACAAACTGGTGCTTGTACCAATATCGAGTTGACTTTAGTCCTGAAGAGGACAGGATTGGTACTAAAAGAGGATTAGTAGCTCAGCATCGAGAACGTTTAGGCGGATATTTATTTGATGGAACGATGTTATTTTCTGGAAAGCGATTTGATCCACCAGTAAGTTGTTCTAAAAGTAAATAATTTATCTAATGTATTTTATTTAGATTTTATCGATTATGTTAGGATTTGCATTAATTTTTTTAACAAACAATTGGTTGTTTTAATAATAACCACTAAATTTTGTTTAAGAAACCATTTTTTTATTGAATGTTCAATGAATGTCTTTTCAACCTGGCATTAGTATATTAAAAGTTTATTTTAATATTTTGGTTTAGACTTTTGAACTTACATCTACACGTCGCCCAGATGACCAAATTGTGATAATTACAGTAAAGTTTACAAATGTAATAGAGACTGGCGATTATGCTAATATTCAAGTTTTCAACTTGCTCTTACGCAATTGTTTAAGACATCTCAAACTAACAATGATTGGAAGAAATTTTTATGATCCAGATGCAAAAGTAAAGTTTTAATTATCTTATTACTGTATTCATTACTTGACTTACCCTTATTTTATGCTTCTCTAAGATTGATATGGTACAACATAAACTTCAACTTTGGCCGGGCTATGAAACAACCATTGGCAGGTATGAAGATGACATATTATTATGCGCTGAAATATCTACTAAAGTCATGCGTCAAGAGACTGTGTTAGATTTTTTGAATCAGTGTGCTGCTGATAGGAACCGAAACAAAGATTGGATGGTAAGTTTATTATTGATTTTATAGGATTTCAATATTGTAGCTATAATAAATTATAAAATAATTAATATATTTTTTTATTTAGATAAATTTTAAAAGTGGTGTTGTGGGTACTACAGTGATGACCAAATATAACAATGAAACATATAGAATTGATGACATAGATGAGAGTTGTGATCCTAATTCTGAATTTACTAAAAAAGATGGAACAAAGATGACTTACATGCAATATTACAAAGAAGTATTTAACTCAAATGAGTAATATTCAATATAATAGTTTTTGTAATTAATAAGTTAATAATTATTAGAAATGGAACATGACAATTCGTGGAGGGAGACAACCGATGTTGATTTCTAAAAATAAGAAATCGATAAGAAAGTTTGGAATTGAAGATACATTGGTTTATCTAGTTCCGGAATTATGTGTTATGACTGGTATCACTGATGCCATGAGGTTGTCATATTAAAAATAATTTATTTATGTATTCTGTGTTGACTATCTTTTTTAAATTATAGAAACAATTTTACGCTTATGAAAGATATGGCCATACATACCCGTGTAAATCCTAAAGAACGCATGGAAAGATTAACAAATTTTGCAAATCGTCTTCTTTCTACACCTGAAGTAAATTTTTTAAATTTATATAGTTTGTTTAAATTGAAAAAAAATTATTTTTATATAGTCTGTAACTGAACTGAAAAGATGGAATCTTACATTAAGTAACAAGCTAGTTGAACTTACTGGTCGTACATTACAACCAGAACCAATTCAAAGTCGAACTAAAGGTTATAATGGTGGCGAAGAAGCTGATTGGACAAAGCACTTACGCTCATTACCAATGTTCACCTCTGCATCTATAAAAAATTGGGTTATTTTAGTACCTAAGGAAAATTGTCGAGAAGTTGAAGCTTTTTCTCAAAGTCTTTTAAAGGCTGCTCAAGGGATGACATTTATACTGCCTAAGCCTGCTATGTAAGTTTTTGTTATAACATTAACTTATTAAGAAACTAATTAATATAATTTTTAGTTTTCCCATGGTTGATGGAAGATCAAATACATTTTTAAGTGATTTGGAAAAAGTAATTAATGAGTCAAATCCAGCAATGATTCTATGTGTTATCCCGTCCACACGTGGTGATATTTATAGTATGATTAAACGAAAATTATGTATTGATAGAGCAGGTATATTTCTAATATATTAATTATTATTGACTTTAATTATATTTATTTTAAACATTCTTTTTCAGTGCCATCACAAGTTGTACTTTTGAAAAACGTGCAAAAAAACAATATGTCTGTATGCACTAAAATTGCTATTCAAATCAATTGTAAGCTTGGCGGTGCTCCTTGGCTAGTTACTATTCCCAAAAAAATACCTGTTTTTTATCAAGTTAATAGATTCAATGAAAATTAATTTTACATTTTGTTTTAGGGGATGATGATCGTTGGTTTTGATGTGTGTCATGACAGTCAACGGAAAAATATATCATTTGGAGCTTTAGTGTCAACCATGAATGATGCTCACACAAGTTACTTCAGTTGCGTTGAAGCTCATGAAAGTGGCGAAGAACTTTCTGTTCATTTTGCTACTGGCATAAGTAGTAAGTTTTTGTGGATTTTATAAGTCAACAACTCATGTATATTATGCTAAAAAAATAAGTTAAATTTAATATTAGGTCTAGCTAATTCATTAACCGTGAAAAAAACAATTTTATTCTCTTTATATTATTTCTAGTTATTTTTTTATGAATAGTATAAAACGTCTGCTGTTATAACTTATAACACTTGACCTGTGAACTTTTTAATATGGGAACTGCTTACCAACCACCTATTCTGTAACAATATAGTATGAAATTTGAAAGATAAATTATGAATATTATCAGTCCTTTCTGTTCAAAAATAATTTTAAATAATTGTTAAAAACGTTATATAATTATATTTATTGAACCACAAAACTCAATTTACCATATTGTGGGTTTCTTATAATATTATATCTTTAAACATTGCTGCTTTTTTATTATTGTTTTATAATTGTAGAATAAAAATAATAATTGTGCATTTATTTACTTATTTATTTATTTATTTTTTTTGTGTGTCTCAGAGGCATTGGCCAAGTATCGAAGTAAAAATAATGCATTACCTACTTCCATTATTGTATACAGAGATGGTGTCGGAGAAGGCCAGATATCACATGTACATAAGACAGAAGTCAGACTTCTGAAGGTAAAATTAATAAAATTTTTATTTATTTAATATTTTTATTTATTTCTTAAATTTTTTATTAGACTGCTTGTGAACAATTTTATGGTGCAAGTTCTGTCCCATTTGCATTTGTTATTGTAACTAAACGTATTAGTGCAAGATTTTTTGCTCCTAGTAGTAGAGGCCCTGAAAATCCTCGACCTGGTACAATTATTGATAGTGTTGTCACAGACCCAACCAAGTAAGATATTTCAACTTTGTGTTTATTATATAATTGAATCAGAGTATCTTTATTCGCATTCATTTTATGAATAGTTTATAGTTATAAATAAATTACTTTTTTACTTGAATTATTTATTATAAATTTTAGGTATGATTTCTTCTTAGTTTCACAACATGTAAGACAAGGTACTGTAACTCCCACTCATTATCAAGTGATTGAAGACACACTTAAACTACCTCCTGATATAATGCAAAGACTTACATTCAAGTTGACTCATATGTACTACAATTGGTCGGTTAGTACGCGTTTTTATGAACATTTTTTTTATTATCTCTACCAATACATTTGTTTTAATTTTAGGGTACTGTACGAGTTCCTGCTCCATGTCAGTTGGCTCACAAGTTGGCATTCCTTACTGGCCAGAGTCTCAAACGTTCTCCTAGCATTGGATTGGATGAATTGTTATACTTCCTTTAATTTAATTTTGTTCTTATACTATTCATACACTCTTTACCCTATATAATATCGTTTTCATGGGAAGAAATATTTTAAAAAAAATTTATTTATCTTTTAAAAATATTTAACGATTAAATATTGTCTTTTTTTTAGTATTAAGTAAATTACTACTTAGCATTATATTATGTCACTCAGTACTCAGAAAAATTCCTTCAGTTATTAATTTAATGTTTTATGTTATTGATTTAATAATAATAAAAAAATTTTAATTAGTCAAATTGTTTTAGTGTTGCATTTAATTGTTTGTTTTTAAAGCTTGAAATACTAAAAATACTTAAAATGTAAAATTTTTTCTTTGAGATAGGTGAATATTTTACCTTTATAGGCATATATTTGAATTTAACCAGCATAATTGATTTATTACAAGTTATTGTTCAGCAATGTTTATCTCAGATCAAGATTTTAAAGAATGAGGAGAATGTATGTGTGGTAATCGTTATGTACATGAAAGTTGCATTTAGTACGTAAATTAGTAAATTCACCTTTGATCGGTTTTTAATGTATTTATGTTTAGAATTTAATACCATCTAAATTATTTTCATTTACATAAACTCTGAAACAAAAAATATTTTTCTACATAAGCCGCCTTGACAATTAAAATTGAAAATTGGATTATTTGTAATGATTACAAAATAATTTGAGTACAGTCTTGATATTTTTAGATTTTTTTAAAAAAAAACAATAGTTGTTATAAAAGAAATAATTTTATTTTTATACTAGATTTTTTTAATTCTAGTAAGAATAACTGGTTGATTTTAATATTGCTAAGCTTTTAGGAAGGTCAAAACAATTATTTTAATCGTCTATATTATGGCAACTAGATAAAAAAGCTCTCAACTCCTTTTTTATTTTGATCCACAAATTTAATAATATTGAAGTTAACAATAACAATATTGGTGGTGGCATGTTAGTAATTCTATTTCATTAAAACAAAAAATCAACAGTACTTCAACTTCCTCCATTAGAACCTTAAATAATACTTTACCATAATATGCCATCTAAATTATGTGTATTAATGGATTGCACTTTGCTATCATCACATAAATATTTAATGACAGTTATTATTTGACATTTTGAATTGTTTGTTTAATAAGATAAATTATTCAAAACAAAATAAATATTACTTATTATGGTATGCATATAAGATTTGTAACCCCATTCATTTAGATGATTTTATATTAATTACTTGTTGAATCTACCAGTTTTTTAATTCATACAACTTATTTAACTTCTGAATGCATTGATTCCTGATACTGCTACTATATAATATATACTCAAACAAAAATCATTATACACAGAAATTTTATTTATTTTATTGATTGTCTTTTTTTTATACACAGAACAGTCAATTACAATAAAATATTAAACTTAATTATACATAATAACATAAATTCATTATTAGAAATAATTTATTTTTTAGGAATTGTGTTGTTTTTCCATGTCTTTTTCCGTAACAAAAAATTTAAATCATATTCTGTATTTACTGCATAATACACATTGGCTGTCATTGGTAAAATCATTTCTAAAAAATAAATTCAGCTAAGAATAATGACATGAAATATAATAATAGTTACACAAACCTTTATCAGGTAAAACTTGAGATAGAGTATAGTTTTCTGGATCATCGTCAATACAAAATTTCAGCATAGCATTTCTAATAACTTGTGGTGTTCGTTCATTGTTACTTAACATAATACTTTTGTATAACACAACTCCTAAAATATAGATAATATTTTTTTAATTTTTCAAACAGCATAGTTTATTTTATATTTTATATTGGTATTTTAAATTAAATTTTAGGAATAATTAAAATAAATCATATTTTTTTTTTTTTAAAGACATTTAATCTATTTCCAGTTTTGTGGATTACATGTAATTAATTTAAAATATCAATTTTTTTAAAATTAAAATTACAATATTTCAAATAGATAAAACATTTTATATGACTCATTCTAATTATATTTTAAAAGCAAACTTGAGTTTTGAATAGTTTATATATGAGTACATATATAAACATTAAGTAATTAAGTATTTAGTATTACATTAAGTAATATAACAATATTACAGTATGATTATATTCAATATTTGTATGCAGTTTTAAATATAAATTAATTTAACAATTGTACATACCGTCAGTCTCAACGTTTTCAGCATCAACTGTTATCCGAATAATATAAAAATCAGACGAAGTATTAAACGTTGAATTATTGACACTATTTTTAACTATAATATTAGTGTTATTGCTTCCATTTAGAGACATGTCAAAAGATTGTAACGAATAGCTACTCGATGAAGAAGATAGGTCAAGTAATGAATCCTGCAAATCAAAAAAAAATATATTTTGTATAATAAATATTAATTTTGAATGCAATAATATAATTTAAACAGTGTAACAAAAAAACTAGTTTAATAGTAATTTTCACTTTTTTTTCTAAATTTTAATGTAATATATTATGTAACAACATTGTTAATTATTTAATAATAATAATGAAAAAAGAAAATGGATTATTGATAAGAACAAAAACTAATATATACAGTAGAACCTTAATTGTCCGTCAGTCTGGGACCAGAGCTTTAACGAATAATCAAAAAGACGGTTAAGCGAGCAACAAACATTTTTAAAACATATATACATATTTTTTTAATAATTATGACATGCATATTGATATACTTAGGTACTATTACTTATTGGTATGTTATTATCATTATTTTTTAATTTATATATACATATGTACTTATCGCTTATCTAGTAAATATTGTCGTTAAGTATCGGATAAACCTACTCATACACAAGGCGATAAGATTTTACTGCAACGCGCAAATTGTCGTGCAAGTGTGGCACCTAATGGTTAATCGTAAAAGACATTTAGTCAGGGACGGATAACTGAGGTTCTACTGTACTTAATTACATTGGTGAAGTATTTCTATTACACCCTAAATACTTAATAAATATTATAGATTAAAGTTTTAAAATAATATAGTTAATAGCTAAATATATATATATATATTTAATACATTAAATTTTCTACTAATAAGCCATATGTTTAATTTAATAATGGGATTACTTTTATTTCTATATTTTTAGTTCCAACATTTTAATCTAGTTTAATGTTTTATTTTAACTAATTAAATAGTACATATATTTCAGTATTTAACTAGTAAAAGTTTTGCTGAACTATATTTTGTTTACCTGTTTATCTAAAGAGTTATTCGGTGAGTGCAAACCATCATCGGATAGTCCATATAAACTTTTGCTGCTGCAATTACTAGAAATTGAATCATTTTTTTTATGTTCATAACTGTAAAAATATCTTTGAATAGAAATCATTCATACATATTTAGATTTAATAATTTAAGAGTTTGTAAACATTATACTTGATATACTTTTGTTTTTTTCCAGTTCCTATTATTGAATTTGCACATGACGAGTGTATATTATCTGATGGTTCTATTTGACAAGAAATTCTAAACGCCTCTCTATCATCCAAAACTAAAATGGAATGAAACCATTGATCAAATACTGAATCCTCAGGTATGTTATATGAATTTGCTGCTCCTTGAAGAAGCTTAATCTAATATCCAAACAATTAAGATAAATATTTAAGACAATTACAGATAATTAAAATAAACATGATTTGAAATATACATAATTATAAACATACTTGAGCTAATACTTCAAACTCTTTTCTTTTTTTATCAAAATTAATTAGACCATCAGGCAAGAGATCGGGAGTTGCAGCATCAATCATAGTCAAATCAGTCAGAAATGTCCCCAAGTATGGTATAGTTCCAATGTTTAATTTCTAAAAATATTTCATTCACTTAATAAAAATATATATATAAAAAAAAGATAACTGGATTTTATTAGCTAAATAATTTACACAAGTAACTCACACTCATTGTACTTTGTTGCTTTTGAATAATTTTTTGTAAATGTCTATCATTGTGTCCAAATGTGTCAGCAAATTTTGCTGTACCTTCTCTTATTAATAACTTTCGTTGCGCCCATTGATTATTTTCTTCACTAAATATTCTTGCTAGTTCTTGAAACAATTCCACCTAGGGATTTTTTTTCATATATATATATATATTTTTATTAGAAATATTGTATGTATTTAATTTAATACAGTTTACTCCATTAGCATTACCTTATCTCGAGGAACAGAATGCCAAGTTTTCTTTAACCTAAACACAGAATTGGATTGTAAACCAGATATTATAGCTTTTAATGAGGAAAAATTCTTGAGCACTCTTAATTCCTATAAAAATAATAAAGTTTATTTACAAACTAATTATAAATTATCATTACTATACTTGAGCAATGTCAATCCAAGTTTCAATAACATGTGGTCTATCTGAATTGATTGCTAATATAACAGTGCTGATAACTCTAAGTGATACAGCATTGAATTGATCAATTGTAGCAAGGACTGTGGGTGCAGACCCTGCTCTTTTATTTTTAGACCAAACTGCACCTAAACATTGGTGAGCAACCATATTTCTTAAAACATCCTATACAAATCAAATATAGGTTAGAAATATCGATAAAAATAACAGTAATAAAATAAAATTACATACACGATCCATTCGAGTTAACTGCTCAGCAAAATGTCTTTCTGCTATGTTAGGAAAATTGTAAGGAGAATGTGGAGAATTAGCAATAACTAAGTCATAATCATCACTAATAAATGTTGTAGCATCTAGAAATTGTTTATAATTAGCTTTAAATTGAAAAAAAATATAGTTAGGTACACACCTGATTGTTTACATTCTTTAAGAAATCTTTCAAGTCTATATGTTGCTTTTATGTGAAGTTCAGTTTTTGGCAAATAAGTAAAAGTAAAGGAATGTAAACATCGTAAACAAGTATGTAAAGGTGGATCACGAAAGTCTTCAGGATATGAATCCAACCACACATGTAATGCAGATACAACAGTCCTAAAATAATATAAAGTTAAGTATTTACAATTGCTAATATAATAATATGATTGAATTTAAGTTTTTATAAAATATGTTTAAATAATGTTACACTTGTCATTCAACCATAACAGACAATAATAATATAACAAATATAACTAATATGTTATCATTTCAAATTGAAAAAATAATAATAATTATATACAAGCATTTTAAGTTAAAACAAGAAATTACTTTTTATGTGGATCGATCATTGATTCCGATAAAGCTTCTTTGTTGTTTACTAAATACTCATACCTAAAAAGAATAAAATAAAAATATGCATGAGTATAAAACACTAACTTGATACTTGTTAAATTTTATAAATACAAGGTACTAAAATTATTATTTAATTCAATTTCATAAGTAGTCTAAAGTTCAAAAAATATTTCTTTAAATTTCTTTAATTTCAATGTTGTTTATAGAATCTCACATTAGTGCTATTCAGATGCTGAAAAATTATAAATTTTTCAAACTAAAACCATTACATGAGAAAAAACATGAACACCTATACTAGAGTGAGAGCATTATATATGAGATATGTTTTCCAAATTTTGACTCATCATTGAATTTGAAAATTATTACCTTACCTACTGTCTACTATAATTTTCATCTTACTTTTTCATTTGGAACTGCAGCCCAGTATTATTAGTATAAGAGTAGTTGTGGCCTATTCATTTTTTTATAATCTATTATCTTATACTGATGAGGGCATGTCCACACATCGTATATGATATACACTACAAATATTATCATACACATTTCACAACTTACAGATGCAAATCAAATTAATAGATGTTCAAAAACCTTTTGTATACTATGCAGTGTTATAAAACTAAATTATTAAAATAAATTTTACATATTATATTATAGCTAAATAATATATGAACAGGTATATCATTTTTACCAAACATGCCATTTACTAGTTTTATTAAATAGTAAACAAACAATAGTATTAAGTATGAATACTATTTTTCTAATTAAGAGAACGTCGCACCTACATGTGTTGTCTCCATCTTACACACAAACGACATAGTAAATTTTCATTCATCAGTTTCAATAGTGGGTTTTTAGTTTTTATATTAGAGTGAATTAACCTATACCTATTATCAAACTTTTAGGTAAGAACATAGGTAACTTTTTTACATTAGGTAACGAGAGTGTTCTTTTGTTAGTTTTTTACGATATTCTAATATTAAATGTAAGATATGAGTATGAAAAATAGAAATATTTAAAAATGCTCATAACTCACTTAAAAATTAAATTATCATACAGCCAATAAGAGAACATAAATGAAGTTCTTAACTAAAAGTTTGATAATAGGTCAATTTACTCTAATATCAAAATTAAAAGCACATTATTGAAACTGGTGAAAGAAAATTGACTATGTGTAAGATGGAGATAACATATGCAGGTGCGACATCCTCTCAATGATTCAACTTATGTTACAATGAAAGAAATAAATAAACTGCTTTATGATCTGTTGGGATGGTGAGAAATGTGATTTACAACAAACATAAAATTTTGTGTACATCCATGATATTTTCAATTAAATATAATCATAAAATAATAATTTTAATTTTTAACTGAAATAATTACATAGACAACAATGGTATAATTTAGTCAGATTTTAAATTTTAATGAATTCTGAGACATATTGGCAGAAAATAAACATTTAACTAAACTAGAAAGAATTAAAAACAAAAGACACATACTCAATTTCATTGAGTTAATTAAAATGCACATTTTCATTCACTTTCAAATTCCAGAACTTTGCTTAAATCAATGCAATTTAGCTTTTTTTAAAGCAATTATGCATTATTGAGTATATTAGTATACTTAATTTTTATTTTATTAGTGTAAAATTACAAAAATTTGGTAGTCTTAAAAATTATATTTCAAATAATATTATAGCATAAACCTCAATTTTGCACCTAACCTTTGCTCTAGTTAATGCACGTAATATTAATAATATAGGTAAGGTTGATAAATTATAAATTATAATACACTATTCTAGACTCCACACAGAAAAAAATTATCAATTTAAATATCAATTAAAACAAAATGTAGATTTTAGTACCACTGAATTTATTTATTTATTTTTTAGTTAATAAGAAAAGTTTTCCATTAAATATTGTTCAAATAAAATAATGAAATATTGAAGAGAACACATCACTTTCATGCGATATCTCTATCTTACATGCATGTAAACATAGCAAATTTGGATACAGTAGAATACAATTTATGTTGTTAACTTTAAAATTGCAGTAAATTTATTTATAATCAAACTTGAAGCTAAAAATATTCTTTAGATCGTTACTTAGGCTTTTATTGATATTATAATTTTAAAGTAGATTATAGCTAAGTAAAATATTACAATTTTAAAATGTGTATAACTCACTTTAAAAATTATATTTATATTTTATTCAGTATTTTTCAACTATCTCTGCTACAAATATTGAGTGCCTAATTAAATAAATAATGTACTTTATTTTTGTTACTTTTACTATACATAATGCATTATTTTGTTAAATTTATTATATTGTTCTTGAGCCTACACAAGTGTAAAATAAAATAATAATATTAATAAAAGCCAATTTGATAGTCTAGATAATATTTTAATGTTTAGTTAATAGTAGTTAAATTTACTATAAAATTAAAGCTAAGATAAACAAAACTGTTGAACAAAATTTTGCTATATTGTATGCATGTAAGACGGAGAGAAGATACCACATCCGGGACATCTAACCTGGATGAGGTGTCTTCTTACACCAATAAATAAATGAGAAATAAATGTAAACTCTTAAACTTCAAATAATACCAAACAAATGAAATAAGTAAAAAATTTAACTCTAAAAAATAAATTAATAAGCATGAAAAATATTTAACAAATTTTGTTAAGTAGAATAGCATTCAATATTTAATTATCAAAGCAATCTATTTGTTTACAAAGCAATAGGTATATTAGAGAAATAACTAATTTTGTCACTTAAGTTTGTTGATTTAAAATTAGGTATTTTAAAACTAGAAAATTTGGCTTAATTAATGCAGTTAATGTATTTGATTCAGGCATTTCATACTAATAAATACATTAATTCTATTGTTAAATCAATGTTAGAGAATATTATAATACAAGAATACATACGACTTTAATAATTTATTGATTAATAAAAAAAAATATCTAGTTCAAAGAAATATTTATTATATATATAAATAGACCATTATGTGATTTTGTGTAAAATAAAATAATATTTATACCTTTCAATTAACAATGACAAAACATGATGAGGTGATGCAAAAGTTCTATAAGTGGCAAGAAATATATTCACAAATGTAGATTCTAATTCACCATCGTCTGATGCTAAGCTATTAACCAATTTTTCTATCGTTCCAGCTTTAATGAACTTTACTCTAATCGTTTCCCATTCTAAATGTGATCGTTCATCATCAGATTCCTATAATAAATTCAAGGTAATTACTTCTTTAAATATTATAAATCAACAAATATAAATTAAAAAATCAATTACTGATTGAAAAAATAACATACCAACAGTAAAGTTTTTGTAGGATTTTGATACCGCACTTTTTTTAAATAAATTGTATAAATAGCACCTTCTTCTCTTTCTTCACCCCATAATTTCCATGTTGGCTGCTATAATTCATAATAATATGAAGATATTAATATTTTTCATTTTATTTTATTTTAAAATACAGAATGAACCTATTACTATATTATGTTATGTATAGTATAAAATTAATGATTGATAAAAACTATAGGCTTGTTTATTAAAAAAAAAAAAAGATTTGATATTGGAAATGTGTATTAGATAAATAATTGGTGAGTTAAGAAAATAATGAAATATGACATAGGTCAGACGAATCCATTATTGCATGGCAAAAAACTTTGAAAGAATTGCGAGATAATAATTCGAGGCTGACAGTTTTGTTGAAAAAAGATTAAATAGGAAAGACTAATTTGCTGAATATTATCAATCAAAAGATCTTTCAAAAATAAAATAAATTGGACCTGTAATAATACTGGTGGATTTAATGATTGATAAATAAAAAGATTCTATGATTTTTATTTTTTTAGAACAGTCAGTGTATCTGTTGATACTCTATGGACTATGATAGTCATCAATATGACAGATTGGATGCATCTTGATCTATAATTTAAAGTTCTAAATATAATTTAATTTTTTTTATTTTCTAACGATTAATAAAAGCATAGGCACATAACATACATTTAACAATTATCATAAGTCTCAGACAAATAATGGAGACATCCCTATTTTAATGAATGTAATCTATTGTATCTTGTGTGTATATGTTTAATTCAAGGGGATTTCTTTCATGAAAATTGGTTCCTGCCAAATCATCACTGACCCAATTGAATAAATTAAAATTGGGACGTCCCACTTTCAAATGACTCTTTTTGAACCACCTCAACTTAGGTTTCTGTAGTCTTTCCGAGTGACAAGTCTAGTGTTAATGACGTCAAATAATTTCTGAAAAGAAAATCGTCTCAAACTCACCGAGGTTTCGGCATCAAAATTCATACTTGTCCACCTGCATCATAGTGTTTTGAAAACTAAACCGAATCCTGGTCGTGTTATCTTTATCGTCGTTGGAATGCGATAGGGGTCTTGTGCGTATATACAGCCACCAGCAATACGGAGTAATAACGATTGTTTAAAGGCGATTTTGAAATGTTTTAGTTATTGTCGTCGAACGGCGTAGCGCGTCCGTGTGAGCCACTTACGACGGTCGACGACGACGACGATGATAGTGATGATGATGATGATAATAATAATAATAAGAATAAGAATAACAGTACAATGGCACACACTCTCACACGCACACGCGGACAGCTGCTGTTATCTATCTCGAAAATTGTTAACAGTCACTTATTCGAGATGAAAAAAATAATATTATAATATACTAAATCGACAATACGAACATAACTGCAGGACTGGCGCGCTTCGACTACAACAAACAACATTCAACAGGTACGCGTACAGACTACAACGACAAAACTGTATGCACATGAACCGGTCTCGATAACTCCGATGTGTCTTAACGTTGTCGATGGTGGCATACAAAATTGGCGTCGTTGCATGTGTACATTATAAACTATAATGCATTAAACAAATAAAAAAATAAAAAACACTGAATTATAATATAATATAATTATTATAATAGGTAATATTATAATATAATCTGCACTGTCTGAAGTTAGTAAACAATACTTATTGAATAACTAATAAGTAGACATTTATTATAATGTTGTAATGTAGTGTTTTAAACTTCCTTGTCGAATATCTATCATTGTAATCTGTGGACCACAATGTATTTTAGAAGATTTTTAGTACTCTTAATTCATTTTTCATAAGATATTTTCAAATATTTTTCAAAAATAAAAAAATTTTTGCTTGGACATAGATACAAAATACAAGCAATTAGAAAAAAGGTTTTTTTAAGAATTTAAGAAAAAAGACTCTTAACGGAGGCGGTCAATTTTTTTTCAAAAATGAGACATCATGAGACATGAGGGTTATATTTAATTTTCCTTCAAATGATTTTTGTTGGCTAGAATAATGTCTATTTTCCTGTATAAGTATTAAAACTATATATACTATTTTTTTTAAATATTAAAATTATTTTAGTATTTAGGTAGGTAGGTAAGTAAAAAATTACAACACAGAGTATTTTATTTATATTCCTCATTTATTATTTCTTGATGTATTTGCACTCTTTGTATTCATAATAAATAGATAATTAAAAACAATAATTTATATAACATAATGTATATGTTTTAAATTAAATTTTTAGTAGATAGTGCTAAATTTTTATAAAAATTAATATTTACCTACTATATTTGATCACAATAATTTTTAATTTTATTTTCTTTCATGTTGATCTTTACATATACATACAAGTTTATTGAGCAATATCCTTGATGAGAAAACCATAGGTATCTATTTAAATTAATAAGCGGATGACAATTTCTTATTTCGGTAAATACGGAAAATTATAATACGATTTGTTTTGGGGTTTTTTATTTAGAAAAACAGTGAAGGAATACATTATCTCGTTTTTGGAGGCAAATGAATACATAAATTAACCTATATTATTATTTATTAATATATCGTATTATGTATTTGATATGGTAGCCAGTATGTTGACTAGGTTGAATTAATTGATTTTTTTTTTAATTAAACATATTGCATTTATTTTATTTGCAATTATTATAATGGTGTATATTATATCCCAAAAAGTTTATAGTAAGCATGTCTGTTTTTGATAAGTACAAATGTAAAATATTCGACGTACGTGTGTTATAGTACACAAAAGTTTTTTTTCGTTTTAGTAACATTTTTTCTCTTAGTATAATATCAGTCAATCAGCTACTATTTTTGTGTACTTTCACTTAGATGTAAATATTTTGCTACAAACGTGTTTAAGTACGAAAATGCATAATTTTGTCTTGTAGTGACTTCACAAAATATTTGATATTTTGTACAAAACATTATATAATATAATATGAACCGTTACTATACATGCTTATATACCTTTAAAAATTAAGTACATAATATTAAAAAACAAGAATAATGAATAAATATGAACTATGAAGTGACAATACTTAATTACTGCAATATACTTAATAGGTATTCATTGTTGTATTTTTTTTTTTAATTTTAACTGACGAACAAGAACATATTTGGTTTTATTTTTTATGATTTATAGCTTAAACTATATTACTATGCTTAAAATGTACGTTATTATTAAACGTAGCATATCATAAATCAATAAATGTCATTAATCATTATATTCAATATAAAGTAGCTTATGATAAATTGAGTACCTACCTATTTTATAAAAAAAAAATTGTTTTTACATTTCGTTAGTTATAACATTTTTAAAATATTATAGGTCTCTTTAACAAAAAAATCTGCCTAATATTGTCTCTATTATTTAAAAAAAAAAACGTCGGTGAATTACTAAGCAAATAATTATGTAGGATATTTTATAACTGTTATATATGTACATAACTAGATACATAACTTATACATATAACCATGCAAGTATCTCCAAGGGTATTATTTTATTTTCAAAATTGATTTCTTAATTTTAATCCTAGAACTTGGTTTAATAATTAAATTTGTTCACTTAACAAAAATTCACAATATGTTTCTAGGGTCGGCTCAAAGATAGTGGAAGCAGTATTGTCGCACAAATAAAAACCTGAAGATAATTTGAGAAAATAAATTATTGAGCGTATTTCTATAGATGTAATTGATATAACATTATCTTAATACATTAATGGTCGATATAATGATATATTTTTTGGAATAAATAGTTAATTATTATTTAGTTAGTTGTCACTTATTATAATTTATAAGTATTAACGATACTATAATTTGTTATAAAAATAACACTGTATCTAGGATGTGGGTACATATTTAAATTTAAATATTATAATTGAAGACTGTTTATTGAATATAGACTAGGCAGTCTATTAATTATCATAGATATACAGCAATAATTATTTTTTACATAGGTACGTTAAAAACAAAATAGTAATTTCCTTTTGCCTTATAAAACTTATTTATCTTTAAGTTAAAAAAGTAATTTCGTTTCAATCAAAATAAGAAAATAAAAAAATTATATCTACGGAAAATATGTTTAATCTGTTTTAAACTGTTTTAGAGAATGTCGTATTTCATTAAATACGGTAAGATAGATTAGTTAATGGTTTTTGACATCGCCATAGGTTATAATCCTTATGATAACTGTTATAGATATAATCTATGTAATATTTAAGCCAGTAACACTAGTAGCAGTTTTTATTCTAATTCTTATTTAGTTTTTTGATTAAAACTTAAAAAATTAATTTCAAATAATACATTTTTTATTGAGAATTTATAATTTTTCTAATACGTAATTCGATAAAAATATTACATACCTATTACCTACATATTAAACATTTTTACTTTAGTTTCATAAAAATGTTATAACTTATAAGTTTACCTTATATGTTAAAACACAACTATACAATAACAATTAGTTAACAGTTAACCTACATAGGTGTTACATATGTGTACCTCTACCTATGGTTTATTTTATACTTAACATTACAATTATAGTAGAAACGAGTATTTTTTCTCACATCGTTAAATTAATTACGCTTACTATAATAATTATATTTTATTGTTATTATCACTTTACATATTTTATTTTATTTTCTGTTGGTAGGTATATTAAATTTTGTACATCTATCTACGGTTATTTTAAACTGTATAAAAACCGCTTGTTGCAGTCATTAATATTATATTATTATGAGGTTAACCAACTATAAGTTATAAGTAAAGACCGGATTTATATGCATTTTAAATTGTAAAATATGCATGCAAACATGCACTATAAAAAGTCAAAATATGCAAGATAAAATGCAAAATATGCAAAATAATTTTTGATTAAACAGCTATTTATTCATTGTAAAGATTTAAAATCAAAATATAAATTATGAAAATATAAATAAACTACAATATTATTATATTATATAATGATGATAAAAATGAAAAAAATTTTAATTTATTCGATATTAGAAAAACAATAAGTAACAATAATATATTCCATATTGATCTCGGTTAAATTATGACGGCGATTTGTGAGAATATGTTTATACGCAGAAAAACTTCGTTCCACATCAACGCTTGTTATGGGCGCATATTTAAAACTCGACAACCTCCCTACCTACCAACTAATACGGAAACAAAATATTTTCAATTTTTGTATTGTGGAAAAATTTATATATAATAATTGTTCATACAATTATAAAATTAAATTAAATTTATACTTAGTGTATACGTATTATGTAAAAACATGCGTTTTTATATAAAATATGCACTTGAACCCAAAATATGCAAAAATATGCAAAATAAAAGTTTGTAATATTATTTATTTAAGTATGATTGATGAAAACCCATTTATTGCATGCAATTGCTTATAAAAATATGAACATGCATAATATGCAAAATCCGGTCTTTAGTTATAAGTAAAACAATAACATTTTTTATATATTTTACCTACTATAATGTTTTATAATTATTATTTTTTGGACAACTATTTTGTTTTGCCTGTCTAGTTTTAATGAATTAATTTCCCATAGATATCTTAATGTACACATATTTAAGCATAAAAGTATTTACCCATAATTATCCACCAATTCATCTAATTTATGTTTAATTGCATTACCATAGGTAATAATAATTATTGTATTTAATTGGTTTGTTATATAGATTAAAGTAGGTACAGTACTTTTAAGAAATTATTGTTTTAATTATTTGTGTTCCGATTGCTAAAAGAAGAAATAAATAATAATATCCTTATGCATATAAATAACAACTGTACTATTTGCACAGATATATACAATATTATTATACATATCTGTAACTATTTGTATCATTTTTACCAAAAAGTTAAAAAAATTATGTAATTTTAACTACGACCGGTATGCCTGTATATAAAAAATAAACATAACTAATATTAAACAGCTACTTTTTTTATGTTTTAAAAAATGGATTTCAAACAGGTTTTTTACATTTAACTTCATCAGATTTTTTTGAATAGCACATCACGAATATGCATATAGGACGTAAGTATGCCTACATAATCTTATAAGCTATCTATATCTATAATGGCTTTATAAACTTATATACCTATTTTGAAAACGAGTTAAAATGTAAATAAGCATCATGGTTTTCGACTTTAAGGTTTCTATAATTCTATCCATCAACACTACTCATATTAAAACGTATACAGCATTAATTCAATATTTTTATCTTATAGGCGCGTAATTAAATGACAAAAATCCAGTGTTCAAAATATAATATCATATGGACTATGGTTACCTACTACACGTGTAATATTTAATATGTTTTTACTGTGTAACTACTAACTACTGTCTACTTATAAATTAAAATAAAGACTATTTTGTACCTACTACCTATATCATCAATTCTCAAACTGTGATATGTATACGGTATATGCACATTTAAAGTACAAAATGAACTCAACACTTTTTAGAGGAGGATCGTATTTATAAGATTAGTACATCTATTCTATAAAATAATATATTGTAATTTGTAGCCGTGTTGGTGATACTATAATTTTACACTGTAACAATAAAGAAAAATTAATATTTGTTCAAATAGATACTAATTTAATGTATATTGTATAATGATATTATTGTGTATTTCTCTGATATTTCTTAATTCTTATCATTTTCATAAATATTTAGTATTTAAAATATTTTTCAACTAAATACCTACATAGCTGTATGCCTGTATACGTATATGTTTTTGCTATAATTAATGATATAATTCATGAATATTATATTTAGCCTAGGTATAGGTATTAAGTACTAATTTGGAATGTAGATTTCTTACAACTAAAAATAAAACTATAAAATAAAATCTTTATAATTCATACAAGTATACAATACTGAAATGATAGAATATTCATAAAATAAAATATTAGCCTTAGCCCTCATAGGAACCTTTGTTGCATAAAAAGTACAGTATATTATTTTTGTATTGTATACACTATATATATTATGTGTACTGTACTATTGTAATATTCTGATTTCAATATTCAAGAAAGATAAGCTAAGGTGTGCGTTTTCAGTTACAATATAATACAATGATATTCAATTTGATTATAATTTAATATGATATAATAATTGGTTTTGGGCGTATCTATAGTTCCACATTAAATTGAATTTTTTTTTTTTGAGATAAGTTTTATTTTATAATTCGAGTTATCATTATGGTTATAATATGACGTGTGTCGTAATGTAGTATATATAATATATATATTACAAATATTACAATAGCTGTTCCCTTGCACTTCGTTACCTGTTAAAAATGACACATTTTGTATGATTCAATCTTTGTTTGTTTATTGTTATTTAACAGGTGTAATGATTTTTTTAGTTCTATCAAAACTTAAAAAAAAAATTACCTTATAATTTGTATGAAAATAATGAAACGTGTATATGTATTATACAGGATGTTTTTAAAATGGATGAGGTTACTTGTATTTGGGTACTCACCGTAGTGCTCCAATGAAGATTTTTTTGAATTTTATTTTTAGAATATTATCTGAAATGTAAAAATAAACGCTTACACTGTTATTTTTCGCAAAATTCTCATACGCATTGAGACGTCACATAATTCTTGCGTTGGTCGAGCGTTTTTCACCCTCCAATCTTTGACTAAAAAAAAGTGGTATAACACATCGATTTGTATGAGAACATTACAATATAAATAGTGATGATGGTTATTTGTTATTATTTAACATAAATGATTAATTAATACATTGCTTTACATTGCCAACAAATTAAAATGATGAAATAATAACAAAATTAAGGTTAACAGAGCTTTAAACTATCAAATTTACTGTCATATTATGTGTTTTAACTTTTAAGTGTATAAATAATAAAACATGATAACTTTTAACCATAATGTCATAACGTAAAGATAAAAGAAACTAACTATTTGTGTATCTAATACTGAAATTCCTGTTTTTGGATAACATAGTATCATAATGTTACTTAATTCGATATTCGATAAGATATACATTTTATTTTTCACTTATTATTATAATTTAGAGCTGTTGCGTTAACGACAGTTTTTTACCAGATACCGCTTAAAACGGATGGCTTTGTTAACAACACTTTAAAATAACGGATGTCCGTTCAACGTTGCCTGTAATATTATGTTATCGATTTCCTGTAATTAAATTTAGTCAGTTCCAATCAAGAAGTTAGTGAGTATAGAGTCTAGACAAATGTTGACTTGAAAGAGAAAACTCATAATATAGCATTATAGTGTACTATTTGTATAAAAAATTGCAACAAAAAGAAAAAAAAATATTTGGGTACATTCTATTTTATTAAAAAGAGAAAATTATGGTGTTTTTTATACCCATTTTAAAAATTTAAAGGGAGACGAAACAAAGTTTTTTAATTTCTTTTGAATGAATCAAGAAACATTTCACAAATTATGAGAATTAGTACAAGATAAATGTTAAGTGTACCTATTATGTACTTGTTAACAGTGGTATATTAGTATGGATACGCGAGTATAAGCCGTATACTCGTCAGCAGATTTTCGATTTTCGGTGTATATCCAATATAAAATATCATTCAGAATTTTATTTTGGGTGGAGGAGGGGAGCTGATTAAAATATATAAATATCGTCATACAAGCAGTAAAATACAAAAAGTACATAATATAACATAAAACAACATTTATTACAGTGTATATTAAATACTAAATAATAAGTTGTAAATGCCTGACTTAGTTATTCGCTATTGATAATCTTGTTTAAAACTATTTCATCTGTCATGAAAATATTTTTATGAATTTCCAATAACGCTAAGCTAACGAAACGATTTTCCGAAGTTGAATTTATCAAATATGATTTTAACCTTAGCATTGTGGAAAAACTACATAAATTGATGCAGTTGACATGGAAAATATGGCAAGTATTCTCAGCAATTGATAGAGATAAATGTTTTATCATAAAAAATTAAACATCTGTATAAGTAGAAACAAGAAAGTCTTGTTGATAGTTCTACTGAGGTCCATTCAGAAATCCATATGTCATACTTAACCTCAATAGAATTTTTAAAACCTGGCAAATAATCCCTGCGAAAATCAACTGCTTCACGAATAAAAACGATTTATTTATAAAAAAGGAAAAAGGTAAAATATACTGTAAAGAAAAAATAGTTACTTTTTGAGGCATAAAAATAAAACGATAATTTAAAGATGATATTAAATAATTTAAGTAAGAGATAAAAATAGTTCTCAATTTCTCATATAGTATTCTTCTGTGGAACAACGTGGATATTTGAACGATTTCGTTGATTAGCACATAACCTTGCCTATTTTAAATTTTTATCATTGTTGAGCCTTAGTAGTTGGTATATTTTTTTAAATTATATGATATGTTGTGTGGCTACAGCTATTAGTACTGTTCAGAATTTAATTATATATAGATAATATTTTTATGTCCAATTAATTTTATTAATTGTATGTACTTAAATTTAAAATACGATGTAATGTCTTTTCATTAGTTAATCTTACCGTAATTAAAAACATCGATAAGACATATTATTATAATATAATATGCCCAATTTATTTGAAAATATTTATCGTTTGAAGTTCAAATTGCTCGTCTCCTTTGTTTAAAATCATTTTTTGTGAATAAAATTTCATTGAATTTAAAACCTATTATGCTGTAGTAGTAAGTTCTTTGATAATGTCTACTACGACTAATTTATTTTTAAAATATTTATAGACAATTGCACGGCAAATGTACTACATGAAGGAAGCATTTTTTTTATATGTTATTTTATTCAACTCGTTCACCAAGAAAATATTTTTGTATTTTATTTAGTAAATACTGTATCTATACATTTCTTTATTCTATAGATATTTTATGGAGAAAAATATTAAGTCTTGTAAAGAATGATTTTATTATTCATTCAGAATACGTTTTTAGAATAAATGGTTAAAACCTATTTAAAAATAAATAGTATTAAACGCAATGAAAAAAATAAATTACGAAAAGAGCAAGAAAACAATATTAAATTTATAATGGATACTTGGGAACAATTTAAAAACAACAAAATATTAATGAATGACTATTTGCAAGCAATGGGACTACGTTTTTGTGCTAGTCACCAAATGTAATTTTTAAAAACTTATTATTATTAAATTTATAACGGATTATTTTTATATGAACAAAAAAAATATCGACTATTGACTATGTCTGTATATATTATATTTACCATACGTCATGTAATTTAGGAAAAAACAATTTTTAACCAAGCCAACGATGATAATTTGTTGACAGTCCTGAGGCTGCAAAAATTTAAATGTAATGAAAATGAAAATTTAATTGATTAATTATTTTATGTTGTACCTAAATTATTATACATAGTATAGACTATGGTATATAATATATATGGTACTATAGTATATACTTATATACACATATCATTTGGTGCGCAATGGTGTTGTGACTTTAACAGGTAAAAAGGGATCGAGGCGCAATCGTGTTACAAATTTTTTGCGCAATCGTGGTGTGATTAGTCGGGTCAAAAAAAAGAAAAATTGTGCAATCGTGTTGCACCGATTCAACTACTTGACGCTTGTATTAGAATATCTTTATTTTTCAATATATTGAACTCACTATTAAGCACTTATATAGGTATCGTGTCTTAGTACCTATACTTACCGGATTGTTTTTGATATCTACAATGTTGTAAGTATTATATTTATTTAGGTAATTTTCAAGTATTATTTTTTTATTTATATTATTATTAATGAACAAGGCCCGGAATGACTAGAGGAACAAAAATATCATTTAAAAACATCGATGATCAGGGGGGGAGGATTTGGTTGGGTGAATTTGTTTGCCAGCTATTTACATTTTAAGCTTTTCTTAAAATGTGTTATGCGGTATGCGGGGGGAGCTCCTCATTCCCATATACATTAATAAAAAAAAAAATGTTCAATTATACGATTCGATTAAACATTTAAACCTTCACAACGGTCCCGTAAACGACGAAATATCCGGCACGAGAGACCACGTCCGTCGGTGAGGGGATGGAGTGTCGTCGGATGGACTTTGTGTCGTTTTCTACTATCCGGAGAAAACGTTTAATATCGCCGTATTGTCGATCCGCGCCGGCAGTATCGCAGACCACAGAATCGATATTACATCACGTCGTATTACAAAATACATACAATACGCTTATCAATATCGACCGACTTTATGTACAGTGTTTTATCAATTACCGTTGTCAATAATAATTATTAATATCGTCATTATTATTATAATTATTTGATAATTAGGCCTGTGCGTTAAAATCCATTAAAACGTTTGTATTTGTACCGACCGGACTGCCCAGAGAAGTATATTTAATATTTATCAGCACTACGCAATCGTTCTTATGTTCTTGATGACAATCGTCCGTTCATCGGTCAGATTGCAGCTTTATCGTTGACTGGTTGAGTTGGTGTAGTTTACGATGGTCCGACGACGCTCGACGAATGCCGGCATAATTGTGACGATGTCGACGGCGCGTACCGTTTTAACGAACCGCCGGGCATAAATCAATCGAAACCTAAGTGCCTGGACGAGAGTCAAATCGTTTGGGGCCACGACTGGCTGTTCGTGTAGCACGCCTTACACAATCGCGTCCAAGAAGGCGATATTCAACGATTTATAAATGACATTCAGTTACAAAACAGTACAAAATAACCAATGGATTTCATTAAACGGACATCATTATTGTTCGTATTATCACTATTACTCATCAAGCAATCAACACAAGTCAGTAAGTATCCATTACAGTATAGTCCATAAATCAATTGAATGCATTTTATTAACAATTAATTAATGAATAATATTTATTAAAACCAAAAATGAATTGCAAGACAAAAATGTTTTATTAAAGCTTAAGGATTTGATGAGTAACGTAGTGATATTTCTTTATTAGAAATTAATGTTAATTTATTTTATAAAAATAAATCATTTTCAAATAAGTATAAGTCTAATAAATACATTGTTAGGTTAGCTAATATTTTAATTTTAAAACGAGTTATAGACATTTCAAAAGTCAAAACTGCAATATATGACATAGTTTATTCATTTTAAAATTTATTGAACTATCAATAAAAGCCTGTTTGTGGTGCTTCAGATAATATTCTTACCTTTATGTTTGATCATAGTTTAATTAAATCTAATAACAGTTAGCCACATGAAATTAGTTTTGCTTAACACAACTTTGTATGTTACATATGGGTTGAAGAGAGAATATAAATAGTGCTGTGACTACATCTTAATTGCATAAGGAATGTTTGTTTGATTTAAGATAAAAAATATTTCTATTATAATAATTGTCTTTCAAAATGCATATACATTTATAAAATGAAATATTTAGTTTAGATGTTGCAGAAAATATTTAGAAAATTATAAATAAATTTAGGCTAAAACTCGATGAATACATTAAATTTAATTAAATATTGTGTATAGCTTAGTATTTTGTTTTTGTATTATTTTTAGTTCAATTAAAATAAAGAAATGTTAAAAATCACAAAAATTATGTTATCGTGTTCCTCTTGCTGGTGTACCTATCTAAAAAATGTGGGTAATTTTTTTTAAAGGTATCATTGATTTGAATTGACATTATTTATTAGGTTTTTATGTTATTTAAATTTGGGTCTTGCTTATTATTTTATACTGGGACAATTTTTTCAAAATGTGTATAATATTATATACTTATTTAATACTATTATTTTTATATATCTTAATAATTATTATACCCAATTTATCACTTTATTTAGGTTTATTATACATTTATAAATTCCAAGTGTAATAAAAAAAAAAAATTCTGTTCTTTTATAATAAATATATAATCTAGTAGTTTTAGATTAATATTAAACTGTAAATATTTATCTTAATATTATAATATTATACAATAATTAATTTTTAAAGTTGTAATTGTACTAAAAAATATAGGCTCATGAGTTTCATAGAAGTAAAAAAATATGACCTTATCACAATGTTAAATTTATAAATATAATTTTTTTTTCATTCAAATGTTACAATATCTGAGCATTAAGTCTATGTGTGTTTTAAATACAATCATGATTTTGGATTTTACTATAGATCCTCCTGATGGATATTGTGCTCAGTACAATGGAAAGATATGTAGAAAATATTTAAATGCTTCAATTCTTATATGGTTTAACAACACTTTGAAAAATGAAGGAAGTGAACAAAATGAATTAATCACTACCGGTTTATGGGAAGAAATGTTACCTAGTTTTTCAAAAACATGTAGACCAGCAGCTGAAGTACTTAATTTGCTTAAAGTGTTTTGATTATTTTAGATTTATATTAATTTTTTTGTCCTTTTTTTCAGAAACTTCTGTGTTTATATGCATTTCCTCATTGTCAACAAGACAAATCTTATTTTCCACTTTGTTATGAAGATTGTATAGCAGTACGAGAATTGTTTTGTTATAAAGAATGGGCTTTGATCGAAGCAAATAAACAAAAGGGAATTTTTTATAAATCTAAAGGACATTTTTCTTTACCAATTTGTGAAAACCTACCGCATAATTCACAGGATGGTAAACCTGTATGTTCACATGCTATGCTTACAGAATTAAAACAAGATGAAATAACTAGTAAGTATTAGTAATTTATTTTAAAGGAACGTAATAGTTATTAATTTATTTTTTTATTATATTAGCCATTAGGATAGGTTAATGGTTAATGGTTAATGGTCAACTGTAATTAGATTCTAAGGGAATTAAAAATGTATTGTTTTTACAATGGTGACTTTTTTTTTTGTATTGGTCATTATGTTTTGGAAGAAAAAAAATGATTTAATTTTTAACATTAAAAATAGTGAATTATATCTTTGTTATTCTAGAGATAGTTTCTTCAAGAGTAGTAAATTCTAATACTTTCCAAAATAATGAGGAAAACATGAACATTTTTTTACATACAAATGATATTATTAAATTATTTTCAAAATATTATGGCTCTTGGTTAAAGATACTTGGAATTTTAAGAATTTTAATATTTTTCTTATTTATGGTGATAAAATAATACTCAATTATACTATTTTGTATCAATATTAAAATTGTATTTTTTTATTTAAAATTTTGTTTATGTTATTAAAGTTAAATGAATTGTTTTTTAGGAAGTTTCTTTTACTGTATCTACTTAATATACCATAATATATGTTTAATTAACTAAAATAATTAATAACTTTATAAAAATTTATATCTAAAAATAATTGTTATTTAGAGATAAAAATAAACATTTTTGATGGGTTTAAAGTAATGTTGCTATTTTTTATCTTAATTTAATATATATGCAACATAGGAATTTTGATGTTATGTATTTCAAATATACTAATTTATTAAATTAAGCGATAAAATCTCTGATAACAGATCTGAGTGAGTTTTGAAATTGACTTCAACATTTTTGATTTAACTTGTTTAAAAATTAAAATATGACAACTTTTTTAAACCAAATATTTGGAAGTTAATTTCAAGTAAACTTAACAAAAATTCAAATCTGTATTCAGTACTGACTAAATTAATCATTATATTAAATTTAGAACGTAACACATTTTTTATATTTTGTGTGTATATATTAGACGAAGTTAGAAAATACTTCATTCAATCCTTTCAAAAGAATGTCATACCCCAATTTGTTATCTCTGTCTTACAATACCATACTAAATTATACATTTAGTAGTTTTAATTTTGTGATTAGCTTAAATATTAAAATGGAATAACTTTTATAATTAAACTTAAAGATAATGTTCTTAATCCAAGAGAACACACATGCTTCATGGACTAAAAGACTAGAATTTTAAAAATTTGTTCATTGTTACAAGAATTTGAGATGTTTATGTAATCTATTCAAAGTACCTTCTAATTAGATGATAAACTAAAATTAGATACAATCTGATGTCAGTAATTTAAAAGTGTTCAAAGTTCATTATCAAGTTATTTATTCATCATCAAGTCTGAAAGACTGTGTACGTATTATAACGTGATATTTTAAAATAATTTATAATTTCATAATAATTCAATTATGGGTTATTTTTAAATTGTTTAAAAAAAAACGATAGAAGAGAATTATTTTTTAAAATAAAATTATTAATAAACTAATATTATAATATAGCGTGTATATGAAAGGTTAGGTTTTAAATATTTTCAATAAAAGTATTTGACAATTTTTATTTATTTGAGAACAATAAAATAATTATTATTTCAATTAATTGAGTTTTTATTGAAATATTTTAACACATAGTTAAAAACACTGTGTATGTGAATTCTTAACTACTAGACTTTGGTTTGTTATGCATTAGTGATAATTAGGGTTCGGATTTGAAGGCAAAAGCCTTTTTTTTTAATAATAATAATAGAAAAATAATTTTTATACAAAAATGTGTTTCATTTAATATTTAAGATGATGGATGTGTTTTTTTGCCTTTTTTACTTATAAATACATTTATAATTTATAAATTCCTTTTTTGTGTTTAATTTTTAATGGATTTGATAGTTTTATACACAATATGCGTCTTCTGAAGACGGTGCATTGTCGTTTATCAATTATTTTCAATGAGTTTGATTATTTGTAATATTTATTGATATTGCTAAATACTTTATTGAGTATTTGGTATTGCCAGTTAATTTAATGTTTCGAAAAGTATCCATACTACGTATCTATAGATTAAAATATGTTCATAATGCGTAGATATTAGATTCAAAATTATTTCAATTTTCTTTTTAATACAAAATAGTTAAAATATACAATATACAAACTATTTAATTTTTATAAATTTTGTAATTGCTTTTTATATAAATTAAATGCTTTTTTTTTATTATTTATTTAGTTTTTTAAATCCGAAAATCCTAGTGATAATATATGCAAGTATGTTGTTCCCTTAATTAATTTACCCATTTTATCATTTATATATAGTTTAAATTATTTTAATATGAACATTTTTTTTTCATTAAATAACTATGTGATAAATTATTTTTTTTAGTTGATTGCATTCGTGGCAATGGTCGTTTCTATCAAGGATATATTAATGTTACTAAATCGGGTTTGCCATGCCAACGATGGGATTCAAAATTTCCACATGAATTTGTAAGACCACCAATTAATGTATTTCCAGAAGTTCAAAATTCTGAAAATTATTGCCGAAATGCTGGAGGTGAAGTATCTTCTCCGTGGTGTTATACTATGGATCCTGAAGTGAGATGGCAAAAATGTGATGTACCTCTTTGTGGTAAGACTTTAATTATTATTTAGCTATAATTAAGTATTGTAATCTTTATTGTTTTACTTATTAGCACTAATGATTACAGATAAAAATGAAACTGAATTAGTGGAACCAAAATTTGATATCATTAATAATGATACTGCAATAAATATTATCACGATGATTTTAAATCATATTGAAATGTTCATTGATCAAACATCAACAACACATCTCCATATATTTCTTGTGATTGTTGGAGTTCTGATAATTTTAATATCAATCATAATTTTAGTGTTGTGCAACAAGTTAATGTCAAATAAAAATTCATATAGATCAACACAAACTCGAGTAAATATATATGATTATATTTTATATAAAAACCAATTACACTGTTATATAATTAAATTTTTAATAAAAACACAAAATTTAATCTTAGGAAGTCGATATAGATTTAGATAAATTACCAAGTAATTCTGCATACCATCAATATGGAATGTGTTCAAATCCAAAATTAGAAAAACTTGAATTTCCTAGAAACAATATAATTTATGTAAAAGATTTGGGTCAAGGAGCATTTGGGCGTGTATTTCAGGTAAGAAAAATAAAATAAAATGTATTAGAATTTTAACTGAATATATTTTTAATCATTCTTAGGCCAAAGCACCTGGTTTGCTGAAAGACGAAGAATTTACATTGGTTGCAGTGAAAATGTTAAAGGATGAAGCTTCAAATGACCTCCAAGTCGATTTTGAACGAGAAGCTTGCTTGTTGTCAGAATTTGATCATCCCAATATTGTTAAATTATTGGGAGTTTGTGCTTTAGGTAAACCAATGTGTTTACTTTTCGAATACATGGGTCGTGGTGATTTAAATGAATTTCTTCGTTCGTGTGCACCTAGCAATTACATCGTACATTCAGCTGAAGCTAGAGGTGATGTTTTTCGTGATTTAAATCTTACAAACCTTGATATGTTGAAGATAGCTCAACAGATTGCTTCTGGTATGGTTTACTTATCTGACAGAAAATTTGTGCACAGAGATTTAGCGACTAGAAATTGTTTAATCGATGACACAATGACAGTAAAAATAGCTGATTTTGGGCTTTCACAAAAGATGTACTTACAAGACTATTACAAAGGTGATGAACATGATGCTATACCTGTTAGATGGATGCCTTTAGAAAGCATTTTATACAACAAGTATACAGTTGAATCAGATGTCTGGGCGTTTGGTGTGTGTCTTTGGGAAATATTTTCTTTTGCTCTTCAACCGTATTATGGCATGACACATGAAGAAGTTGTTAAATTTATTAAAGATGGTAATGTTATGAATTGTCCTGAAAATACACCAAAATTGGCCTACGAACTCATGAAACAGTGCTGGAGTCGAAAGCCTGATTCACGCCCAACTTTTCGTACAATTTATCAGACTTTAGAAAATGTACGACAAGAAGTTGTTTGCCATATGAATGGACTGATTCCACATGCTCATTTGTAATTTATTGAGATGATTATACAACAATGTATGGAAACCAATTAATCTATATTGTATCATAATTCTATTGTGTAACTGTATACATTTTGTATAGACATATTGAACTACCAAATATTTGATTTATTTCTTCAATGACATTAATTTTGTTATATCATTGATTGAATCATTTTTTAAAGACTGTTTTAGTAGACTAGTAATTTATTCTTAGCTGATCTATACTCTTTAAGCGCTTGGTTTTAATATCTCAGTAGAAACTTATATTCAAATAATACAACATGAGTTGTGTTTAATTTTTCTATCTATCAATAGATTATATTTTCTTAAATATATTTTAATACTTATCATTATTATCAATAATTTATTTTAATGCAGGAAATAAAATTTGTTTAAACAATGTTTGAAAGCAATTCTATGATTTTTATAATTAACTCTTGATAAGCTGTACAATTTATAATATTTTTTTTTAGTCAATATCTTTACTTTGTAAGCATATACTAGTCTATATTTTACTATGTATTATCCTCCTAATATTCATGTCATGTATTTATATGTAATTTATGTTAGGTAAGAAAAAAAATTAGTTAAGAAATTAATTTAGATTTTCATTTCACTATATTTAATTATTCATGTTTTAATTACTTAAGTAAATCATTACCTTATTTTGTTTAAAATAACTACAAAATATTAAAAATCAAACAAATTTAAATTGTACATGAAATTTTATCTTTATTTGTTCTGATAACGATAGCACAGGTATTGGGCACACATTAATTATCAAACCGATTTTAATAAAATATTATATTTAAACTTTTTTTTTAAAATTACAATCAATTTATTTTTCCTTGTTATTATAATAATTTAAATGTAATACCTTATAACATTATTTCTATTTATTATTCCCGATGGCAAAATTATAAAAAAAATGTATGTGGTCCAGTTTTTACAAAAGGTTGGACACTCCTGCTGTAAACATTTAATTATTTTTTGTAGAATAAAAATTTTACCATTAATGAAATTTGTAAAAATATACAATAAAAAATTAATTACACACATTTCTATAGTAAATTTTGACACTGTGAAAGTAATATAAAACTGTTTAATAATTTTATAAATTTAATTAAATAATATAGCAAAATATATTATATTCAAATAATATGTTAAGAAAACAAAAAGATTGAATTGCTATAATTTTATATTAGGTTTAATAAAGTAAAGAATTAGTATGAATAAACACAAACTTAAGTATATCATGTATTAATGTAAACAAGTATTTTAAGTTCGCTGTATTCGAAGTTTAAGTTTAGGTATAGTTTTATTATTATTTGCTTCAGCAGAGATTATCCTCTAATCTGATTTTTGAACTTCAAAACTTTTTTGTATGCTTCAATTTATTTAAAACGACTATTGGTACTAGTTTCAATTTTGGATCTTCAACCGATGCTATAGTTTTGGGAAACTCTTCTACGTTTCATCAAACTATCTTTTTTCTGACACTTTGATCTCTTATTTGATATTATGTTAAGACAATCATTAATAATTTCAGAAGTGGGGGAGGGAGAATTTGAAGAAATACTTATAACTTTGACTTGTTTTGAATTTGATCTTGTTTGTATTTTGATGTCAGTCAATGAATTTGGTAGCTTATTCTTTTCATCATTACTCTGAGAAAATTTTTTATGGTTATGGATTTGCAAGGTTTTGATGATTCAAAAAGAGGGTTTTTTGGCGATTGGTGTACTTCAATAGTACATTCATTGTTTGCAAAATTTAAAATTTTTGTATTAATATGATTTAGTGCAATATCTTTTGATTCTACTAGTTTATAGGATTTTATTTCTTGATTATACAAAAAAGAATTTCCTTTAACAACATTTTTTTGAAAAGAAAAAAATGATGTTTCACTATTTTTTTAATTGTTTTAATTCACTTATTATTTTTTTTTTTTTTTTTAATGTAAGTAAGTTTTTACATTATCCATATTTTGAGAAATACAAGATGATTCAGTTTTTTTCTGATATATCATCAGTAACTATTTCTTCATGGTTATCTACAGTTGAATCTCGGGTTCTACTTTTTTCTGCATGTGTTTCTAAACTAAAATCGTCTAAATGTGATTCATAAAAAAAAACTGATGTTTGCTGAAACGGTGTTTCACATATTTCTAGTTGATTTTCTTTATTTCCAATCATATTAAAATGATAAAAACTGTATTCAGGTAGAGGATTATGTTCATTTTTTGGCAATTCACAAAAAAATATTGTTAAAAAGGGTATACTCATCATCATGATAATCTTTGTTTGGATCATCACATAAATCATCTTTACAATTTTCAATGTCTTCTTCAAAATAAAAAGGTATATTTGAATTTTCGGCTGTATTTTCTTCTAATGCTTTGGTTACACAACAATCTTCTTTAATTATAAAAGAAGTTTTGTCATCATCAATTACATTACCAAGAGTATTTTCATTTTCACCATCCCACATTTGATTATTATCATTTGAATGATGCTCTTCAGTAAGGCTATTAAAATAAGGAGTAGGATTTTCTAATGTATTAAAGAGCCAATCTCTAAGATATTTTACATTATGGAGATCTACCCTATTATCATTTTCTATTTTTCTATTTTTGATTAGTGAAACCAATTTCCCTCTACTTTGTTCACTTCCATCGGAGAATATGACATTTGGTTCTTCTAAATTTTCTTTATATTCACAGTCATGTGCAATATCAGATTTGTCTGAATTATTTTTATCAGTTGCTTCATTAACTATGACAAAATCGGGTTCATATAATTTTTTTCCACTTTCGTGTAAAATTAATGATCCTAATGAATTATTTTCATCAGCTGCTTTATTAAGTATGGCAAAATTGTGTTCATCTAATTTTTTTTCATTTTCGTTTAAAATAACTGGTTTTACTGAATTATTTTTATCAGTTGTTTCATCAAGTGTGACATAATCTAGTTTTTGTAAATGTTCTTCACTTCTTAATGTAATATTTAGTTCTCCTAAATTCATTTCATCAGTTGCTTCACCAAGTATAACATCGGATTCTTCTAGTTTGTCAATATTTTCATCTTTATATTTGACATCTGGTATAATAAGATTACTGTAATAATTAAAAAATTAAATAAAAATTAACAATATATAACTGTATACAGTATTTTTTTGGTTTAAAAATCATCAATGATTGGCAATTTTTTTAAAGATTTGAATGGTACTTTTTACTTTATTAGAATATTATAAGTTAAGAAAGTAAAGTTACCATGTATAGACTTATTCTTATTTAGTATTAATGAATTGAACACAAACACATCAAATTCCCATAAAGTTTAATTTAATTTAAATTACAAGGAAAAAGATTCTATGGATATAATATACTTAAGAAAATTTGGTGAGGTATAGACTCCATGAAAACCTTAAATATAGAATATCAAATGAATCAATTATAAAAACGGCTAATTTGAATTCAAAAAAGAAAAAAATTGCTAATAAATCATGTGTTTGAATTTAAACGAGTTTAAAAAAAATTATAAACAAAATTTGGTATGATAAATAATTTATAAGTAATAATAAATAATTACACTGTAAACTTTATTTTTTATTAATAGAATATAAAAGAAGCAATATTGAAATTTGTTCTAAATTTGTAAAAATAAAAGTATTACAAATTCATACGTATTGAATTTTGATGTTATAAAATTAATTTTTAACTGTTCAATAGTTTCAAATGTTTAAAAAGAAATAAATATGCAAAAGTAATTCCAAAATTTTAAATACCAATGACTTCAATAACTAATAAATTAAATTAAATTAATATTTATAATAATAAACTTATATTACATACATTTGAAAAGATTTATTGTTTTTTCTTATGGGAGTCGTGTTTTTGAAATTAATAAGATTTGTACCCATCATAAACCAAAACTTAGTGGTTTCTGTAATGATAAAAAATAATGATAAATTAATATTAGAAAAGTAGCAGTTATTAAATAACAAAGAAAAAAAAAATACCTTCATCAGAATATATTTTTTTATTGAGTTCTCTTCTGTTAATTGGAGGTATGTTTGTAAATGTGTTCATCAAACCAGTTGTGATACAAACATTTTTTGTTTTGGCTATCGATTTGTGTATTTCAAGGGCTTCCGAATACCTAAATATATTAACATAAAATTGAATTTTAATTATTACAAATTATTTTTTAAAAGAAATATAATTATAATTATTGATTTATGATTAAAATAAATGTGATGAGAAATATAATGAATACCATAAAACATCTTTAATTTTTAATATTGTAAATATAGATATTTTAATTAAATATTTATGTTTCCACATCAAACATGCTTTAGTAGTGGTTTCCAAATTTATTTTTCTCAAAGCACATCCATTATTAGTTACTATAAGTCAGATTATGGCACAGTATCAAATATACTATACATAAATTGTATACAAAATACTTTTAGGTTTAGAAAAAACAAACATTAGAATATTTATAATTAAATATTAAAATATATAACTGTACATTTTTTCTTGGACATGCTATAATGAATGAATTGAACATAATTATTAAAGTATTTTATATTAATTTTATACAAAAGTTTAAATATTTATGGCCACATAACATTATTACACAAATCCTTTTTGAAGAATTATAATAACATAGAAACCTAGAGTTGTCTTTTGTCAAAATTTAATTGGAAGAATAATAATTTCGATTTCAGTAATCCAGACATCATTAAGTTTCTTAGTGAAAAAAATTCTCCAAAAACTTAAGTTTTGCCTATTTTTATTTATTTATTTTTTTTTTTGTTTAAAATTGAGTTATTGTTTAAAAATGTTATATTTTATGTTCAGAATAGTAAGTGGTCTGTATAATTGTATTTTGTATACTTCCTATTATTTAAGTAATAAAATTAATAAAGCTATTGTAACTTCATTAAAACAGACATAAAAGAAGCATAAGTTACTATTGCAATGCAAGTTATAAAATTGTTTAAATTTATAATTCAATTTACCTTTGTTCTTGTAATAAAAATTTTAAATGAATTGATTTAGTGTCATCAAATTTTTGTAAACAAGAAACAAATAAGACTTTTTCGTTTTCATCTAAAGGATAGTTGAGAATTCGTTGCAATTGGTTAGTATTTCTGCATTCTAAAATTAATAAATTTGACTTTAATTTAATTATAATAACATACAAGTCAATAAAGAAATTATTTGTAACTAACGTTCAAAAATATTTTCAAATAAAATATTTTTTTCATTCATATCTCTTGAATGCATGTAACACAAAGCATCAAAACAATTTCTATTCCTTATAAGTAAATTGACATAAAATCTGAAATCATAACACTTAAATATAATAATTGATATATTTTTATATTATTAAATACTTCATAAAATTAATTATCTATCCAATCCTGTTACATGCTTTGATTGGTTGCTTTAAATTTTTTTTTAATTTATTTTTTTAAGATATAGAGTACTCTAATTGTTTAAATTAATGCAAACTGGATAATATTTAATAAAATATGTTTAATTTTAATCAAGTGATGATTTTAAACTAAATAAGTAAACTAAGATAATTATAAAAATATAATTTATAACCTGTATGTTAATTGTAATAAGATTATGGCTAATTTAAATTTAATTAAATAGTTTGTAAAATTTCAAAAATTCAATTTTATACTTTTTTATATTAAAATAAAATTACATTGAGGTAAATGATGCTTACTTATGATCATCAAGAGAGATTAATTTTATTTTAAAGAGATTTAAGTAATATTGTGCCCAGTAATATTGTTCTTTAAATACTAGTAGCTTCATGACACTCCAATGAAACCAATTCCAAGATTCATCATCAATCAACCATTCATTATAACTGGCAAAGATAAGCATAGCATCCTATCAAATTAATAATAAAAAAAATTATTTAAAATAAAATAAAGGATGAAAATAAAATTACTTCAAACATGTCATGATCTAAAAACCAGCTGGCATTACAAAGTTTGTACAATCGTTCATTTTTATAAGAAACGTTGCGCAAAAGATTTGTAGTTGTTTCATTCAAACTAAAATAAATCATGTTATTACATTTTCAGTTAATCAAAAAATTTGAAAATATTTAAACGAACTTTTGCAAATAACAGGCATCAATCAAAAAGTAAGCAATAATAAAATCTTTGACAGTGTTCAAGAGTTCAGTATTCAAATAAACCATTAATAGACTTTGAACATTGGAAGGTGGATACAAGCTTTTAGTTTCTTTAACACATTCATGTTGACATAGTTCGATTGATTTATATCCATTAGTTTCATTTGTAATAACAACGTCAATAAGATATAATTGTAAATCTCCAAAGTCCATTCGACTAAACATTTAAAAATTATTTAGTTAATTGTATTCACTTAGATATTTAACCACTAACCGTTTATTGGAATACTGGATAAGAGAATTAAAATCAAATTGTATAGTTTGACACACAGAATTTTCTTGTTTTGGTAAGAGTTTTAAACTGAGAAAATAATTAAGTGCATGCAAATATTGAGTAGCTGACTTCATTATTTTTTCTTGATAAACTAAGTCAACTAAAATTAGAAAGTTAATTAAATTTCTAAATTAATATTTTTATTTTTTATTATATTTATTTTAGTTTGTATAATCTGTATAAAATATATTTAAAATAGGTACAATAGAGAAGGGATACATAAGAGGGCCTGATTGAAGAAGTCATTCAATAATAGTACTATGTGGCATGGGTAGAGGTGGTTAATCGATTAGTAAGTAACGGCACCAGCTAAACTTTAAACGTCAACCAAGGTTAGGTAAGATCTAATATTAAATTTATAAATTTTTATTCAGTCTCATAAAAAAGTAACCTAAAGGTGGTAATTGATTTCATACAATTTGGATCGATCATATCCTTAAATAAATTGGTTCTTGTCAACTTTTGTTATTGACAATCTGAAGTCAAAAAATCACTAAACTCCGTTAATCTCAGCAAAAAATATTTAAGGCAGCTATTAAAAAAAGTAAAACTTCACTATAAGCCACACCCATTGTCCTCATTAAGAAAACAGTCCAAATACCCTAGATTACTCCTAAAAGAGACGAGGATTCTGCATAATAATTAATAATTATACAAATCAACCAGTTGTAAAATGTAGTAGTTTGGATAAAATTATTATTTCACAGTTATTTTATAATAAATTGGTAATTATTTTGAAGAAAATCTAAATTTAAAAGGAAATTACTTCTTAATTGATGATGAAAAATAATATGTATTTTCAAAACATCATTTAAACAATCTTATTTAACTAATCAACATGTATAATTTAAATTATTTTTATAAAAACAAATGTTTACATAACATATTTACCATTTAATATTTGAATGTCGTCAATAGAATGCAAACTTTCATAAAAATTTAAGATTTGCAACATTTGAGACAAACAATTATATAACATTCTTTCATTTTTATTGCAAAATATCTTATCTGAGCAGTCAAATAAAGAATCACCTAAACATAATTTAAATAAATAATAATGAAAATAATCATATTGCAAAAAATTATAAATTACATAATTGATCAGCATATTTTTTGACAAGTTTAAAGTGATTCCAAAGACATTGCATTAATAAAAGCATTGCTTCAGAAGAACCATTAGTTCCATTTTTATATTCTTCAGTACATGCATTAAAAATTGACATAATGTTGTTTTCTACTAGAATAGAAACTACAAAATTTACTTTATCAGGCTGAAAAAAATAATTAACCATAGATTAATAACAGATTTTGAAAATAAATCTAAGAACATAGATTTTGAGTGAAAAAATTAAAAAATTAATACAATATTTTATTTCTTACCAAACTGTAATTTAGATAATTATCTGATTTATCCCAAAAAAATGGTCTTAAATTTGCTAATAAACACTGGTTGAATATTAACTTTGGATATATTAACAAGCTCCAATTTTTTAAAAGTAATTGATCCAACATTTCTTGTTTAATATCAGCAAGTTTAAATCTAATAATTTTTTTGCCTAACAATCATATTTTTAGGGAAAAAATTAAGTATATATATAACAAAACACTATTATTGAATACAGTGAAATTATTACCAAAATATGTTGAAGATGGATAATAAAGTTCTTCAAAATTAATTCTATAATTATAATTAAATGGGCGTAATGTTTCATCATAAGTATTTAAATCTATATGATTAATATTATAAGACAATTTCACAAAAGAAGCATAGGAACTTGATACTTTAAAATGACTTATTATTTTTGGCTTCTGGGCTTTGTACCACTGGTTAATATCAAACAAAAAAATGTAATATTCAGGGCTTGCATTTGAATATCGATAAATTTCCATTAACATGCCAAATAATTTAATTTCAGAACGTTTCTCAAAACCTAGAAAATATTCAAAGATTTTAAATATAATGAAAAGAAAATAACTACAGTAGAACCTCGATTATCCGGGGTAATGATAGGGAGAGGGTCACACGGATAAATGAAAATCACGGTTAATCGAGACTTTTTATAATAATGAAATTTTAAAAATTTTGATTCAATTATAATTAGAAATACATAGGTACAGTTTTATAATAATGAAATTTTAAAAATTTTGATTCAATTGTAATTAGAAATATACATAAGAAGACGTATACATACAATAATGTTATACATACGTTCTACATCCATACCTACAACAAGTTATTAGGGCTTAAAATATGAAGTTATCGTCAAAAATGACATTAATACGATTGTCGATATCGAGTATTATGTTTAAAAATGTTCGGAAGAATGGGCACGGTTAATCGCAAACACGGATAATTGAGTCATGGATAATCGAGGTTCTACTGTAATTAAATATTATGTTATATTATATACAATTAGATTACCATTGTCATTTCTGACCCAGGCGTCATCACATAAAGTTGATGCGGCTATACATTGACCAAATCCAGTTTCTTTCCATAGTGTCATTTTTAATTGTATACAATTTTTTTTGTTTACCTTTAAAATAAACATAATAATATTTACTTTAAAAGAAAATGATTTAAAATGTAAATTTATAAAATTTAATTTACTTTGTATAACCAACAGCCATTTGACATCATAATTTTTTGTTCATAGTTTAAAGCAATCATCATTGCATTTGGAAGTTCAGAATTATTTGATTGAATAACCCAAAGATAACAAATATTTTTTGGATCAACAGGTGGTTCAAGAAAATGAAAATGGGTTATTGGCATATCATATATAGGCTTTTTTAATTCACAACTAAAAAAACAATAAATATGTATTCATAAGTTTTTTGATTTTATATGTATTATTTATAAATAATGATTAATTATTAATAACTAGGACTCGGATTTAAATGCACTTAAAACCATACAAATATGCTCTAAAAAATAGTCAAAAATGCCCTTAAAAAATGCATTTTTCTACAAAAATCACCTTAAAAATGAAAATATGACTTCAAAAATGACATATTTTTTTATACAATTTGTAATTTATAAATAAGATTTGATTATTTTTTATTATTTTAGTAAAAAAAAACTGAAAATTCGATTGATGTTGACTCACATATATTTTGGCCGTTCTGGAGAAATATTATTCATTCTAAACATATATTAAAAATTAAATTTTAAGTAAGCCTATTGTACTTACTAAATTTTGAGCATTGCATTGAACAATAAGATAAAAACTGAATCGAATAATTTATTTTTAGATAATATTTTGAATTGGCTAAATTTGTGTAGTATATTGAACATATTATATGCATTAAAAACAAACAAAATGACCCAAAAATGCTAAAAATAAAAAAACGTCGAAATATGCAAAAAAATGCAATATAAAATTTGTTGCTATGAAACCCTCGTTATATGAAATGGATTATGTACTTGGAACACATTGTGTAAGATCAACCAAACAAATATGCATTTTGCATTGAAATCCGGGCCCTATTAATAACTTACATTGATTGCATAAGTGTACAGTCCCATAATTGTAAGTGACCTGTGGAATATCCTATAGCAACAGCATTAATGTTTCCATTAAATAATAAACTAGATACGCTGAAGTCTAGTTTGTCACTGTATTTTTTTCTATAATAAGTACAAAAATTTTCTAAAAGAAACATAATGATTAATAATTTGTTTAAATTTTATTTTTTAAATTAAAATTTTACCATTAATTAACATTGCTAAATGGTAGTCGTTGTCATTACTCATCTGCTCAACTTTTTGATAATCACAATTTTTCTTTATAATGAATAATTTATTAAGCTTTAATTCATTTACATCAATTTTATTCTTTTCCAATTCTATAAAATATTAATTTATAAAAAATATTTTTATACTTGAGGTATATTTGGTTAACATACGGTTTTTAATGTAATGTTCTTTTAAATCGATTGCATAAACTTCTCCTGTTGCCATACCAACTAACAATATAGTAGACATTTGTTTTAATTCATTACTAAGTTGATTGTTAGGAAGTGATTTATTTAGTATCTTTGATATAAATGATACCTAAATTAATTAAAATGAAAACATTTTATTTAGTTTAACAACTTGAGATTAAATTTAACTATATCAAATACATACAGGACTTGGTAAAGCAATACAACAAATTGTGGTTAATTTTGGTAATAGGCATATAAACAATATGCCAGAAGATTTAAATGAACATCCAACTAATAATAAATTATTTATTTTTTTGCTATTGTGTAATTCTTTGACAAAGGTTATCTGAAAAAAATTTACAGAAAATGTAATTAGATTTACAAGTATTTTATATAATTTTATCAATTTATGTCACAGACAGCCAGATATGGTACAATCTGTTTTGAAAAATCATCATAATTAATAAACAGAATCTCAAGTACACAATCTATAAATCTATGATGATTAAGCTTATAGATTAGTTGATTTGAAAACTCTCTCAGTTAATAGGCACTTAAAGTTTATATATTTTATATTATAGAAAGCTTACATTGATGTAATACACTTTAGAAATTAACATTAGATAAAAACTGAATAAATAAAATGTTAATTTTTCAGGAAATTGACTATTTATACTGTTCTATTTACTTCAAATCGTCAATAATTAAGATCACCCTTGCTCTGTTCAAGTTCCACTACAGTATGTATTAGAAGCCTTGATTGGAAACGTGAATTAATACGTACATGAATTTAATATCCGTATTCACGTATTTCAAAGTTATTCATGTATACACGGATATTTGTACATATATAAATATATATATTATATTTATATGGTGACCAGCCTTAATGAACTGCACGTGTCGAGCAAATTAACTGATTACTATTTGTATTATATATTAGAATAATAGATAATAGATAAAGATACCATTTTTCGTTATCTTATTCACACGTCTAATTATAAGCAAGTATATGGTATATCTAATATTGTATTGTGCGGTTATTTGTTGTAAGCAAGCTCTTGAGTGGAATGCATTATTAATTTTATCAATAATTTATAAATTTGATTAGCAAATAGTTACTTTACTAACACGTATTTGAACAGTTGACTTTTTTTATATTGCGTTTTCGTCAAATATTACACTTACATTTTTACAATAATGAGTAGAAAAAGAAGTTAGGTTTGGGAATATGCTAAAAGAAAAGGAAACAAAGCATATTGTGAATTATATGACGAAGATGAAAATAATGAATATTCTTGTGTTGGTGGAACAACTAGGTCTATAATAAGACATTTAAAAATTATGCATAAAGTTTATCAGCCAGAGACATCAACATCTAAGAGGTATACACATTAGAAAATAATAAATATACATTTATACCTATTATTTGCTGTTAATGTGAATTTACTTTTTTTTTGTAATTACTACAAAAACAATTAAAACAAAAAACAATACAGCTATTATAGATTCATTATTCATTATATTAATGATATTAGCTAGATATTCATAAAAAATATTCTTTTTTTATCTAAGATTTGAACATTTAATAAAAGTTTCCTTGTAAATAGGTCATGATAGAACTAAAAAAATTTGAAAAATGCATTTGCACCTTTATTTGCAAGAGAAAGCATTCGATCATTCGTTATCAATTAATTAAATAATATAGAAACTGATGCATATAACGTAAATACACGATGTGAACCATTACTTCAACAAAGTGCACTTGAGTTCCTTTACGGTGATGATGTTATTGAAGTCAACAATTTGACGACTGAATTTCAAAATTACTTAGCTGAATCTTAATTAAAGTTCGATTTGAATCCATTTGATTGGTGGAAATCTAGAGAAAATAAATTTCCAAGAATTGGAATACTAGCAAAACAATATTTATCAATACCCACCACATCAGTGAGTTCCGAACGATGTTTTTCCACAGCTGGGAATGTGGTAAATTCAAAAAGAACGTCATTATTAACAAAAATGTTAATTTATTAGTTTTCTTATACCAAGATCGAAATTTAATACCATATTATTATTATTATTATTTATTTTATTGTTATACTTAATTATTTATAAATTATTATTTTTTTTTATATTGATAAAAGTTTCGTTATTATTATGAATACACTTTTTATGATTTATCAATATAATATACCTACTATTATAATTTTTCCTAAATTTTGTTATAAATCTAATAATTTTGTAATAATTAAGAAATTCATTGAATTATTCAATATTGAAATCATTGTTATTTATATGTTTAATTTAATTAATCATTCTACAGTATTTTTTTTTTTAGATTGTTTAAAAATCATCGTTATAAATTTACCAAATGCTTTTGTTAAATTTTCTATAAATTTTGTGTATCTTTATAAGTACATGGTATGGCTAATAATAAAGTATAAATTAAAATACTAAAATACGTGAATATTTGTGTACACGTGTAATTATTTACGTGTACATGGATTTTTTAAATACATGGTTTTATATATTCGGATGTTAATTTCACGTGAATATGTCAAAGCATGTACATGTAAAATAGGGAGCTCTAGTATGTATACTACAATACAAACCTACCGTAAACACAATACACTCACACTGGAGTTGACCATACAATAATATCAATTCAATAACACAAATGTAGTTTTACCTTTAACGATTTGTTGGTTTGAATGTCACTGAACGATCTGGAATACTCAACACACTTAGTTTTCGTCGAGTAGAGATAGAGGTTGGCCTCGTTAGTGAACCATGCATATTGAGTGCTGTCAATCCAACCGCCTCTCGCATTATTGCGATCCAATCCAGAAAGGAACGGGATTTTATGAGTTTCTAACACTTTCATTGCCAGCGTCGAATTAGACATAGTTAACGTGACTTCGAACAATCACGATATTATGTCTTCAATGAATTACATACGTGTTAATATGTTGTCGGCGAATTCCATTTAATATAATATTATTATAACCACAACAATATTTTGATTAATGTTGTTCCTGGTCTGAAGAAACGTCTTTGGCGAACACTGTAAACTAGATAAATCAAAAAACTGCTTTAAAAAAAAAAACTGTGACGTGCACCGTGCACAACACCGAAAACGTTTAGATGCAAGAACTCGAAATCGAAATAGTGGCACAAATAAACTTGTAGTATAAAATATCCATAACTTTATAAAATTTTATCTTGGCGCCCAAGAGCACTGAGCAATTGTGTCGTATTTGTCGTAGACAAAATAACTATATCATGTCAACACGTAAATGCGCTCAAACGTAGCGGCGAATTTTATGACCAAAAATCAATAACCGGTGAACAACATCTGGAAGTATTGATTGGTAACCGCTGACCAATGATATTGCAGTGCGTTTGTTACCACGTTTGATACCAGAGTGGTATTTACCATTACAATGTTAATTTGACTTATATTTCGTAGGAAATTATTCACGCACTGGTATAAAGAATGTATTAACATATTTAACATATTAATTGTTAACTGGCGTACAACAGCGACTTATAAATAATCTCGATCAAAAAATAATAATTATATTTAGATAGTTGATAGTTGATTTACGACAAAGATATTATGAAAATCTATAGCAAATAATACAAGTGATATATTACAATAATTTATTATTTATAATGATGTTAAACATATAGGCATCAGTTTAAGTGGTGCCACTGATACTTGAATATTGGCAACGACAGTTCGATTATTTAGTATATTACAATAGAACTTGATTAAACAAAATTGACTGTATAGATAGAGTGATATTTTATGCAGACGTATAATTTTCATTCAAAAATGCTTTTACTTAACAAATAAAAAATGAACTAAATGTTATTTTCTATAACAAAATTAAAAACTATTGTGTTTTTAGATATTTATAAAATACGCACTCGTTAATCAGACTTATTTAAATAAACGGAATCAATTTAATAGTCTCAATAGTTCAGCAATTATTGTTCAATAAGATATCAAAAAGTTTTTCGAAAAATAATTTATATTTGAATTCATTTCCTACACTAAAAATATTATTTGTAAATTAACTAATTGAATCTATCTTGTAATATGGACGTTTGTACCATTTTTTTTTATCCAGCACATAGCAAAGAAACTTTTCTTACACGCAGAGAAATTGACTAATAATATCAAAGCTATTTTATATAAATGATGATACACATTTGGATAAAACATTTTCCTGTTAAATAAGCTTTAAGTTAACAGTGGTTAACTTATGAATTGGTAATAATTTGGTAGCCCATTACAGGGCATTAAATAATAAAAGCTGTGATAGATGGATGAAAATAGTAGAAAACATAGATATTAAAAATTCCAGTTGTTAAACGTGGCCACTTCTTAGCAAACTCTGATCTGATAGATCCCCACAACCAAATCTTCCAAAGATCCATAAATTAAATAATTAGTCTATTCAAAGTAAACATTACATGTTTATTGATTACATCATGGATATATGAAGTAGTAATAAATTTTAATTTATGTATAATTAATTATTAATGTTGTGTACATTTTTAATTAATCTACTCATTTATATGATAATTAATCAGTAAATATATGCTACTATGCTAGAATATTAAAATTGCAATTATTATTAATTTATAAGAATAACGCATTTCAATATATTTTAAATATTGAATATCAAAACCAGCATTATTCAATTGTAATTTTACTTTAAAGTTTTATATTTTATTTAAGATTAATCCAATTTTTGTAATAATTATAAACATAAATGTATTCTAATTATAACAGTTTATTTTGTAATTTTAAGTACAAGGATAAATTAATACACAATAAAAGCTTGGAATAAGTAATTCAATAAGTTGATTCGATTTTGTTCTTTAAAAAAAATAGAGTATGGAGATGTGAACAATTAACAAAAATCAAAATATAACTAAAATTTAAACATAAATAATTAGATTAGATTGTGATACTAAAAAAAAAATGTATTTATTTTAATATCAAAAATACATAATAAAAAATAAAATAATAAAATTCTAAGTCAAATTTTGAAATTATACAGTTAGAGTTTAATTTTAATATTACATTTTTAATCAATCTTACAAGGCCATAACTAGACTAAGATGAAAATCTATATTTTTATATTTAAACATGTATATGTATAATAACAACATATGACACAATCTAAGTTTAAGACAATTTATAAGTTTAATTATTTGTAATAAACCAAGATATATTTCTATTAACATAGATATTAACTTTATATTAATGTTAATTACTAGATTTTTTTAAATTGGTTTTTTTAATATTTTTTTTCTTTCCTGGTTTTGGCACAGTGATGTTACTAGTTGTCGTATCTTGTCTGAAAAAAAATAATAAAACTAATATATTTCAAGTAATTTATAATATTAATAAAATAATTAAGTTACATTCAGATTCCATACTTATAAACGGCGAAATTAAAAACATGATGCACATTTATTACTAATTTATATAGTTTTTAACTTGATAACAAAATTAAAAATATAATTTTTAGTAAATAGAATGATTAGAAAATTGTACACTTACATTAATAAGACCATATATTTACTAAATGCTCCTAAATTACTTGATAATTATTATAAAATCTACATTTCATGTTTTTTTTTTTGGTGAAATTTTTTTAAATTAAATTTTAAGATTATAATATTAATAGCTAATATTTTGAATATAGAATGTGACTACTAAAAACTTAAAAATTTTTTATTCATAAATAAAAATAAATCATAGATTATTATTTATTAGTTTTATAAATATTATTTGGATTATTATTAATTGAAAAATATACAGTAAAACATCAAGGTAATATAATATTTATAGTTTAGGTAAGTAATAATATATTTCTTTTTTTTTCTTTCTAAATTATTTTTACAATTTAATTGAGCAGTATAATAAAATTTCTTACCCAATAACAGACGTGGACTGTAATGATTTATCTAATATCGATTGTTGAAAACGTGTCATACGTCTTTCTGAAGTAGGTGGTTCTATTAATGGTTCTATTGCTCCACGAACAATTGTTTTCTTAAACAAAATAAATAAATATTAAACTTACAATCTAAATCACTGGTAAATAATGTGTGATAGTTAATTCTGGGGAAATTGATTCAATAAAATTATTTAAAAACCAAAAGAATAATTATTATAATATGCTCAATTATATGGAGGTAGATGAAGAAAAAAATTCAACAAAAAGATTGACTATTAAATGATTAATTATTGACTAAATTATTGTAAATATAAAAAGCAATTTATGTTACGAGTATTTCACATACATACTATTTTGTATTAAAAAATTCTTACCTTTGTACTTTTGCGTTTAGGCAATGATTCATCCTTTTCAAAATGAGATGTAGCTGATTTCTTTGGAGATTGAATTTTAGATGTGTTGCTAACAGATGATCTTCTTTGTCTGTTAATAGGTACTTTTGATTTAACTGATGACTTGATTTCACTTTTGAGTGTATGGTGAAGAGGATCTAATTCTATATTACTAGAATTTTGAATCATTGATCTAGTCATAATACGTTTGGAATCTGTTGATTCATCTGAAGAAGAATCTTCATTTTCAGAATTTAAGTTAGCCATACGTATTTTAGTACGTTTTTTTGCTGGAGTATACAACATATGTTGAGAAATGTTTCCAGCTATTGGTGATAATTGTTCACAAGAATAAGAGGAATTAGAATTGTGATTACTTTGATCAGACTCATCTAAATTAAATTCACATTCAGCAACTTCATTATTTTCATCCTCAACTTGATTTAGGATTTTTTGTTTTTTTCTACTCTTGAGTGACTCTGTAACTGAACGTTTTCTTATTTTTTTGGGCGAATTCAATGCTTTTTTTAAAACTCCTATTAAATCATCTTTTTGAGTAGGAATCTCATCATTTGAAATTAATATATTTACACTTGAACTACGTTTTGGTTTTGTTTTCACAACAGAAAATGTTAGAACAGGGTCTGGCTCAACTGATTTAGATTTTCTTGGAGTTCTTAATTTTGTATTTTGTTGACATTTTGTGTTTAAATTATCATGTTCTATTTTTTTTGATATATTAGTTAAGAAATTGAATTTTGATTTTCTTTTTAAAGCTACACGTTCAGTTTTTGGAATACTTTTTTCCACGTTTGAAGTATCTTCTTCGGGTATTTCTTCTAAGCCAAACACAGTTCTTCTATTGGTAGCTACTGATTCTTCCACAGGAGCTAAAGATTTTGATCGTCCACTTCTGCGTTTTATCGATGAAATATTTTCTTTTTTTTTCGATAACGATACTCTAACTTGTCTACTATTATCTTCAACCATATCAGAACTGCGGAAAATATTTGAAGACATAGTTTCCAATTGAAATTGTTTAGGTTCACTTTTAGCTCTTGATCTAGTTGTTATTATTTTAGTATCAGCTGATGAAATTGATTTGGCTTTCTTTGTTTTATCTTCTTGAATTGGGTCAGATGACAAATTATTTTTGCCACGAGTTAATTTTTGTTCTTTTTCAGAGAGAATATCCAACGAACAGCAGTCTTTTGTTTTAGACATACTTCTTCTTGAAGATGAACGCAAACTATAGTTTTCAACTTGCGGAATATCCAGATTGCTTTTCTGATAACTTGTAACAGATTTTTCAAGTTTTTCGACTAAATTTGGTTTGTTTTTATTTTCCAGATTTTGAATATTACTAGAAACATCTGGACATTGTGGGATAATAGTTATGTCTGCGGACTCTAATTTAATTACATCTTTTTCAAATGGTAGCTCAATTTTTTCACTTGTATCAATAGGATTATCATGCGTTGAAATTTTTATTAGCGTTTTACTTGGTTCTAATGAAATAGGATAGCAATTTTGTACTTCATCAACAGAATATTTTTCTTCCGTAGATGTTTTTACATTAGTATCAACTTGTTGAAGTGCAATATCCTTAGATTTAACTAATTGATAATTATCATTGAAATTATCAAACTGCTCATTGTTAGACGAACAAGACTCAACTGTTGTAGTACATTTAGCATTAAGTTCTTCATTCTGTATATTCATGATATTCATTAATTGTTTTGGCTGAGTTATTGTTTCAACATTTTTTTGGAGTACTGAACAAGTTTTTTCATCATCTACAATGATAAAAGATGATACATCAGTTTCCATTGTATCTACAGAATTTTTAGTATAAATTTCAACATTATTTGTTAGAATGTTTTCTGCTTTATACATTTGTTCTTCTGATTCATTCAGTATGGATTGATTTCTTTGTTTAATATTAAGTGATTCACAAGATTCATTATTTGTCAAATCTTCATTTTCTAGTTCAAGAGATTTTTTTGATGAATCCACACTTACATTTTGAATTTGCTTTTCAATATTTAATACTTTTACAGTATCCGTGTTTTCAAAATAAATAGTTTTTTGAAGATTGGAATCACCTAATAAAACATTTTGGCCATTTTCATTTAATGTTTCATTAAATTCTTTGATTTCTGGTTGTAAATTATTAGTGTCTTTATTATTTTGTGTATCAATATTATCGTCTGGATTACTTTCTGGTAATGATTCTAGCTCTAATATATCTTGAATTTCACCCTCTGCTTCAACTTCTAGTTCTTTATTAGTAACATCTTCTTTAGAATTAACTACAACTAAATCTTGGGTTTCAAGTTCATCGGCTTGTGAATTTACATTCAACTGTTCATTTTCAAAAGAATATACATGTCCAAATAGAAGCATGGATTTTTTCTTGGGAATTTCTTGTTGACCAAAAAATGAATCCCCAAACATAAACTGAGTCGATTGATTAGCATCTACTTCTATTTGATCTGATTCAATTTCAGTCATACTATGATGATTAGACCCATCATCAGGTATGGGATTGGATTCATTTCTTAACGTTTCAAAAGAATGATGTTTATTGGAAGATGTATTCTCATCACTATGGTTATCTTCATTCTGGTCAACACATAAATCATCTTCATTGGTTACAATGTCATCTAGATTAATAGGCGCACTTATCTTATTGTCTTTATCTGTATTTTCTACTACTTTAATAACATTATCATTGTCTTCTACTACATTTGAATCATCTTTTATGTCATTTTCGATTATAATATACTTAGAACTTTCATTTTCTTCATCACATATCTGATTGTCATCATTTGAATGAATATCTTCAGCAAGATTTTCTAATAAATTGGGCTGTGAATCAATAAAATCTATCATTTTATTAGAGCCAATAAATTCATTCTTTTCTAATGTTTTATCATTGTTTAAAGTTTCAAACGATTTTAAATTATTTGCTGAACATTCATCATGGAGAATGATATTAGACCCTTCAGAACTGGTTTGATCATTTGGATCTTCATGTGCTTCTGAATTATTTTCTTCATTTTCACTATTAAGTATAGCATCTGATTCTTCTGAACCGCTTTCTTCACTTGCGTCATCAGTTATGGAATTAAGTTCTTCTGAATTGTTTTCTTCACTTGTAACATCAAGTTCTTCTGAACTATTTTCTTCACTAGTGTCGTCAATTGTAACATCAGGTTCTTCTAGATTTTCAACTTTTTTACCAAGTATGTCAGTTGGTTCATAAGAGTTGTATTCTTCTCTTGCACCATCATGTATTACATTTAGTAAATCTGTATTATCAACATTTTCATCTTGAAAAGTAACATCTTGTTTTTCTGAATTATTTTCGTCGCTTGATTCATCAATAATAATATCTGATTCTACTGAATTATTTTCGTCACTTGCATCATCAAGTATGACATCTGATTCTCTTGAATTGTCTTCATTTACATTTAACAAATTTTCTTCTAAATTTTCTGAGTATTCATCATTTGTAACATATTCAATACATTCCTGATCATCTAAACTATTATCTTTATCTTCATTAATAAATAAAACATGGCCTGAATTATTCTCACAGTTATCATCATTATTTCTTTTTACACTATTTTCAGACTCCATTTCTTCATTTTCATAAGAATGTGTAATGTGATAGTTATTAATTTCTATTTCTTCATTATCATCTTCAAATTTAACACTTTGTTGATCTAAATCATCTATGCAAGGATGTTTCAAATTACTTTCTTCACATACTTCATTATGTAAATCTGAAACATTATCATCTTCTTTTGACCATGGGTAATTATATTTTTTTGAGTTCACTTCTCCTTCAGACTCTTCTGAATCTTCAACATAGTGTTCTGAAATATCTATCTCTTCATTTTTTTCTTCTTCTTCTTCTTCTTCTTCTTCTGCTTCTTCTTCTTCTTCTTCTTCTTCTTGTTCCTCTTCCTCATTTTCATCTTCAAGTTCGTCATCATTACTATCTTCAGCATCTCGACTTCTATGAGATTTAAATCTACCATATCTTGTATTTTCCATATCACTGTCTTCTGATATTATACTACCATCTAATGACTTATCACTGGATGAATTATCAGAGAAAACTTCACTTTCATCCTCATCTGAATCCAGTAAAATTACATCAATTTCTTTATTTGTTTTTAGTACTGGGTGAGAGTCATTAGAAGTTGTACCTGATTTTAAACAATCTGTTGTAGTTTCATTAAATAGTGGTTTTTCATTACTACTTATATTCATTAACTCTTGGTTATCTGGAATAAGACAATCACTATCAATATCAGAAGGATTCAAGGTATTAGAAAGTGGATTTGAGGTTTTCTTCTCTTCTATTTTAACAGACTCTGGAGTAGAAAATTTAATATCTTCTTTCAAAGTTAAACTTGTATCTTTTGGTAATAATTCTAATACTTGCACTTCTTCGTTGTCCTCTTCATCAGATGTTAATATAATGCATTCATCATTTTCTGTACTTGAAAATATTTCCTTATTTTTCATTTCATTTTCGGACACATTATCAATTTCAAATTGTTCTTGTTCAGAACATGAATTTTCTTCAGAAATATCCATTTTTTCATATTCATGACTCATATTAATTTTAGAATCATCTTTAAGTGACTCCTGGAAATTTATTGGTATTTCATCAGAGGTCATTTGATTTGTTAAATCATTGACATCACTACTACCAACACTGTAAAAACTTTCATTTTCTGGATTATCGGTGTGTTGTACATTTACCATTTCTTCAGGGTCAATTCTAAAAAATATATATCATGATTTGATAAAAATTTATCAATGATTGATAAAATAAACACATTATTTAAATTTTTATTGATTATTACAGTCAGGAGCTATTAAGTGTTGTAATTCAGATACTGTAATGAATTTAAAAAAAAGATGTATTTAAAAATGCATATTTTAAATGAATGTATGTTCCTAAATTTATTATCCGATTCAACAACTTAACCAGTGAATTGATGAAAATTAAGATCACTAGTTATTAAGAATTAACATATTAACATGGATTAATTAAGAAACAACTTAAAAATTCTAGTTAATACCATCAATCATAAGTGAATATATTTTTTATCATTTAATTACTAAATAACTTTATTTATTTGATAATTATATAAAATGCAATCTACTAGTAATGGCAAAATCAAAAAACATATGATTAAATCTATTTACTTTAATCTCTAATTAATAAACATGAACATTGTGGTTTTACTTTTTTTTTTAAATCAAGATAATAAACTTTAATTTTACAAAGAACTGAGAATATTTATACAGCAGTTTTATTGAATCAGAAATTCTCAATGTAATACCGTGGCAATAATATTAAATAGTTTGCTATGTTACTTATCTTATACTATTATAAATCTATTGTATATTTATTTTTTATATTAATAATAAACTGAAAATTAGCAATTTTTGTTAAATAATTAATGTTACAATAGGAATTTTTTATAAACTATTTAAAGAAACAAACAATTGTTACTTTAAAAACAAATTTTACATGCAATTAAGCATTTGACGAAATTAGCTATAGTTTAACACATTAACGTAAGTTTGATAAATACTAAACATAACTAATATTAATAATCATAATGTACCTTTTAACTGTAGTGTCATCATTACAAGGTAGACTAAATCTTATTGAAGATCTTAGAGTCTTATCAATATTTAATGACATTATTTGTTTATTGTTTGTAGCTAATTTTGTCTGAAATCATAATAAATTTAATAACAGATTAACAAATATGAACATGAATTCAATAACAAAATAGTAGCTCTTATGTTTAATTTATAGTATATATTAATATTGATATAATTTTAACTATATTTAAGATTTGTAATGGTTGGCAATCTTTTTTAAAACACCAAAATTCAGAAAGAAATTAAAAAAAAAAATTTTAATTGATTCACTATTTACTTTTTCTTGGTTTCATTATGTAACTTAATACAAAACCTTCAAATATATCCACATAATAAAAAATTAAAACTAATTTATTTTAATAACATTATAAATTTTTTTAGTTAAATTATGGGTTTTTCCATTTTGGATATACATAAATTTATTTCGCTGAACTTTATTCTAATTAATTGAACTAATTTATTGTTATTAATTTATTCAAGAATAAGTGAACCCCACTAAATAATAAATACTATATGAATCTAACATATTTGTAATTAAAGCTGAGAAATGTTTCACATTATTTTAAATATAGATTAATTAGTGATAGAGAACTGTTTATAAAAACTTCTCAATCTATCTATTGCAATTTGTTTAAACATATGGCACTTTAATATAGAGAACATTTACATAAAAAATAAGTGTTATTTTAATAAATTAAATTTATTATTTATGTATGATAAAATATGGAATTTAACTAATTTATGATATGTAAAAATGCTTATAAATTTAATTATTATAATTTATATTAATGATTATATAAAACAGCAATTTATAAAATCAACAATAGTAAATATGCCAACAAAAATCATATTAAAATATCACATAGGAATAATAGATACATTTTTTTTATAAAAATAAATATATTATAAAATAATATAAAATATGTACTTTTAAAATTGATGAGTAGCTTGAAATTGATGGTGATCTAATGGACTTTTCAACTAACGGTGTATTGAGTATTTCTAATACTTGTTTTTCAATTGGTTTCACAATGTCATTAACAGTTTTTGGAGTACTTAATGAATCGTCTTCTAATTTTCTTCGTTTTTCATTAAAAATTAAATCATCTACAGGTGACCGCTTCTTTGTATTAGTATTTGCTGGTAAGAAAAGATCACTAAACAAATAGAGTATAAAGTAATTTAAATTAATGTATATATAGGAAAAATAATCAAAAAATTTTAAGAATAATAACGAATATTTATTTACATTGAACTTGACGGTGTAAAAGATTCACTCTTTCTTTTAACCAAAGTACTTGTTTTATTCCTATCCATTATAAACATTTTGCTTTCGTTATTCATACATTGTACAACAACATCTAAAAATAATTAATAACAATAAAAAAATAATTTTTTAAAAGTATAAACAATAACATTATAGTATTGAAATAAAATTGACTAACTTGGTTTTTTATATATACTTCGATCAGAAAGACGACCATCATTTTGATTCATAATATTAGGAATAGTTTTTTCAAGTCCATCAATTAAAACACTAGTAATTTTTAATACGTCATTACTATTTGATTTAGAACAAGCTTTTAAAGTTTGATTTAATTTAATAGCTTCTCTGTGTCTAAAAAAAAGTATTAAAAATAAATAATTTAATTTATAAAAAAGTTGCAATAAAGAATTACTGTATAATTTACTCACACATCTAGTTATCATAATTACATAATCATTAATTATCAATATTTTATATTTATAAATCTAATTGTATAGTCTATAGAAAATAAGTAATTTTAAATTTACAAATATCACAACATTGTCTGATAATCTAACAATAATATACATAAAATTAAATTAAATTAAATTACATTTCTGCTGCTAATTTTAATGTGTATTTAATATAACAGTGTAAGTTGTATTTTAATTAATGTACTATCAAGTTTGTCAAACCATATTAATACTAACAAAAATATTTAGTACTATTTAACCAAATGAGATATTACCAAAATATCAAGATATCTACATAGTAAAAAATAAATGTTTATTAAATATCAATGAATTATAAATTAATCATTATTCAATATTAAAATATAAAAAATGTCATCATAAGTAACACAAATATTTCGATAAAAATGTATTCTATTGTTAATAAAATTAATAATTGTTTAAAAAAAAGCAATTAATTTGTAATTGATGTATGTCAGTTACACAGATCCATAATTACAATAAAAAGTGTATTGCATAATTAAATTAATTTTTAATGTTAAATAACTGAAAATGCAATTAATGTCATTATTATTTATAACTCATATTTTTATTGTAAATAAAATACAATACTTTAACATAATATATAAGAATCTTGTTGAACATAATAAACACGTTTTGAAATAATACACTAACTTACCTTCCTCGCTGTAACAAAAATAACAGTTGAAAAGTTAATGTTTCAGTATCATCGAATCTTTTCAAATAAGATAAAAATAGTTCTGCTTCCTCAGTTTCCCAGAGATACTCTATCAAACATTTTAATTTTTTTGTTTCTCTACATCCTATTAATAAATATAAGAACATTAGAAATACACTTTTAATTAATATATACTTTTAAAACATACGATCGAAGAAATACTCAAACAAAGTTTGTTTTTCTTTAAAGGGTCTTGCTCGTAAATAAATTAAAGTATCGAAACATTGATTATTCATTATCAACAAATTAATATAAAACCTGAAATAAAATAATTTAAATTTTAATTACATGTTATTGGTAGTAAAATTATTTATTGTATTCTTTTGTATTAAAATATATTAATAAATTGTAAAAAAACTATTTTAAGTCGTTGTTTTAATTAATATAGACAAATTGATTAATTTTTATTCTATGTCCTCCACCTGAAATTATTCAAATAGCTGTTTTAATTTTTGTATTTCTATGTAATATATGATTTGCATAATTTTTTATGATGATGATTCATAATATAATAGTGAATAATATTCCACACAATACTACAAATAACAACTATATATAGCAACTTTAAACTGTATGTTTATTCCATTGGTGCAATAGTAGGCTATATAATGAAAAATATGTTATTGTGGTGTATACCTACACTATAGAATTTTTGAGCATTGTATAATACATTTCATTTTGTAATTATTGAGATGACATACTCTTGTAATAATTTATATCACAAGCTTATGTCATAATTTGATAAGCACTCCTTTATTTACATAGATTATGTTTTATGAAATTTTAGATACTATAGTACAGTTATTAAATTAAAATATAAGATCTCTAAATTTTAGAAAAAGTACAAAGAAATATAAATTTATCTTTTATTATCATAATTTTATATACTTAAACAAAGTGTTGAATAAGTTAGAAAATTCTTAATTATTGTATGTGTATATTAATACATACAAAGTGCATAAACAGATAACATCGCAGTACATTTATAATATATAATACTTAATAATCTTGATAATTTTACTATATCGTTTATCAGTCTAAATTAGTCTAATCGCTGTTCATAAACTTATTGAACACTGCATATTTTTATAAAAGTATAGAAATGAAGTGTATTTTAATAAAATAATTAGCCCAAGTAGTGCAAAAGTTATATAAATAAATGACAAATTTTACATTTAAAAAACTTAAAAAGATAAATTTGGCTATCAAAAATTAAAATAATAGTAGAATTTCTCTTACTTGTGATCGTTTATGTTGATTAAATTTATTTTAGTAAGTTGTATGTAAAACCGTGCCCAAAAAAATTGTTTTTTAAATACGAGTAATTTTAGCACTGTCCAATGATACCAATCCCAAGATTCATCATTAACCATCCATTCATTATTTTTAGCTAGAATATCCATAGCTTCCTATGAATATTAAAAAATAAAATAACGAGTGAAAATAAAATATGATAATAAGAGTTATAAAAATAATATTTACTTCAAACATGTCATGATCTAATAACCAGCTAGCACGGCAAAGAGTATTCAATTCTTTATTTTCAATATCAAATTCAACGGCAAAATTACACATACGATTGGCAGTCATTACATCCACCCTAAAATTAGTTATATTATATATTATTTATTTTAATAAATAATTATAAGGTTTAAAATATTAAAACTCACTCTTGGGATGAACAAATGTCAATCAAAAAATAAATTGTAATGAAATCTTTGACTTGATTTGAAAGTGCAGCATTCAAATATATTCTTAATAGACATTGAACATTAGAAGGTGGATACATTCCTTTGGTCGCTTCACCACCTTCGTGTTGCCATTGTTCGACTAATTTATTTCCTTTAGGTTCATTAGTCACAAAAGCATCAATAAGATATAATGGCATATCTCCAAATTCCATTCGACTAAAAATGTATTAAAATATTAATATCTATTTAATAGTTTATTTTTAATATTAATCTACTAACCGTTTAATAGCATACTGGATAAGAGAAGAAAAATCACATTGTATGAGTTTCTGAGTAGGATCTTCTTCAATGGATTCTGGTAAAAGTCCATAGTTAAGAAAACATGTTACTGCTTTAAAATATTGAGTAACCAAATTTAATGTATATACACGATAGGAATAGTCAACTGAAATAAGAAAATAAAAATATATTTTGGTTAAATTGTTTTATATATAAAATATTATTACAAATACGACATTATTTATTTAAAAATACATTGAAAATAATTAAGGAATCACAATTATTAAATAATGATTATATGATAGATTTATTTACCATTTATTATATGTATACCATATGCACTATGCAAATCTTCTAGGAAATGTTTGACACACAACATTTGAGATAAGCAATGATTTAATATCCTCTCATTTTTTTTACCCAGCTGTGTACCAGAATAGTCAAATAAAGGAACACCTAAACAGGATTTATATTAATAGTGATAAATGCAATCATATTGAGCAAATTTTATATTTACATAATTTATCCGCATATTGTTTAACAACCATGACATGTTTCCAAAGACATTGAACTAAATGTAAAATAGTTGCTTCGCTAGATACATAAGTTCCATTTTTCCACTCTTCAGCACACGCACTAAGAACTGACATAATTCTATTTTCTACTATAATTGATATTACAAAACTTCTTTTATCAGGCTGAAAAAAATAAAGTTTGATCATCAATATATATAAAAGATTATAATAAATAAATAAATAAATATATTACACATTTTATGTAAATAATATATATTTTTATTTCTTACCAAACTGTAATTTACATAATCATCTGTTTTATCCCAAAAGAATGGTCTTAAATTTGTTTGTAAACATTGGCTGAATATTAAACTGGGATTTATTAACAACCTCCAATTTTTTAAAAGTAATTGATCCAAAATTTCTTGTTGAACACCAGCATGTTTAAATCTAATAATTTCAGTGTCTAGTAAACAATCACATTCTGGGAAAAAAAAAATTATAGTATATATTTAATTATATAATAAAAAACTAATATCAAGTACTATTATATTATTACCAAAATATATTGAAGATGGATAATAGAGTTCTTCAACATTATTTCTAAAATTATATCCAAATGGGCGTAATGTTTTGTCAGAAATATTTAAATCTAAATAACTGGCATTATGAGGCAATTTTACAAAACTAGCATAAGAATTTGATACTTTAAAATGGCTTATAATTGATGGCATCTGGGCTTTATACCACTGGTTAATATCAAACAAAAAAATGTATGATTCAGGGCTGGCATCTACATTTTGACGAATTTCCATTAACATTGCAAATAATCTTATTTCACAATCTTCATCCATATCTAAGCAATAATAATAATTATTACAATATATTATTTACATATATTTATATATAATTTATTAAAGATGATCAAATATAGTTAAGAATATATATTTTAGTTACCATTTTCATTTCTGGATAAGTTTACATTACATAAACTTAATGCAGATATACATCGACCAATTCCAGTTTCTCTACGTAATGACATTTCTAATTTAACACCATTTCCTTTGAACACCTTTATACAAACACAAAATTCCATATAAAAAAATGATTTAATTTATAAATTTGTAAAATTTAACTCACTCTGTAAGACAAACATCCGTTTGACATCATAATTCTATGTTCATATGTTAAGGCAATCATCATTGCGTTTGGAAGTCTAGAATTATCAGATTGAATAACCCAAAGATAACATAGATTGTTTGGATCATCAGATGGTTCAAGAAATGTAATATGAGTTACTGGCATAACACATTTAGGTTCTTTTAATAAATATCTAAAATAAAATAATAAAACAAATAAAATATTTAGAAAATCTATACTATGTAAGATTTATTTATATATATTATTAAATAATGATCAAATAATTACATTGTCCGCATCATTTTACAGTCCCATAGTTGAAAGTGGCCTGTAGAATATCCAATTGCAACAGTATTGATTTCTTCATTATATAACAAACTTGATATTTTGAAATTTAATTTACCACTGTATTGTTTTTTACAATAGCTACAGAAATTTTCTAAAATAAAACATAAAGATAAATAAACTGCTTAAATTTTGTTTTAACTAAAATTTTACCATTTATAAATATTGCTAAATGACAATCACTGTCATCACTCATTTCTTTAACTTCTTGGCAATCTTCATTTTTTCTTATAAAGAATAATTTATTAGGCCTTAATTCATTTACAACAATTTCATTTCTTCTTAATTCTGTAGAAAATTTATTTTTAATTTTATGTTAAGGGTATAAAATTTTAATAACTTACGGTTTTCAATGTGACGCTGTCTTAAATCAATTGCAAAAACTGCTCCAGTTGCCATACCAACTAACAATACAGTAGACATTATTTTAAATTCATCGCAAAGTTGATCTTCAGCCAGGGTTTCATTTTTTATGGTAGAAATGTAGGATATCTAAATAATTTAAACAATAGTTACAAATGATCTTTTTTATTTAGTAAAATTACTTAAGAGGCCATCACACCCCGATTTGTTGTCTTATTGATAAGTAAATTTGTTCTTTAAGTAAATCTTCCTACACAAAATTTCCTATTTTGTATATTTGTAAGATCAAGACTATATATATGGGAAGTGTGTCCTCTTAAGATAATTTATTAAATTAAATATTAGCATACTGGATTTGGTATATGAATACAACGAATTGTAGTTAATGTTGGCAATTGACATATAAATAATAATCCATAAGATTTAAAAGAACATCCAACCAAAAGTAAGTTAGTTGTATCCTCGCTTTTGGGTAATTCTTGAATAGATGTAATCTGGAATAAAAGTAATAGAACCAAGTATTATTTTATACTACCTATATAAACTATGAAGATATTTCTGATACAAATAATTTATAAATATATATTTTTGGGCTTTTAAAATAACAATTTAAAAATAATAATAAACATTTTCCCTAATCACAACCATAAATCAAAATGACAAATAATTTGTATGAACATTTTAACTTACCCATTTATATTTGTAAATATTATTATAATTAAAAGTTATAGGTATATAAATCATGTTAATTTTAATATTAAAATACAATTTATAATTGGTAAAGTTATACATAGAAGTAGCTTCCTTTATACATTTTATGAGATATAAATAAAAATATTAAGTTTTGAAACAATAATTATCAAAATCAATTTTTTTTTATTTATTTTACTTTAAGCTCGGAAATTTAGGCCATTAGCTGTGGATAGAAACAATAGGATTTTGTTTGTAAAGGTTTAGTTAGAAGGGTTGGAACACGTGTGTAAACTCTGGTGATCACCCATCATAGAGCTAACAACACCGGCTAATACTTAACCTTAGAACACATTAGTGACTGAGGCTAACCACCACGTCATACTAGGCCACATTTAAAGTCAATTATTAACATCAATTAGGTATGCATGTTTGAACAAAATACATTGTATTTAATTTCACAGATTATTAAAATTAATAATCAGATACAAAGCAAATAAAATAAAATATGAATGAGATAAAAAAATTATTTTATTAATAAAATCGATTACTTCAGAAACCCGTTAAATGCAAATTTTAAAATTCCCAGTTTGCCGCAGAAAGCTGTCAAATGCCATTTATTAATAGGTTTCTAAACTAAACACGTTATTTAACTAAAAATTAAACAGCCATAGAGTTTCGATATTTGACGAGTTTTTCCACTAAACGAAATGTTTTATTTCATAAAACAATAATCTAAACCTAACACATTTTTCATCATTTTGGTGTTTGACGGGTTTTTGAAATAATCGCTTCAATTGGTTATTATTTTTAGTTACTCATAGCAATACTACCTATTAGTTATTACCAATAAAGATTATTAATAAAAGTTTTTTGTTAATGTATCCTACTTCTACAACATTTATGAGAAGACTAAACATTTTTCATATAATTTATCATCTATGTAATTCTTTTTTATTCATCCTAGTCCAAGTCAGGCTATATAAATATAACACTCAAATATATTACAGGTCACCAACCGTCAACCACATACCATTTAGACAGGAAAATGTTTATTGTATTTTTTTAAGTAGATATAAAGTAATATCAAATAAGAATACAGAATGCATGGTAGTATTTTTGGCAAGGAGGATGAAAAATAAGTAATTATTATACTGCTAATTTTTTGAAAAGTTTTGAATGTATTGAGAATATTCTATATTTTTAATTGTATTATATTAGCTATATTATCTACTATATTATTATTATCAAAAATAGATGAAATTTTTCATATTTTGTAATCATAATTATTTAGTTTACTATTAAGGTTAATAAAATAATTTGTAAAATACAAGTTATTATTATAGTTATATTAAAGTGACCATTGTAAGTTTTGGAAAGGAAAATTGGTTTTGATAAAAGTAGTTTAACTTAATTTCAATAAGTATATGATTGAAAGTTTGTTATTTAATTTAATGACCATAAACCTAAATCCTTATGATCTTAACATGATCAATTTTTTTCACATTTTCCAAGCATAAATAAAGCAGATATACATTTTTATTTTAACTATTTAATGGAGCAACAAAATTCATGTAGTCATAATAATTTAAAAAAAAAAAAAAACTTAAAATTTTAAAATGATTTATATTTATTGTGGTGATGATATAATTTTTAGATAGGCATAAACCTTCTGCAAGGAAAAATAAAAACTATTGAATAGTTTTAGGTACTTAATAGAACAGTTTAAGCATAAAGACAAATATTTATCTAACAATAATACGGCCTATGAGAGAAGTAAACCATGTCCCAACCCAAATATATCTGTGTTAACACATCTCTCAACCATTTAATATAATAATGTAAATGATCAATGCTGTCAGCCTATACACGAAAAATGGTTTACTTCTTTAATAAACTGGAATATAGTAATAATTTGATAAATATTATAAGTATAAAATGAAAAGAAAAGAAATGCAGAAATTAACTTTAGCATGAATACTATACCTACTTAGGTGTTATTTTTTACTAAAATATGTACATATTATATTATTAAAGTACACAATAAATTATAAAATTTGTTATTTTTTCTATACATATATTACAGATACCCAAGTTTAAAATAATTATTGCAGTCGTACAATTTGTTCCCTCCAAAACCGATCAAGTCCCCTAAATCCTAATTATTAAATATGTCTACTTATTTATCAAACCTATTCAAACTCGATTGAGAATGGCAGACACGACGTATGTAAGCGACTTACCGTCAACGATTTGTCCTTTTGATTTGCGGCAAACGACCGAGACGAAACAATAGATCCTAGCTGTTTCGAATAAAGTATGATGTTTGCTCCGGCGGCGAACCACGCATATCCGCCGTTGGAAATTAGACCACCGGACTTGGGGCAATCAGATTCCAGTAATTGATCAGAAATGTGGTGCGAACCGATGATCTGCATCACTTGTCTCAGGGAGGACATGACGCCGTACACGATGTACGCAGTCCTCGACAGAAACAATCACGCTAATACGCGCACGATGCGGTTTTTCAAGCCCGCGGACCTGACAATAACCGAAAACGCTCACTATCTAAAAACACTGGACACACATCGGTATCGTGTTTAATCGCCTTACGATAATTTCATAAAAAATCCATGCTTTCCTAAACACTGTTGGTTTTTTTTTTTTTTAACGTAAAACCATAACTATTCCACTACTATCAATGTATCAGACAATACGCTACATCGATATGACGAGCGCCATCCCCTTCTCCGACTGCAAATACGGGTCACGTGGTTGTGCTGCTGCAGTTGTTCGAGAAACAGTGTTGTTGTTATAACGACAGAATGTGAGCGACGCGTTGGACGCGTTGTGTTTGCCTATGTCCAGCATTGACAGGGTTAAGATTTAAGATTAAACGTTATCGGACGACTCGCTGCTGGATCGGCAAACGGTGCAACATAAAAATGATGTAATATATTATTATATATTTATATCTAAATGTTATAAATGTATAATAGTTATACTTATACACTTATACACTATAGCATGGATTAGAGTTTGTGTTCTAAGGTAGCATGACAACAAATAACAATGTTTATTACGATTTAGCGCAAGGCTATTTTGATAAACAAACCAAGTCATAGGTAGGTAAAAAAAAAAGTATTCATTTTTAAACAATAATTCGTATCTTAAATTAATAATTGCTTAATATTTATATGATGTAGGTATTACGAAATAAAAAATATTAATTTATGATTAGTCAGTTAATTGACAAACTCGTCACTTTAAATCAACACCATTGTACTAGATGCTGGTTGAATAGTAGGCACCTATGCGGCTATGCATATAGCTACATCCAATTAAATATTAAAACGGTGCGTTACCTATATAAATATAAAGAAAGCAAAATCAATGAAGTATAATAGCTAAAATATTTAGGAAACATTAACCACTGATAGCAAATGTAATTGGTTTAAATAAGACACAGAATAGTCATAACAAAGATCGTATTAATACCAAATAGGTGTGTATTGCAACTAGGTACCTAGGTACTTACAAGCAAAAATTTCAATGTTAAGACGAACATGAACATAACTAAAAGCAACACGCGAGGTATCAAACTTAAATATTTGTATTTTATTTATTCATTAAAAAAAAATATTTAGTTAATTCATTTTATAAATTTATTTTTTAGTAAACAAATATTTATTTATTTTTTAGGAAAACCACAATAGATACTGTTCATTTTTATTAGTTGATAGATTCAAAAAGAAAAGACTTATAAGAGAATAATGGAGAAATTATATAACCGAACAATTAGCTAGATCAAATAGGTTAAAACTTCTATAATTCTTAGATAAAAACTAAAAAACTATTTTTTACAATTCCTTACCTCCAATACTGATTAGTGATTACTATAACAAGTTTAATTAAGTTATGTTTCTTATTCAGTAAGACAATGGGATTTTTAATTTATTTTAAAATATTATTTATTATCTATTTATACGGTTTTTTTAAAAACATAATTAAAAATTAATTTAAAAAAAAATGATATTAGTCTACCGTAATAATTTCAGGTAGGTACCTAAACTGCAATGTTTCACAACTGACGTGTCGCGACGTGAGACCTCGAAAGTTTACAATATTAATAAACGTTTACGTAAAATTTCGATAATTGATTGAAATATCTTTAAAACAATTGAGAAAGCGACATGAGGGTGTGTTGGTCAACTATTCGACTACGAAGGGAGCTCATAAATCATAATGAAGGGAAAACAATCCCAAATTTTTCACTAAGACTAGTAAGACTAGATTTTTTATGAAATTGGAATGTATCTTGTTTTTAATTTCAATAAATTAAATATTTATGATAATTTTAATAATATTTTTTTCCTAAACACACCATTTTAAATTTTTTGCTAGTAATATGCTGATGATATACAACTACTTTGGTATTAAAAAAAGCCTACTATAAAAAAAATATGTATACATATTATATAAGTCAGTGATAAGTGTGCCACGGCTGAATATGGGTTGGGATTAGTGTGCCACGAGGAAAAAAGATTGGAAAACGCATCTGATCTAAGGTTATGTGTTTTTGAGTTAAACCAAAAAAACAAAATCGATTCTGTTGAAAATTAGATTTGCATAAAAACTCGCGTTTTTCCTGAATTTTTGTTTGTATTTTTCAATCATATAAAATGTAAAGGCCTTTTTAAAGTACAAACTAAATCCAATTTTATATCCATAACCACTACCTGCATTTTTGAATATCAAAGCATTTCATTGAATACTCATTGTGTACTCAAAAAAAAAACACATCATTATAAAATCAATGTAATTATAGCTTCGTTCAGAATCTAAAAATCTCGAACTTAGGCTAAATAAAAGATTAATGGTATTTCAAAATATAAATATAAATATGCTATAATTAAATATTATTATTCGTATAGGTAGTTAATATTTGTATTAGTATATTATAAACTATAGTTAATTAAAATACATTTTTATTAGAATAGGAAAAAATAGAAAATAAAATATAATAATTAAATTTAATATTTGATATCGGTAACTAAAAACTGCGTATTTTTTCGTTTCATTTATTTCATCCTAATGTAGTTAAATAATTTATTTTATGATGTCTAGGTCATTCAGTAAAACAGGTATCATGCAAGTATCACATCGTGCTCTCGCCACTAAAACGCCTATGAATACGGTACCTACCCTTTGATTTTAAGTCCAAATTTTTAAAATTTGAGTATTTACGAAAAATAATGATTCTAATTTGTAGTAACGAGATGATTAGAGTCATTTTTATGGAGTAAGTGCGTTCCCAAAAAAATATCAGTTCGTAAATTACAGCTTAGATATTTTTGAAATATACGTAAATTAGATTTCAATACCTTAGATTAACTGTTATTATACCAGTCAATAAAACAATTTATAATTTTTATAACTTTCATGCTAACTATCTAATACTTATTTCAGCTTGAAAAGTCTGGGAAAAAACAAAAATAAATAAATACTGGACTTTTGAAGTAATTATTAAACAAATTTTTATTAGTTATTTAATTATTATTTTTTAATAACAAACAATAAACAGTAAAAGCAATTTTTTTAACCATATCATCCATACAAATATTAATGCAATACCTAGGTATTGTCAGACTATAATAATAAAAAGAAAACAGATTCCCTTGTACAGTTTTATCAATCAACTTGGTAAATAGATGCCTATTTAAATACAATAACTAAAGGCTTAATCTAATAAGAAAACTCTCAGTTTTTTTCTACGGTAACAGAATATAACTACCAAAATGTCCAAAGTATATTCACGTGCCAATTCCACAAAAAAAAAACCATAATTGTACCTATTATAGTTATTACAGTATACATAACTCATTATAGCTTATAGGCGGGATTGGGCAGTATCTTCGATACAAGTATTAAAGATACACATCTTAGATACAAATGATACAATTGTATCTTATATCTTGTATTTCGATGAAATCATATGAAGTATCGAGTATCTAGTATCTTAATACTCCAAATCCAAGTATCTAGTATCTAGAATCGCGATACTGATTTTTAAGTATCTTGTCTATCCCTGCCTAAAGGTACTTAATTCTTATTTTAAAAGTTGTAAATGAAATTTTATAGTAATAGATGCTATAAAAATATGAATTTATTTTGCTGTTGAAAATTAATTAGAACAATCTATATTGATCCAAATTATCTCATTGAAATGGAAATCATAGATATCGGTAAGGTAATATATATTTTTATTTGCCATAAAAATAAATATTGCAGCTACAAATACCTAATTTATTATAAAATACATTATTGGTACCTATCTAATATTATAGTTAAAAATATATTTTATTTTATAATTCTTACAATTAAACTCATTAAAGTACTAATAGTCACACAAAGTACCTAGTTATTTCAAACTGCAATTAATGGCTAATGCTAATATATTGATAACAGTTTTAGCGGTATCAATTTATGTGATAATATAAAACCAGTACTTTATGCGATATCTCCATAGACCTTGTACCTACTATTATAATCAACGTTTTCCATTTCCGCACAAAATGCATTAACTAATACCACATATAATTAGTAATAAGTAGTAATATACTGCTTATATACATAACTGCACAAATTATAAAAATATTTAGTCAATTTTACACACAAAAATAATACGACACCACACAGATTTATTAGAACCAAATAACGTACCTAGTATTACATAGAATATTATGTGTTCAAAAATTAATAATAACATTAAAAATGTACGTGTTTCATCGAAATAATTAAAAACGACTAAAATAGTAGGTATCTACGTCAAAATATGGTTCAAAGATTGAAATCTGGAGATAACTCGCTACAAATCTGTACATTGTGAATACAATCTTTTACAAATAAAGTTTGATAATGTCATGTAATCTTCATTATGATCATGATGTATTAATTGTCGATAAGCAAGAAGCAACGATAATCCTGAAAAATAAACGGTTAAATTTGTAAGCAGTAATGGGATATCTAATATTTTAAAATCTATAAATGATTTTATAATAGGCGTATTTTACTTATTAATTATTTGTGCGGTAATGATTGGGCGACGCCCAACAAATGTCAGTTTGACATTTCATTTCACGGCCTTCTTTATCATCTTATGACCGTATCTAGAAGGTATACAATAGAAATATAAAATAACTATTCCATAGAAAAATTCTCGATTAATTAAACGCAGGGAAGATTAATATGTATTCTATCTAAGCTTATTTTTTTATAGTCAAAAATAAGAAGTAAAAAAGTTGTTGGGCCGATTTACCTCAAAGAAACGATCACTCCATTCTACGGTATTTTGTTGTTGTTTAAAAAAAAAATGTTATTCGTAGAAAATAGCTACTTTTTAGTAGTAGTGATAGTACCTTTATTATTATTAATTATGTATAAGTACACATAATTAAATTTTCAAAACATTTAGATTAATTTTAATTAATACGCATAACAAGAACTTATTATCTCCGCGGTCTTTGGTACACTTCGTTGGCATTCACTTTAGGTGCGTTATTTAAGAATTTTGCATGGAATGTAAAAAAAATTCCGATAAAATGTTAAAATTGAGCTGCTAAAAAAATGGTATACTCGGAAAAAACTGAAATAATTTTAATAATCAGTATACATTGTGTATTAATAAATAATTATTATGCCTTTCACGTATTAGGTACTAATGGCAATTTAAATAAATAATGAAATATAATTATCTAAGGGTAAAATCATTTTTAAATATGCATTGATTTAATTCGACTTTAATACATCCATTATTCTCATCATTATGACCATTGCAGTGACCTACTCAATGATAAATAACTCGACAAATGACAATTATGCACCTACTATTATAATTTATATTATAGCACAGCGACTTCCCCAATTGATTTTTATAATCATTATATGTATCTAGGTACAATATACTACATACATAATATAACTTAATTATTATTTTTATTATTTAAAATAGGTACAATAAAAAAATGTAAAAATTCATAAACCTCGATTAAAAATATATAAGTTTGATCAAGGCTTTGTATTGTTTATTTATAATTTATACTTATTTTTTTTTATAATCTATACCGGCTACACCTGGCTATCATTTTTTTCTTATTGTTTTCTTAATACCTAATAAACAATAGTTTATGTTTTTTTCTTACACAAAATCATATAAATTGACAATTTATAATTTTGTATATTTGTATACAAAGTTTATAGGTAGATAGGTATTTTTATAAATATATTAATTAGATATAATTCACAATATTTATTTTTATATACCTACCTAAGTTTATAACACGAGTAATTAGACAGAAATAAATATTTACTTAATATATGTAGTATAAAAATAATATTACTGTAACAATATTACTTTTTGAGTAACATACAGATAATTTCATTAGGTACATTTTATTTGAAGTAACGTAATTATTGTAATTAAGTCGTTTTTTGAATTAACACACCTATTATCCACATAATTAGTATTAGCCATTAGATATCCACGAAAGTCTAGGATATTCGTGTTCATTTTTTTTGGAATCCATAAAATTTTACATAATATATTCAATAGTATTATTAAATATTCTAGGAATTAATGTTAATAATACTTTTCAGGAATTAAAAATGTAATTGTGATAATAATACATTATTCATTTGTTTAAACAAAAAGGGATATATTATTCTAATATAATTTTATACGCCTTTCAGTTTTTTCAAAAATATTTAATGTTTTCATTATTGATACAAGAGTCACTTTCTATATTAAAAATAATGAACATTTTCTTTTTTAAATTTTAATACGAATGGAATTAATTTAATGTAGGTATTATTATATACTAATATATGTAATATTATAAAATATATACTATATAAAAGAACAATTTATAGACTTATCATATTATGAATATTCGTTGACCCACAATAGTTTTTAATATACGTCTGCAAAATACTATGAGTAATGAGTAATGAGTAATGACTAATGAATCACTGCGATGAGCTACAACATAGTACGCTATAGTGACACGCAGCCATCACAATAATAATTATTGCAGGATGTGAAAAAAAAAAAAAAAACGCTTTTCCCGACAAACCAGTTTGAAATAACGTAACAAAACAATAGTCGTACAGACTACAGTGTAATAATAATAATAATAATAACAACCACTCGACAAACGTTGTGTCGGAGTCGTCTCCGGACAGTCCGGACAGAGCCGTTGGCACATTCGTAATTCGTATTTCGTTATATCGACCGATCCAGGAGTTGTTTTTTCACGCCGTCCGCTCTTTCGACCGGCGGCCAAAGACGACATGGTCGCTAACGGACGTTACTGCGACCCGCGCCGGTTATCGCTGCTGCACGCAGCAGCTGCCACAACGTTGAGTCGGCGATGACGTAACGACCTGATAACAGAACGGCAGAGCGGTCGCGTGCGCGTGCGCGTGTGCTCCTTTCGTTGGCACAGCACGACAATAATATTATATTTCGGTCGTCCGTCTGCTGCGGGGCGGGGTGGTAGGGGGCAAAAACCTGCGGACGAGATCTTTTGCTATTGCTACCGTCCACGAGAGACGTATCCTGTCCTGTGCAACGTATTTCAAACGATCGTCCCGCGCTATCGCCTCGCGTGTCGACCACCGTAATACGATAATAACAATAATAATAATAATAATAGTAATAATAATAACACATTCGAATATTCGTTTTTGGATCCATTTCACCCTTCCCTCCGTCCCAACGCTCTATCAGGGCCCGGCCGCCGACGCCGGGTGATTAATTGCTGCTATTCGCTATCGTCTGCACCGACCGACCGACGACGACGTCCGCAGCAGCTCTCGCTATCAGTTGCGAGTGATAGAGGACGGTTTTTATTTTTTTTTTTTTTTTTTTTACATGTAATATTACGTACCACTGCCGTCCGAGTACAGCGTTAACTATAATACTACAGTGCATATCAATTATTATTATTATTATTATTAAAATCACGCACACGTTTATCGCGGTCGTACGTGTACCGTCGACGCACTATCATCTATAAAACATTATTATTATTATTATTATTATAGAATTTTATCCGTGTCCGCGTCGATTGTTTCCGCCGGAGTGGTGATAACCGATAATTGATCAACAAACTCGGGAGTCCGGTGACGGTAGCGTAGTAACCGTGTGAAATTAGGTTATTTCGCGTCGTCGTTTTGCGTCCGCCTCTGCTGTACTCGTACCGACTACGCACCGTCGTCGCGGGTTCCGGTTGTCGTATTTTTTAACATTCGGCAGGTGTCCAGCGTTATTTTTACGACCGTCTGTCTCACGTCGCCCAGTTTGTGCGCGCGATCGCCATGGCCATGGAAGGAGAGGAATTCATCTCGGATCAAGAAAAGGTAACGTTTTGTTCCCCCCCGGTCACACTTGGGCACTGAAAATCGTGTCGACGAGACCGTGCGATTTACTGTACATTCTCAGAGACACGGTTTGTTGTTGCGTGAGACCCGCTGTCGAGCAGCTTAGCGCTGTTGTGACTCGTTTCGTTGCGATTTAGCGTGCCCATTGTCCGTGGATAGCAAAACGTACAATGTTAAGTTTGTGCGGTATAAATACTTGATAGATTTACGGTTGTTATTGCTTGCACCGTGTCACCTGTGCGAACGGCTTTTACTCGATTCATTTTATTATATGATAAAACATGGATAGGTATTATAAGTATGTAGCTCTCAACACGTTTTCATAATAAATAGGTTTGAAAACTTGAAGTAAAATGCACGCATAAAAATTGAAGTCTGTCCGCCATGTTTTAGATTGGATGAATTTTCACGTATGTAATTCATTGTAGACTATTTAGGTAACACACCTAAATGATGGTGATTTTATATATGCCCAATATTATTTAGTATATCCGTGTCAACTTGTCAACCAAGAAAATGGTGAACCGAGATAAGTGTAATGAAACGAGTTCCTTATCTAGTATAGAGGTTTATAGCTCATGTACCTATATATTATATAAAAACTTAATAATTTTTAGAAAGGAAAAAAATTAAATGTATTCATCTATCTATAAAAAAACTTTAACATATAAATGAAGTAATGCAAACAAAAATTTTCATAATGATGTAATACATACATTTTTGACATTATTTTACATTTTTCTGCCACATAACAAATGTGTATATGAGTTTTAAAATTAAAAGTTATAGCTATGTTGTTATTATTGTAATAGCTGTACTGTTTACAAGTTAATTAAAAATAACAATTAGCTGATGACAAATATTTATTTTTTTTTGAAAATCATTTAACATATTTTTTTATGTCAAGTTAATTATCATATTTTTTGTATTTCTTTACGTTAAAAAACTAGATACCTAATAACTAAAATATAAAGATCTAAATTTTGAAGTATAATTAAATAGAATTTTTTTTTAATTCAAGACTAACATAACTTGATAACATGTTATAAGCTGATAAAATAAAATATTGTGTGATAAATAAATATAATAATTAATGATATTATATAAATATATATTTGAACTATTAATGAGTTAATTTTATGGTTTTTAAATAAGTTTTTTAGTTACAATTAGAATAAAAACATTATTTTAGGTTAATCATTGTTTTTGGTACTTGTTCTACATTCCTGAATTTAGAAATAAGGAACAATTATTTTTATCCCTAATAAACTCTAAAGCAGAGGTCGGCAATTAAATTCTATGGAGGTCCAGACAATCAAAAAAAAGATTTCGAGGGCCAGTAAAAACTTAGATATTAGTTAATAATTATTGTGTTATTGCAACTATTATTGTAAATAGCAATAAACGATAAACACCATTGTAATCTCTAAATATATCAAAAAATAGATAAAATATATATTATGTGTGAAAACCAGCATTATTAAAAAAATAATATTTTTGTGGTCCAATATTTCTCCTTCACGGGCCGGATTTGGCCTGCGGGCCGCCTATTGCTGACCACTGCTCTAAAGTATTACCTACTAGTTCTATATTTATACACATGTCATTATAGAAGCAATGATTATTGAGAGGCATTTAAGAGCTCGGGGGGATTTGTATCTTTTAATTCTTCTTTTAATTTTCCAAAATACCTTACATTCAATATCATTAATATAAAGCCAAAAAATTTGATCAAAATTATATAACTATAAAAAAGTATAGGTATAATTTCTTTAAAAGATATTAACTTATACTTGAACAAATAGTTACAAGTATAATATTACCCATAATTTAATATTTTTTTTTATTCATTTGTAATTAGAACTGTAGAATATTAGCCTTTAAATATAATATTCATTACAAACATTTTTCAAATAAAAAAATTACCTAAATAGTATTAATAAAGGTTATTTCTGATTAGTTGTATAATTTTGTACATTTATAAGTTACAAATAGTCTTGAAATGATAACTTATGTCATGTAGAAATAAAAAATATACATAAATTAACTTATTTTAATACTTTTAAAATATTTGGAATTATAGATTGTTTATCAAAATCTGAAAAACCTCACAAGTTGTTATAATTAAAAAATAATATTGTAGTCACTTTTAATATTAAAAATTAAATATAGTAAAAAATATGTAATTGCAGAAAATCTTAACTGTCTTTCCTGTAAACAAACCTAAGCTACTTATTTATTAAAATTTCTAGCTAGAAAATAAATGATATTGATATTATTAGATGCACCATTGTTAACAAAATAAAAACATTATTCCTTGTGTTCTTCAATAAATAAGACAGGTCATCTAATTTTCTATATAATGTAGCATCAGATTAATTATCAAGGAACATTGTTTTCATTAAATAAAATATAATAGATTATTTTATCAACCACTATTATGTATATTATAATATAATTTAAATAATTTATTACTTTTATATTATATATTACATAGCTCTATATTTTATTATTATTTATTTAGATAGATATTTTATGTGATGCAATGTAGTAAACTAATAACTAATAGTATAAATTACAAATTATAAAAAATAAAAAAATAATTACCATGTCATAGAGTACAATATATATATATATAAACAATTTTTTTTTTTAAATGACAATTTTAAAACTGTACCAATTGAGAATTGATTATTGATAATAATTTTTATCAATTTCATCATTTTGTTATTTACCCTAGTTTGTTAGTTTCCTATATAATGGATCAAGATTAAATCTTATTTTTAAATTTTTGAAGGGTACTAAAAACATCAGATTTCTAATTTAATTGACCATAAAGCTTATCGAGAAATACATTATTTTAGTATAAAAAATAAATATGAGGATAAATATATTTATTTATTTATTTAATATTATATATGTCCATTTATTAGTGGAGTATAGAACTATGAATTATTTGTATAATTTTACCATAGTAAGGATTATACCTGATTGAATTATAATATTAATTTTTTGTTTGTGTTATTAATGCTTTATGTGTTAAAATATCAAAATGATTTAGTTAGCTATAATTGCATATTAATATGTATAAATATGGCAAACAAAGTCTTAGTTATCTTTTAAAAGAAACCTATTCATATTAAGTATCTAAAATATTGTTGTTTATAGGTCAGAATTGTTTCGGATTTCATTTTACATTCACCTCCAGGCGAATTTAATGAAGTATTCAATGGTAATATAATGATGTTAAATATTAAAATTAATATTACTTTTTCTGTAGTTTACTTATTTTTTATTTGCATATATTTTTAATTTAAGATGTTCGAGGCTTAGTCAACAATGATGCTCTTCTTAAAGAAGGAACATGTTGGTAAGTATACAATTGATTATTTTAAAAATTATGATCTTGTGAATTATATTATATTAAGTATGTATTTTGATTTCAGGGCATTTGCTTTGTACAATAAAGAACAAACATTACCTGTTAAGATAGAAAACAGTGAATATCCGGTGCTTATTACTCAATTTAACGATCTAGGATCTAGTAGATTTTATGACCCAAGATCTAAACAATCATTTAAGTTTGATCATTTAAGAAAAGAACCATCAAACTTTGAGGTAAGTGTATTGAGTTGTATGTTTTACAGTAGTATAAAACTACGCGGATATTCAAAACTTGTTAAAATTAAGTAAAAATAACTGGTTTTCCAATTTTTATCTTACAAAATGTACTATGAATTAAATTTGTTTGTTTTTCTTCTCTATAAAAATAAAAAAATAATATTTACTTATTAAATGAGTCATTTTCAAAAATAAATTATTACTTATAATGTAAAAATAAAGTAATGTTTTTCTAATTCCTACTTAAAATAAATATCAATAAGTGCAGTATTATTAAAAATAATTTGTATGTTGATAAGTGCTTTGGCAATATTATGTAAAAAAAATAATTAGAATTTAATTTTTGTTTCCCTAATAATGTTGATATTAAATAATTTTTAAGAAAATATGCTTAAAACATTAAAATTTCAGAATTGGGAGCCAGATTCAGAAACAGAAACTTGGCGTTCAGTATTTGAAACAGAATTTACTGCATATACATCATTACATTATAAACATGGCACATGCAGTGTATTTTCTAAACAAGAAGGTTCTTCTACTGTTATAACAGCTTGCATTGAGGATCATGAATTCCAAGCAAAAAACTTTTGGTTTGTAAATTTAATGCAATCCATTTTTAATTATTAAAATAAATTATGTATTTCTACTTTTTTTCTGATTAAAAGGAATGGTCGTTGGCGGTCTCAGTGGACTCTTACTATTGGACCAACAAATATAGATATTTTTGGATTCCTACGAATTCATGTTCATTATTATGAAAATGGTAATGTTCAACTTGTAGCATCTAAAGAAATAAAAGAATCAATTGCGTTAACAGTAAGATATAATTATTTACACTCATTTTATTTAATATATATAATTTTAATATCATATTGTGTAATTAAGACTGAAGAGTTAGCTGTAAAAGAAGTTTTAAAAATAGCAGAAGATGCTGAGAATGAGTACCAGATAGCTATAACAGAAAATTATCAAACTATGTCAGAAACTACATTTAAGGCACTCCGTCGTCAATTGCCAGTCACCAGAACTAAAATTGATTGGAATAAAATTGTTTCTTACAGTATTGCTAAAGAGTTTAAAACTCAATGACCAATCAAACAATTAATAGTCATTGTTTTATTTTCATGATGCAAAAGACTTAATTGGTAAGTCCTTACGCTTGCTGAAATATTTAAATATTATGAGAAAAAAATCATAATTTGTTTTATTAATTATATCTTTCCACCAATGAGTTAAAAAAAATTGAATCTTTTAACCAAGGTGTTTGGACAAAATTGTACAAAACAAAGTGTGAAATCGCTTGCTTAGTATTCAATATAGTTTTCCTTTAATTTGTAAATTTATTGAGGTTCAATTTTTATTTTTGTATTTTTAATTTGTATTTATTAATTTTGTTGAGTGTAAACAAAACTTTTATTATGAAATTAAGGTTTAGGTTGGAATATAAACAAATTCGTTCATTTTTAGATTAATACATTTTATGTTAAAGTTAAAAGTTCCAACTGTATTATATTACTTTTTTGGATTTTTGAATATAAAATAAAGTTTTACCTTCAGTTTTTTAGTTTAAATAATAAAAATCTAAATTTTATAACATTTCAAATGTCTAAAAAATATAAAACTAGGTCAATTTTATTAACTATATATCTTATAACTATTTGTTATGTAATTTAATTTATCAATTTTAATCAAAATGTATTTTTATTTTTTTTTATTCACAATTTATATTTTATTCAGTAAGAAATTATAACCGAAAACCAATAATGTATTTGATATATTTCAAGCACAAATTAAAGTGTAAAAACTTAGACTATAGAATATAGTCAATAGTTAATATGGTTATGAAAATTTTAATTATGATCTGTATTTTTTTTCTTGATACCTATAAACACATATTTTGAGTTTAATATTTTAAGTATTGATTCTAAAACTAACCTTTTAAATGCTTTTAAGTTATTTTAGTATAAGTTTAAAATTTAATTACTTGCATACATTCAAAATTTGTACTACTTTTGGATTTATAATTTTTTTTTCAAAAGTTATTTATTCAAATCCTTAAAATTCTTATTCCTGATTCATCTATAATACTGTTTTGCTTATAAAGAAAATATATACTTATATATATTGCTGCATTTGTTAATGTTATCTTATAAGTATTACAAGTTTCTTTCATACCTTTAGTATGTTATTAATTATTATTTTTTGAAAAAACCAAGATTAAACTTGTTAACATTATTATAATATTGTAAATTTATTATCAAAAATTTATGTTTTTACATAAATTTCAAATGTTGTTGACTGTTTTCTAGAAAAACAATATTGATGTTATGGATATTAATGAGATAAAAACTAGATAATTCTTACCACTATTTTACTTATTTGTATGTACAGATATGTATTTGTATAGTCAAATATTTTAAGTACACAAAAGCAATTTTTGTTAATTAATTACATAATACTATATATATATTAACATATTTAGATACACACTCGCACATAATTTATATAATACATATTTAGGTATATGCGTATAATATGCTTAGATAAACATAAATAAAACTGTAAAATACTGCTGTATTAATTAGGAAAAATAATTTTGGTGAAGGTTATGTGATTTAAATGTTGTATAATTGTAATGAATACCGATAACTAAATTTTGTTTTTGATTCATGGTAGATTTTTTTCTAATTTTTTGTAATTAATTAAAAAAAAAAACAAAATGCATTAAAACGTGCAATATTTAGTTAAAAATATATAATATTATGTACATAATGTATTTAAAAAAAATATATCTATTTTGCGGCTTGTATTGAAATTTAGTGAATTATAGGTTATTATAAATTGTATACCAATATATTTACATTTATTTTGGTTTTATATATTTCAAGCTCAAAAATACAAATTTTTCGTCATTATCCGTTATGTCAATTATTAATTATTATTAAATTATTATATTATTATTACTTTTATCTTTAATATTTTATTATTTATTTATTATTATTATTTTTATTTTTATTATTATTATTATTATTATTATTATTATTATTATTTTAATTTAATTTAATTACTAAACAGAAATGTTCTTATAAAATGATTTTCTTGTTTAATTTTTAAAATAATGTTATTTAAAGAGGAAAATTATATATTATATTCAAAGCTACAACAATTATGTTTTGCTAAATTTTTCTTTCCTGATGTTGGATATTACAAACTAGCTCTGGTTTATAGCTTCTTGTGTTAAAAAATTGTATATACCATACAGAATTTATTATTGGTTAAATACTTAAATTCAATGTCTTATTTTATTGAATAATATTTTTTACAAATTATTACTCTATTGTATCTTGACTTATCAATTACTAAAATATGTGAGTGGTTGGAAGGTGGCTTATTATAATGAAATGATCTTAAAAACTAAGACTTATCAAAATTAATAAACCTATATAATTATATAAAAATATCTTTATTAAAATAATTTATTGATAAACAATTATTTGAACAAACTTAATTGATTATAGCTGAATAAACTGAATACTAACATTTATCATTTTTTATTGTATTTTATAACATAACTATTATAATTTTGAATATTAATTTTTTAAAAAATATAGTATGCATTATTCCGAGAAATTATTTTTTCCTTTATAAATCAATACACAAACTATGAAAAACATACTGTAATTAATATTTATAATAATTCTATAAACATTTTGCATAATATGCAAAATAATATTTTTATTCATTGAAAAATCTAAACACAAGTGATGTTAGTGCCACTTTGATCAATATTCCTTGGGATAGAAGTATGATTTATTGTTATAAATTTGATGTATTGGTAACTCAATGATTTCAATAAACCATTGATAGCCAAGTTCATATTATATAATAAATAGTAAAATATTATAGGAGGAATAAAACTAAGAAGATAATTTTAAGTTTTTTCCAACTGGTTGTACTATTTGTACATCAGTTAGGTTTGCTAATACCAATTTACCTGTGTATCATTGTATGTTAAATTATTTTAACATATCTACTAGTTTATAATAAAACATTATATTTCTATTATGCATTATAGAATAATTGCACACACTGTTTATATTATTATACTAACACAGTAACACAGAGTTTAATGTTAAACATTGAATTTATTGCTTAATTAAGTGTGTTTAATTTGTGTTTACACAGTTTAATCAATAAGTGTTACAATAAATTTTCACTACATTATTTATTTATAGATTTTTCATTAAAGTAATAGGTAGTTATTTAATAAGAACAATGTATATATTATAATTATTATTATATTATTCTAGTAATATTACTCAGTATGATATTAGCATAAATATGAGTTAGAAACAGTAATTATATTAAACATAGTTTTGTGAGCACACATTTACCATAGATACATTTTACATATTTTAATGTACAAAAAAAATTTCAAAAAAAAGAAACCGTTTATAACAACACCGTGATTAGCATGACAAAAACTCATGGTTAAAGCAGAAATTCATTGTTAAAATTATTTATTAATACTAAACATATCTACCTGTATGATCAGTGTTCAAGTTGTAAGAACTGAATATTTTTTTAAGTACCTACTCTCAATTTATAACAGACCAAGAAAAAAATTAATTTAATACAATGACTCAATGGTGAATTATAAAACGAAAATTTTAAATGCATATTTTTTTAGTTTTAGAAAAATAGTGCATATCTTTTAAGTTTAAAAAAAAAAAATTATAGTTTTATACTGCTAATGTGCCCATTTCATACTAAATTACCTATTTCAAGGCTTGTGTAAAATAATAAAAATGTATCTTTTCCCATTAAAATAACACTTTTTGATAATACCTTGTTTTATTGTTATGACATGATGACTGATGAGTATTATTATTATTTTTATTCAAATAATTTCCTATCACATTTCTCTCATATAATTAATAGTAGTTTTTTTTTTTTTTACTTTAATAAATTTTAATAATGTAGATATTTACCTACAAATAATTTGTATTTGTGTATTTAAGATTTTTTATTTGCACATTTTGTTGATTTTAACTTTTATGACTTACAAACTCAGTTTATGTATGAATGATTTATTATTAATAATACGATTGTTAGTAAAACTAGATAAAACATCTTTTTTTTTTTTTTTTGTCAGGCTTTTAATGTCGTTATAAACAGTCGTAATAACGATTATTAATAAGTAGGAGGTATATAAGTATCTAATACATATCGATTTGTACATCAATATCAATGCAAAATAATATTAAGTATTTATCTTAAAAACACGCTTACCTATACGGCTATACCTACGGCTATAAATATTCCTAAAAATCAATCACACACACACACATATATAGTTAATTAAATCAACGCATATAAATTGGTAAATGATAATTAATATTAATCAATTACACAAAATATTTTTACAGCGACTTAATAAATAATATGATATGTTTTACTAAAATAAAAAAAAAAATTATTAGTAGAGCATAGTAGGTAGATAGGTAAAAGGTACATCTATAAAATTACCTAGGATATTCGTACGACAAGTAACGAAAATATTAAAATTTACATATTTTGCATAGTCATTGCGTGTGACGGCGACAATGCAGTGATATGCAGACGTCGTTTAATGCAAATGTACGTCATAATGTGTTATACATATCAAACAAGGCTAAAAGCCATTAGTCTAATCACTTATACAAGAATAAGTGTATATTTGCTTACAAAAATGATGTCCAATAGGCAACGTTGAGGATGAAAAACGAAAACGGGAAAAAGAACCGCGAGAACTTGTCGATGTACAGTGCTATTGCGCGGCCGTTACAGAAAGTCGGGTACTGTGGTGCCGCGGCTACGGTGGCTACACTTCTAATTGGACTTCGGCTTTTTGGGTCCAGTTCCTAAGATCAAAATCAAAATATTATTATTATCCGGTAAGATATTAGGGTTGTGTGCTATCGAATGTGGGGTTCATGGAGGTTGATCAGTAAAATTCACAGTTTGGGTAATTTTCTAGACAAATAATATGATATTATTATTATTATTATTATTTTAAGTTTTGAATAAAATTAAATAAAAAAATTTTGAAATCAGTTAAAAATATTATTTTTAATGTATTCTTCAGTTCAAGATTTCAAATTCATAGAACTCAATCTGTATACCTACAGTATACAGTATATGTACCTTAAAGTCGTCACCTCGGATGTCTTCTTCTGAGTACCCTTTCATCACTTTGGTCGCGACGGGTCCCATGTAATTATTGACGACGGCAAATTCCATCAAGGATAGAAAAACGAAAATCGAACACGAAGACATCCATATATCGATGGCTTTTACGTAAGATACAGGCGGCAAGGACTGTTGTGACTGAGTGTTTTGAGTGGCTGCATGAAAATAATTGTTTTTAATATGATCATTGATTTATTTGGTATGAATGTATTACCGAGTGTCAATAGTGAAGTCACGCCCAACGTCACTCTAGCTGGTATAGCCTCGGGTTTTATCCAAAACGAAATCCATGACATTACAACGATGAGCGCTGATGGAATGTATGTGTGAAATAAGTGATAACCTAAGCGTCTTCGTAAGTTGAATATCACGGCCAAACATGTGAAATTTCCTATAAGTTAAACTCTATAAGCAATCGATTCAATACTAGTCATTTTACTTATTAATATTTTAATTTGATTGATAGCAATCTTACTATATCGGAATTTATGTATAAAAAAAAATAAATACTTTTTATAACCCGTTATACATGTATTGTATCCATTTTTTTGCAGGAAATTCTATATTTTCAATTTTATTATCTATTTTCAGGTGTTTATTTATGTAATTCATAAAGAGTATAAAGATAATATTTGTTATGACTGTCATGATATTACTTATTGTATTAGTTTGTTGCGTAGGTATGTACATAAATATTATATTTACATATATATTTTTTATTCTATTTTTTTTTCATATCAGCTTAAATTTATTTCTTTGTAGTTCTCCGGTGTAATCTGGGTCTTATAGTCTTTACACGTGTGTTTAACGTGTATTATTCAAATAATAATTATTATTAAGATATTGTTCACACCTGTTGAGTATTTTATTGTGCAATCACTAGTTATGTTGTTTGATATATCAAGTTGAGGTAACTCGATTTCTGGATTTACTACTAATGGATCCGTCATATTCCATATAAAAACCAAATCGTGAGTTGTGTGAGACACTGAAAAGTTCAATAATAATGCATTATAATAATATATATCTTTACTATGATAAATACTATAGGAAATAAATGGAAATTAGTTTGATTAAATAAATAAGTACGATATGTATGTTTATTAATATAGTTTTAACACTAATTAATAAACATAAAAATAATGAGCTGAGAGCAAACATATTTTCTTAAAAGTGTTAAAATTGTACCTATAAGTCCATCAATGTTGTAATATTCTATTTCAATAAAATATATACCTATAGATTTTTTGAAACTCAAAGGATTATATCTTGAAAATTGAATGTTTTTTATTTTTTTAAGTAGCTGCTATTAGTTACGGATTATATACTACTATAATAAGGTACATAGATTTTTTTATAAACATATCAAAAATCGTGTTATTTATTTCAATTGAAACAAAACAGAAAATTATAGGAAAATAGATTAATTTTAATCCGGGTGAAGTAAAATTAATACAGCTAGTATAATTAATAAGATAAAATTTAAATACGTTTATTAATTTATGAGTTATATATAAATAGAAAAAATGTAGATGCCAAAAATATAAATATAATATACTCGCTGCAGTTAATTAATACTTAGTAGGTACCTATATGTATAGGCGTCGTGAAGAGGTTGCATAAAAAAAGAAAAATATTTAAAAAAATTGAATGGTTGTGGACATATTTATTTTACATAATTATAAACCAACTACTTAATTTTTAAATAATTATTGTAAATGTCTAGGTTTTTTCTAAATCCTTCGATTGCATTTTTAATGAATATGCATATTTCAATGGATTTTTTATAAATATTAGTTACATTAGCGCTTATTACTTTTAGCTAACGAAAAAAACTATTTATTATTTGTATTATCATATAGGTAATTTGAAAATAATATTCTTATGTATTTAAGCATTATTTAATTAATTAGAAATCAGCGTGTACCATGCAACTCCCTAATAAATATCCTGACGAAATCCACACATATATGTATTGATATACCTATTATAACATTTATAGCATATAGCCATAGAGGTATAATTATTTTGTAAGATATATCATATATGTACTTACAGCTTTCAATCATCATTGAACATATTTGTGTGTCATGTGGATACGATTCAAATTTCATTGCACACGATAATACCAGCGTCAATCTAGTGGAGGAAAATAAATCGCGCTTAGATTAGTATAGTTACACACAGTGGTGTATTTACGGGGGGGGGGGGTCCGGGTCTCGACCCCCCCAGAAAAAAATAATTAAAAAAATCATAAATAGCTTGCTACGTGATATCGAGAAAAATAATATTAATTTATATTATGTGTTTTAATGTTTGTATTACAATATTTTTAAAAATAACTTGGGTTTAACTATTAATTGACATTTATTTTCATAATAATAGTGAAATATAATATAATATAAATAATATCATTATTAAATCATAACTCGTATGTATTTTATTATAATGTTATAAACTTATATTTAATATTAAGACCCCCCCCCCCCCACAAAAAAATTGAAAATACGCCACTGGTTACATATGTGTAAATCTACTCGGGTCATAGCTAAACGTGTAGGCGTTTGACAAAATTTGAACAAACGTATCGATTGTCAGTTAAAATTATTGTTAAACTAATAACTGAGTAAATCGCAATGCGTTTGGGGTACGTCAGTTAGTAAAGTGTGAGAAAAAAACAAAGTAATATGTATATACGAGTATATATTTCTATAGGTACGTAATGTTAAATGAGAAATATCAAAAATTTTGAGGGACAACGTTACGCGTTTTACTCTTCAATCATCCCCGTTTGTCTCAATTCCACGATTCATCGTACTTTGACATATACAGCAACGTCTTGTCGTGGTACAGCCACAAGTAATGGTTGGGTATGCTCATCTCGTGAAACGTAACTTTTTTCGCGTTTTTGAAGAAACAATCGGGTCGCCATATATCGTGCAACCATTCGACGTCCAGTATACGATAGTCTTCGCTCATGTTTTCTGGGAGCCGAAGTCTCTGGTCTCGCCAGCTTTGTGCCAAAAATATGTCCGCAACGTACGTCTGGAATCAAGAAGCGCGTTACTGTTTAACTATTGTTGTATGTGCCTGTTATAGTTAAACACAAGCGTCCTAAGGTAGTAAGGTTACCCTCCTCACATCTAAATCCGGTCATGGAAATAGACTTATTCAGGCCTTTCAAGCGCCCCTTTCCTTCCCACCTCTATTATTGCCAACGCTATATATTCAATGTTGAATTTATTTATATTTATAGTTATTTCTGTAGGTACTTTCTATGTTATGTATAGGTAGGTTAAAGATAGGTATTGGAGAATGTTTGCTATGCATAACTCATTTCTGTAACCAATATTATATAACATTTAATAAGTTTGTTTTAAATAATTATGAGAAACTAAAATCAAAATTGATCTAAGTGCGAACGATTAGGAGTTAATTTGGGGTTGATATTTCAATGCAAATAGTACTTAATTTTTTAGGTGTTCTTGAGTAATGATTTCCAAGTACCTACATAAAATAAAATTCTTATTTTGAATTTTAACCTTTTTTTTTTTCAAAACTAATCAGTCGCCGGTCGGAGCTACATTTCGATTGCGTTTATTTTGATTATAGATACTGTTAAAATTGTACACCAGTACACCGTCACCAACTACGTATATATAAATTTTACGTGCCTAAGTTTAGTATCTTGTTTTTGTATTATTGTTAGTTCAACTGAGATAAAGAAGTGTTAAAAATAACAAAAGTTTAACTGTTTTTTCTCGCTTGAGTATACCTATTAAAATAATTTGAGTAATTATTTTTGAGTATTTTGGTATTTTTTTTAGATAATTTTTTGATAGCTTTTTAAGGAATTTTAATCTAGGAATTAGGAGTTATAACTGATTTTGGCATTGGCTTTATTAAAGACGAAATACCTATTAAAACACAGTAATTAATTCTAAATAAATCCAATAATTGCGGTAGAAACATATATGAACTATGACTAACATTCAACACAATATTAACTATAATACTATATATTCCTATAAAACTAGAGAAATTAGAAATAATAGGACCATGTAAATATTATAGTCGACAGTGATGAATTACGATACTAATAAAATTTATGTATTTTAAGGCGGCTTTAATACTGTAATCTAAGGAATAGTGTACGTATATAATGTTATAAATGAACGTTATGATATTAATCACGGTTAGAGTAACGTTGATTTTTAAGTTTACCATGGATTCTTCGTTAATGGAATCCAAAGACAGCACGGTGACGTGAAAGTAAACAATAGTCGGTTGCCCTTGTACTTTTGGCGCACGGTTTTTGTCATAGTTTTTCGGATTGATTGGAAGTATATCGGTGAGTGACAAACTGGTTTCGTAAACGGCATTATCACTCTCAGCGATGTCGTTTTGATCACTGAAACATTAAATTTGCAAGTGATGAATATAGACAAAATATAGACAAAATTGGAAGGATTTGAAAGGATAAAACAATTTTTTTTTTGATTTTACAAAATTGTACAAAAAACCACGTAATATATTATTATCGTTATAGTATAGTTTTGATACAAAATGTCCTTATAATGCAGGTGCTATAGGGTGATAATTTACTTAAATACAATTCGTAAAGTTCAACAAAAAACTAAAATTAAAATAATTAGGTTAGGCATCTAATAAATGTTTAGCGCTTCACTGCTTCACGCTATTACTTTTTTGGCAGATTTCATGGATGTATAAATATGTAGGTATGTGTATGTGTAGATGTATAGAAAGACGAGTTTATTATAGATACTATTACAAACTGACTCTTGCCTACCTTTATAAACACAGTACATAAATGTGATTAGACCAAGATATCGAGGGCCATAAGAATGTTAAAATTTAAGATAGCTTACAAATATAATAATAATTGGTATTAAAAAAAGTTAAATACTATACTACGTACACACATACACACATCAGAAATTCACAATAATTTTAGATTTGGCTAATATTTTAAAATATTTTATTACACATCTAAAATGCTGTTTGTGAAAAAAAATGAATTTCCCCTCAACATTTTGCTAAACTTATGTGTGATTTATTTAATTATTTCTTAGACACATATTTATACATAGACTATATCTCAATATACAAATATTATATGCTTTAATATTTGTATTGTATAGGTATTTGTGATTTATTACATACCTACTTACAAAAGTATTGAAAAAAAATATATATACAAAAGGTATACTTACATTTTTAATATTATATTCAGTAATAATATTAAAAATCACAAAAAATGAATTACTGAACAGTTTATATTCAAGGATAATAAAAGTAAATTTATGATGATTAAATTATTGAACCTATAGTCACATTAAATAACTAAGTCGAATACAATAAAACATATTAAGTGCATATAAATAGGGAGCTAGTTAAAACCATATTTACAAAATATGAGATTTTAATAGGTATGTTGGTAATAGGTACTGTTGTTCGTACTCCGTAGTTCATGTCAATGTGTATATTTTTATGCGTTTCAAGCCTCCTTAAGATACCATAATAATAATAACTGCTGAAACGTCAATGCAGCGAGACCATAGACCTATTAACGACTAAGTTTACAATAAACTGTTTAAACATTTCTGATAGAGACCAGTTTAAACTGGCCATGGCCCATGGAATCTAAAACTGTTTATTTATTTTTTTAAGTAGGTATAGAATATTTAGGTATAGAATATTTTTAGTTCGTATTATAATAACGGATAGGATACAGACAACATTTTTAAAGCATTTAGAAAAAACACGTATTATTATAAACTATAGCATGACTGATTGCAGAATAATATTTAAATTTAAAATATATTTAAAAATCGAAAACTATGTTTAAAATTGGGAGTTGCTAAAGTCATTTTAACACTTTATTATCTATGTACCTATTTAATAATTAGGCCTCTGCAGTGTTCTATGCATTTCCTTAGTAAATCGTAAGTACCTGTAAGTTTCTATACCTACAATATATTGTTTGTTATTAATATATTCAGGTTTACGAGTAAACTAGTCCAGGCCAGACTCAAGTGTTTAAACACATCTAGATAAACTTGAGTTTTGCCGCCCCTTACATATAAAATTTTTAGAAACTATAATACAAAAATGTTAAATGCCGCCCTAAGCGTAGGCCTATGTCACCTACCTCTTGAGCCGGGCCTCAAACTACGTTTAGGTGGTTATCGATGGACATAAATCTCGAGTTTTAACCTTACGATAACTTTATAGATTAAGTGTATTTGAAGCTCGACGACTGTCCTATGTATAGATTAAAAACAAATGGATATGAAAGTACATCATTTTTCAAGATCCGACATTATGTTGCCAGTATTTATTTATACGAAAATAGTATAGGTACATTGGTTTATAAAATGTACCCAACTGATCATGACGATCGAATTTATCTAATTTATCTATTTATATTAATATTAAAATGCACAACATAAGATTGGTTCTGCTGAACAGTAATTTATCATGTTGCGTGTGGTTCAAAGAGTGAAAACACAATCTAAATAATTATTATAGATTTATAAATAATTAATAGATAATAACCAGTTGTGTTTGCTGTTGATTAGGTTTTTGTGAAGTAAAAAAAAATCTGATCAATTAAAAAAAAAAAATCATGTTATAAATGAATTAGGCATTAAATGGTTTTGTTTTTTTAAATATCTTGGAAGATCCGCTAAATTTCTCTTAGCCTTTACCCTCACCAAATTCTATACTAGTACCAGCAACTATTAATTATAAATAGGTACATATGTTATGTTTAGTCTAGAGCCAAGGCTATTATACTACTCTAGACACATTACATCAAGACATATTTCATAGTATATGTAAAGCTGGTATAAGTATATTATAATATCTAGTATCTGATATTTATTATTACAAAATATTAATAAAATACAATACGCAATTTGTTATAGTGATTTCTTATAAAATGTACTTACGCTTAAAAATATTATTATTATTGTGTATCATAGAACGACCAATTCATTATGTTGGTGTTACTATAGAGTATTATAGACTTATAAAGTTATAAGTAATAAAAGAGGAGATAGAGTCAGTTAAAATACTATTCATTTATACGAACAATTACATAAAAATATAAAATTAATTGATTAATATTTCTAAATTTGTTCAATTTCATAATTTTTATTGTTTATATTGAACATAATATAGGTATTTTAAAAATTATATAGCAAAAATAAACTTGACAATATCATACATATTATAATCAAAAAATTGTAAATTTAACAAAATATTTATGTAGTAAAACAATTTAATTAAATTCGATGTATATTTCCACTAAGTAGGTTCATAATATATTTTAATTACAAAATTTTAATAATTTCGTATATTTAATTTAAGGTTTTTTTTTAATTTTTGAATATGGTTTATTTTAGAAATTTTATGTATAGTACTTAATTTCGAATGTTTTGAAATTACGTTAAAAGTCGACGACCCGTTGTAAGCCCGGTCTATGTGTTCATCATTGGCGCAAATAGAGTTAAAATGTTCCAAGAAATTCGCTTAACTTTTTGAAGAGTAGTGATCAGTTTAATTACTATATATTTTATTATTTTATGATACATAAGGGATGGTGGTTAATAGAAGAATAACTTATAAGGTTATATAAACCTACAAAGTTGATACTATAAGGTTAGTATGTTGTCTTTGCGGGTTAAGTTTACTAATTATTTTAGGTATTCTCCTAATTTTAAATTTAAGAGACTGTACTTCAGCAAAAATGAGAACTATTTTTGTGGACTCAACTTAACTGTCGAGATCTTTGGGTCATCTGCTAGTCATGCATGGTCAAGTCAAGTCTCCGCGTTAGTCCATAGTTATGCCAACATATTTGCGCTCGTGTGTGTGTGTGTAGTGTGTTTGTGTATTAGTGTGTCAGTTGTGTAGCGTGGGTTTCAAGAAAATATTAGTGTAACAACAAGGTTTTTTTTTACATTTCATTTTAAAATCTGAATGTTTTACAGTAAAGTTAATCCACCTTTATTTAAAATATTTTTGGTTTTCAGCTAAAGTATTAGACTCCAAAGATTCGACTATATGACATAATAATGTTTAAGAATACATACTTCACTCAATCACAACCACTGATATCAGATCCGTCGGAAAATGAATAAAACAAATCTATATTATAAGATTATTATAAGCCACAGTGAAAAACACTTAATAGAAGAGTCCAAATGTTTTTGCAAAAACACAATTTGTAGTAATCGAAAATAAAGGAAAACAAACTACAAAACATGTGAAAGCTGTATAGTGTACAATGTATATAACATCAAAAGCGCTTAAAAACGAGGTGTATACCTACTCTATATTAACGAGCTCACTTCACGTCGAGCTACGATGTTGAATCTATGTATCGAAGTTATGATGACCTGGTATAAGCAGTTTCGAAACATGCCACACAATGCGTACGTATGTACAAAATATTAATATGTTAATATAATATTAATGAAATAAATTATCCCCCCCCCTGTGTTCCCGTTTGTATGTATGACAGTGATTTTGACTGTTAAAGTATAATAATTAATCCAAGATATATTTTTTTGAATTATCATCAAAATAGTATGCCTAGAAACTTCTCGTATTTTGCTTCCTTTTAGTACCTATAAGAAGTCGACTGTACGCTAAATCCTCGGTGTGTGTGTGTGTGTGTGTGTGTGTGTGTGTGTGTGTGTGTGTGTG